CTAACCCTTTTCAAAACAGTTCAGTTCCACCAAATGGGAACAAGCATTCAGATGTATGAGCTTACGGGGTTGATTCTTGATCAAACCACCACAGGTGGTAATGTGCTGTACATCATTTCCTCTCCTTTGCCTTCGACGTATTTCAAGAGAGTCTTCCCAGCGTGAGAGTACAGCGTGAGAGTGTAATTCTAGCCTGTGAAATCTGAAGCCAGCCTGGTGTACATGGTGGGTTTCAGACCAGCCAGGGCAACACAGTGAGACCCTACCTCAAAAATAAAGAAAGAAATACAATAAAGGCAGCCTTTTGTGACAGGAAATAGTTAGATCCTAACATTTCTCGCATGTGTACGTATGTGTGGTCTCTATGTACAAGCACACGTATGTGGAGGCAGGTGTCGGGAGCACTGTCCACCACTGAGGCAGAGCCTGTCAGCTGAATTCAGACGTCACTGATGCAGCTAGTCTAGTCAGCCAGCTTGCCCTGAGATCCCTGTCTCTGTCTGGCACTTACATGGGTTTAAGGGATCTGAACTTCAGTCCTCACTCTTCCAAGCAAGTGGCTCTTCCACCGAGCCACCTCCTGGGTTCCGGTCTTGACTTTTCCTCTAGGGGGCAGTCCACGCCTTTCAACTAAGGTATTTATCCTTTACTGACCTGCTTGCTGCTTGCCGCTTGCTGTCTGTTTAGGGGAGGTGCGCATTTGCTTCTAGCTATATAAAAACACCTTTCGTTCCCTGCAGTCTGCCTTCAGGCGGTTACCCCACGCCGCGCACAGGCACCCACGGCATCGCACTTCTGCCTGTGAACCCAGGCTTGCCGCTCTAGTTTTCTGCACCGTGCTGCAGCGTGCCATAGCCCAGAGCAGCTCTAGCGATTCGGTATTAACCAGCCACTCTTCAAAAGGTCCAGAACACTGGGAGGCGATGTCCGGCATGCCGCACCCGTTGTGTGGCTGTACCGCTGTACCTGTTATCGATTTGCTTCCTCCTGGTCCGTTAATTACATTCCTCTTTCAGCTTTTGTGTATCTGAAAAGTCTTCGTCACGCCTTCGTTCTTTGCAGATGTTGTTGTTTTAGGTGCTATTGGTGTTTCTGTCCCAGTGCTCTGAGGACAAATGCTCCACTATCCCCTAGGTGGGATTGAGGCCAACACAGGAGCTGTTGTCATGGAGACGGGATTCTTTCATCAGCATGTTGGCTTTACCTGCCTGTAAGATGTTCTCCTTGCCATCGATTTTTTTCTGGAGTTTTGTGGTTGTGTGAGATTTTCATCACGTTGCCTTTGCTCAGGGTTCTTGGCACGCTGGGAACTGGCTAGTTAGCGTGTCCATCACGTTTGGGGAAATTCGGACTCTAAAATCAGTGTCACTCCTTTCCCTGGCCACCGTTCTCGAGGTGTGTCCAGCATTTTCTCTGTTTTATTTTGCCTTTGCTGCTGGTCTGTACGTGGAAGAGTCTGTTGTCAGTGTTTGTGTTTTCATCTGTATACTTGGCTGTGCTTTTACCCATGCCTCTCCCTAGCACACTTCTCCTTCTGTCCTCTTGAACATACGGGATAGAACTGTGACTTTCAAAGTCTTTGTCTGACATATGCATCCTCTCTGTTGGTGCTAATTAGTTTTTCTCCTCATTATTCATGCCTCGCTTTTATTGACTTCAAATATTATAAATTTTACTTTTGTTTGGTGTTTGATAAATTTGTATCTTTTACATTTCTTGGGGGAGGGGTGTTGCGAGCAGTTTTCCCACCAGTCTGGTCCCACAGCTGCGTCAGCCCCCAAATAACACACAGAGATACTGTATTAGATATAAAGCTGTTGGCTAGTTACTAGCATTTCTGATTGGCTAGCTCTGTCTTAAATATTAACCCACTTCTATTAATCTAAGTGTTTCCACATGGTCTTATCTTACTGGAGAGAGGGTCTGGACCTCTTACTCCTCTTGGTCCTACATTTCGAACTCTCCTGTCCTACATCTCCCAGAATCCTCCTTGTCTCCTAGTCCCACCTATCTTGCCTTCCTATTTGCAAACAGTGCTTTATTCATTAACCAATAAGAGAAACACATTTACAGAATGACATGTCCCATCAGATATGTGTGCAGGTGTATTATGTGAGTATATGTGTGTGTGTGGTGAGTGTGTGTGTGTGTTTTTGTATATATATATATATATATATATATATATATATATGGGGGGGAAATGTATATGTATGCTGTATGTTTTTGAGTGTGCATGAGTGCTTGAGTGTGTGTATGTGTTTGTGTGGGGGTATGTGTGTGTTTATGAGTTTTGGGGATGAAGTATGTGTGTGTATGTTTGTGAGTGTGTGTGAGCACATGTGTGCATATGTGAGTGTGTGTGTGTGTGTGTGTGTGTGTGTGTGTGTGTGTGCTGAGCCACACTAAGCATGTAGGACTCAGAGAACAACTTGCAGGAATTGGTTTTCTCCACCATACAGGTTCCGGGAATCAAACTCAGGCTTTTGGGCTCAGTGTCCTCACCAGGCCCTATACTCATACTTCTTAAGTTTTCTTTGCAAGCTTTGCCTCTGATGAAGTTTTTGCATCCTTAGCCATGTCAGGGGATGTGGACTTATCCCAAACCAGGACAAACTGTATGTAAATTAGAAAAAGGCCTGCTGTGTGTGTGTGTGTGGGCTTTCCTGGTCCCAGCTTAAGAAATCTCTGTCCCTCTCTCCCTTCCATTCACCTTCAGCTAGTCTTTTTCAGGCAAAGGTTAAAAGCTGTAGCAAGACCTTCTGTTTATTATCTGGCCAACCCTGTCCATTGAGGCCAATGGAAATTAACCTGCCCTCTCAAAATTAGGCTACTTGGAATAAATTCTGGAAATATCCAGTAGAGGGAGCTGTGGGTATCGGGCATCTTAGAAACAGTCCTCAGCAGGCTTCTAGAGTGGTACCCTCAGTTGCATGATGCCCAACCCTCTCCTCCTGATGGTCTGAGTGACCCTCTTACTTATTTTTTCTCTCATTTTTTCCCTCAATGTTGTTAACAGTTATCATACCAATCATAAAGAAAGAATAGTATCAGAATATCCACTCAGAGTTGTAGCAACTTGCATTTACTATCACCTAGCTTTCCAGCCCCAAGATCAGCATGCCAAGGACCTGAACCTCAAAGCCAGACATGAACTATGCTGAGGGGAGAAAGGGACACAGACCACAGAGCTCAAGCTGGGATTCAAATTCAGAAGATTCCAATTGCCAGACCCAGGCTCTTTCTACCAATCCTGCAAATCACCAGCTGCTCGACAGCCCTGACAAGCCCTGTGCTTTCTCCCTTCCTGTAAGGAGTAGGGTTTTTCCGCCCATCGCTGGTCTGGTCCCACCACAGCGCCAGCCCCAAATAACACACAGAGACTCTGTATTTGATATAATGCTGTTGGCCAGTTACTAGTTTCTTATCCGCTAGCTCTGTCTTAATTATTAACCCATTTCTGTTAATCTAGTATTTCCACGTGGTCTCATCTTACCACCAGAGAGCCAGCTGGCCTGGCGTCCTGCTCTCTCCAGACTCTCCATGCTGACTCCTCCCTACTACTTCCTCTTTCCTCCTTGTCTCCTAGTCCCGCCTGTCTTCCTTTCCTATTGGCCAACAGTGCTTTATTCATTAACCAGTATGAGAAACATATTTACAGAATGACTTCTCCCATAATCTTCCTTCCTTTCTTCCTTTTAATTTTTCTTCAAGGGATAGAGGAAACATTAACAGTACCAAAATGAGTTCTATCTGGGATATTTTCATACCAACATCTCACTTTCAAAAGTAACTGTCAACATAGCTGTGAATCAGATGGCTTTTTCTCCTATCACTGTACAAATGTTTTTCTGTCACCTGTATTGTGGTCCTGACCTGTCTGGTTGCTTGGTGAGGGTCCATCACAGTAACACACAGAGCAATAGAGCCCTTGAGCATCTTCCGGGCCTTTGGGGACTGGCTTCGTGAAAAATCTAGATTGGAAATGTGCACACCTTCAATCCCAGCTCTCAGGAGGCAGAGACAGTCTCTGTGAGTCAGAGCCAGTATACAAGTGAGGACAATCACAACCAAGTCAGCACAGGGCACACCCAGGCACCAAATTCTCGGCACAAAGGAAATTAGCTTGGAGGGGCAAGTGGGGTTGGGGGGGGGAGGCAGCTGCAACAGCAAGCAGAGAAGAAAAACAAGTCAGGGCGTTTCTGCAAGAGTGGGTTTTTAAGGGGAAGAGGGGGAGTCTGTCTAGGGTGAGTTGGTAAATCCTGATTGGACAGATCCACCCACCAAATAATGAATTTTGATCATGTTAGACCTTGATGTTTTGCCTCAGGAATGAGTCAGTGGTGAAATAAGGGGATAGACCTTGGGGCTTGATTTAGAAATGTAATGGTTTTGAGCCAGGTGGTGGTGGTGCACACCTTTAATCCCAGCACTCAGGAGGCAGAGGTAGGTGGATCTCTGAGTTCCAGGCCAGCCTGGTCTACAGAGCAAGTTCCAGGACAGCCAAGGCTGTCACACAGAGAAATCCTGTCTCAAACCCTTTCCCCCTCAAAAAAAGTAATGTGTTTTTTAGCAAGAGAGAGGAAACGAGTAAGAAAGACAAAGTCTGCCTGCAGCGTTTGCCATGTTTGGGCTTGTATTTGTCATGCTCATGCTCGGGCCTGCTAGAGCCCCTTTAGCCAGCATGATCTGGCTAAACCCCTAACCAGACATGCCCAGCAGTTCCTTCTGTGGACAAATGGTGAAACTCACCAAATTGACATTAAACTCATGCCAGCCAAGCAGGCACGTGAACATGCACGCACGCACACGCACACACACACACACACACACACACACACACACACACAGAGGCAGGATCTTTAATTCTTCTTTGTGTTTGTTTTTTTTTGTCCCGGACAGCTAACACACCACGTGGCACACTGTAGGTGCTAACTGTATCTGTGCATTTATTTGCTCAGCACCGAATGAATGAGTAAATCTGGTCTGTCTGATTGTTCCAGAATGCCCAGCAGGAGCACAGTCACCATGCAGTGGCAGAGGCACTTGTGATGAAGGCATGGAAGGGACTGGAAGCTGTTCCTGCCAGGTAAATTGACAGAGCTGCTCCATCCCTAAAATTCTGCCTCCCCCTTCCCACCTGTTAATCTGCTTTACTCATAGCCCGACACCAGAAGTCTCTAAGAGTAACAGTGTTGATACATTGAATTTGTGATGTGCAACAAAATGACCTCTCACCTTTGTATCCACCTGTAAAATCCGAGGAAAGATCTACAGAAGGGTCCTCTTTGAAGACAGAAAGTGAGGTCACATAAATAAATCTATCTTATGAATCATGTAAGGACAAAAAGTTGTCACTTCTTGCTACTGTTAGTAATCACCTTTGCTACTAGACTACCCTGGGCCAACCACCGGCTTGTGGCCATTGGAGAATTTCTTTATCTAATAAAGGTGACTTTTGAGAATTTCAAACTGTGGGAGAATTAAACACAAATCCTTCTGAAGGGGATTGAGTTCATGTCCCTCGGAACAGATATAGAAGTGTTTTCATTGTATAAGAGGGTGAAGGGACTGTGGGCACTGTTTACTTACTCGGTTGGGCTGATGGCCTTCTTCTCTAGGGCTCTAGAACTTTATCAAAAGAAATTAAATAAAAATAGAGATTCATACATGAAGACTTCAATCAGCCTGAGGAAATAAAGGCCCAGGGGAAATGCATATTAGAGAAGCAAACGCTGGTGCTGGCTTGCCCAGAGGCTTTCTGGATAACATAGGAGTTCCTCGGGATGGTCTTGGGTCTGATGTCGTCCACTGTGTTTTGCAGGCGGGCTTTAGTGGAACAGCCTGTGAAACCTGTGCTTCTGACAATGTTTTTGGGCCCAATTGTTCAGCAGGTAGGTCTGATTGTTGTCCCTGTAATGCACTGTGAGGGTTCAGAGTTCCCAGAAATGGTTGCTTCTGTTTTTAAAAGTGGTCTGCGGAAATGTGTGGATTTGCCTTGTTTTAAGATACTAAGTGTCTTAGCTTTCCATTGCTGTAACAAAGAACTTGAAACTGGAGATATAGTGGAGAGAGAAGGTTGGCGCAAGTCACAGTCTGGGAGGCGGGATGCGTGTATGTGCCACCTTTTCGTTATGCAGCCATGGGGAGCTCTGGCTGCCTGGCTGCCACTGAAATAACTGGATAAATGTCTAGACCCTGTCTTCTTACCTACAGAAACAAGTAACCTCCCCATCACTAGGGAGTAGTTGCTGAGACAGAGCATGATAACATTGTTGCTTTTGTTGTCATTACTTAGCTCCTCCTAATCTTAAGTGTCCCTTCACTCCTGGCTCCGCAGAGATTATTTGATAGGGTTACTAGCAAAAGCAAACTGAAACCATGTCTTAATATTCTGTGTGTTTTTAACATTTACATTGTTTTAAAGGATAGCAACTAAATTATAACCAACTGATTAGGAATGGCACGTCTGTATCTTATTCCCTACCACAACTAACTAGAATTTAAATCATATAAACTAAATAAATACATAAGTGGGGAAGCAGGAAGTCAGCAGCTAGCATCCCAGGAAAACTGAGTGGGGATGGAAAGTTAGAATAAAGGTGAGCCATGTAACCTCCACGACACTGGTCATTGATTGCCGACAAACACGAACATGATGGAAATTCCAAGCATTTCCAAATGAAAGAGAATACGCCTCATGCCTATTCCACCGAGTAAGCAAAGGCAAAAAGGACGAAGATGGTTTGAACACTAACTGTTCATACTAAATGGAAATGTATTCAGGTTATTTATGTTTATTACATTTTTAAAATTAAGTGTGTGGGAAGGGGGGTCGCGGTCAGAGGACAAAATGCAGACACCGGTTCTTTCCTTTTACCACGTGAGTTCTGGAGGCTGAACTCAGGTCACCAGGCTTAACCTGCTGAGCCATTTTGCTGACCCCAAACTCTAAACTGTAAAAAGGATCAAGCCTAAACAAAAGACCCAGGGGAAAGCTCTCCAAGTTCTAGATTTCAATAGACCTTCTATGATATTTTCCACATGGGCACTGTGCAACCTCATAGTCCCAGGCCACGTGTGGGCTCTGAGCTCCTGAGATGAGGCTAAAACAACCCAGGAACTGAATTTTAAACTCCAGGACACACTTGCGAATTTAAATAGAAGTCACCAAATGTGCCCAGTGAGTCTCATATTGGACAGAACATCTTCCAGTAAGAGAGCAGCTAGTGAATCCATCCTGGCCTGAGTCTTGAACCAATCTCAACTGCTGTGTGACCTGTGGCAGCCTTCCTAATGCAACAGGATTGTCATTTACACACTGGGGTGGGGTGACAACACAGCCAGGCTCTTGCACACGTTGAGAGGGTGAAGAAATGAGTAAATGGTGCCAAGCCCCCAGATTCTCGCAAGCTCTTTCAGCCCGACGCCCCCTGGAGCGTTGTACCCAGGGGTTGGCATTCCTTCCCGAAAGTGGGCCAGCTCTACCAGGCATCGTCTATTTTTAATGCTGACTTTTCTCTGCTGCCAGGACACTCCCTTGCCAGGCTGTTCGTTGGTGGGAGATGATTCAGAGCTACGTCAGCCAGTGGCTTTCATCTCTCCTGCTGACGCCAGAGCTACCCAGTGCCTTGTTCTCATCAGAAGCCTAATGCAGAACCCAGTTTCTCTATGTGACCCCCTAAATCAACCCTTACTGTGTGGCCGGCAGTGTAAAAAGAGCTTTCCCACCCATGATCTCCTCTAGTTCTCCGTACCCCTCTTAGCGCTAATGTCATTAACGGGTTACAGGAGCAGAGAGGTGATAGCAGGCTGTATGACTCTTACAGGGGCAGAGGATTTAACCCAGGTGTCTGACTGAGACTCACCTGCTGTTCTGACCTTGGGGAGCATGCACCATGCATTCGACTCTAAACGGGCTCTGGGCTATGCCCAGGGGGCTGGAAATGTGAGAAATGATGGCACGCTGTGCATGGCCTGTGCAGGACACTGTGGGGACGCAGGAGAGGGAAACGCTCTGAACACATCACAGGGAGCCACACACCATCCCTGTGGCCCAAATGGCCAAGCTTTGGGCTACTTTAAAAGTCACACCACCCCAGTTTCACATGTCTCTAGAGCAGTGTTTGTCTCCTGTGGGTCATGACCACTTTGGGGTCAAATGACCCCTTCATAGGGGTCACCTAAGAGTATCAGAAGACCATTATAGAACACAGATATTTAAGTTATGAGTCATAGCTTTAGCGAAATTAGTTATGAAGTAACAATGGAAGTGATTTTATGGTTGAGGTCACCACATACGTTAAAAGGTCTGTAGCGTCAGGAAGCTGGAGAACCCCTGCTCTAGAGACCTGCTGAGACCGGTTCACAATGCATCAGGGGCTTCAGGAGACCCTCAGCTCCTCACTTCTTCCCAAGGACACCTTCTTGGCAGTGGCTGACAACCTGCGGTGTAGTGCCACAGGCTTCCGAGGCTGCCAGAGCAGGGGCAGTCCTGAACAAGGGACACGTGGACAAGTTGATGCCGGAGCAGCTGGGGCTCACAGAGAGCAACCTTACAACAAGGACAGTGCTTGCTGCTGGCATCTGTGACCACTCAATCCCCTCACCCCATGTCACCTCCAACTTCCACCACTGCTCATCACCTTGTCCTGAAGGTCTCTGCCACTCTGTGGTCTCCTTAAAGTGAGATGTTACTAGTCAGCTAGCTGTGTTTGCATGCCTCGTGCCCAATGCCTCGTCAGCTGATAGCCAAAACTGGGTGGTGCTTGTTTAATAGAGTTGATTGGAATCTTTTCTATTAAGTTCCATGTAGGAATCCTTCCTGTCGGGGCCTCTTCTCAATCCAGTCATCTCTATAATCAACTTGAGTTTTCTCCAGGGTTGGCCTCTTCCAAACCCTGCAACCATCCATGGGCACTGAAGACGTTTACTAAAACGGAAAGAAAGATGACCAGGACGTAAAGATGGCAGTGACAAACCCAAGTGTTTCAGCTCTTTGAGAGAGTACTTGCTATAGTTAGCTCCCATTTTTTCCACAAGTGAAGTGAGAGTAACAATGTCACCTGGTCCTCTGTCACACTAACCCTAAAGAGGCCTGAGAGGATACAAGTAATAGTGAAGGTGAGCACAGGTCCAGGCCTGGGTATGGTGAGGGAAGGACGCGCCTCAGAGGCAAAATCAAGACAGATCATTATATTAGCTTCTTAGGGCTAATATAACAAAGCAGCTCAAACTGGGCAACTTGTTCTGAGTCAAGGTGCTGGCAGAGTTTACTCTTTTCAGCATTCTTCTCCACTCCTGCCGGAGCCCAAAGGAGCAAAAATCTTGCTTTGGGACTCCTAGGATGGCATTAGAGAAGTGGGCTGAACTTGAAGAATGAGGAAGACCTCATCTGCCACATCAAAGTGATGTAACAGAAATCAACACACAGGGCGCGTGGTGCAGGACACACAGGGTGCGTGGTGCAGGACACACAGGGTGCTTTAGTACAGGATGCATAGGGTGCATGGTGCAAGACACACAGGGTGCATGGTGCAGGACACACAGGGTGCATGGTGCAGGACACACAGGGTGCATGGTGCAGGACACACAGGGTGCATCAGTACAGGACACACAGGGTGCCATGGTGCAGGACACACAGGGTGCATTAGTACAGGACGCACAGGGTGCATGCTGCAGGACACACAGGGCGCGTGGTGCAGGACACACAGGATGCATGGTGCAGGACACACAGGGCGCATGGGTGCAGGATGCACCTGTTACCTCCCCCCTGGTGTGGTCTTCACAGAGTCCGCCCCCATCCCACCTCTTCCTAGCCAACTCCCATTGGTGTTTTGGGTGGTAGCATGTGTCACTGTGCTGTGATTGGCTGTTGCCCTGTGAGGATGGAGACTTGTGTAGCACAGTACGCTGAGCATGGCAGTCCACCGGCTAATCATGAAGAAGGAAGGGAACAAACTGGATCGATCGATCCTGCATACTTAGAAATCAAATGTGTGAAACGCAAGGTGAGTGGGCTGGCAACAAAGTGTACACAGTGCAGTACACAGTACAGTGCTACTGTAGCAGTCCAGACAGAGCTCGGGAAGAGCCTAGATGAGGACAGGACCAGTAAGGCAATGAGCAAGATGTCAAGAAGGAGATGCAGACAAAGAATACTGGGGGTTTGGTGCAATTTTAGGCATTCAGAAAACGTTAAACTTAGTCACCCGTGAGTTTCTAATATTTTATTGTTGTTAAGTAAGTACTTCTTTATAATTGGGACCCACTTGAGTCCCAATTATAAATGAACTCACATGCATCAAAAGCATGTATAGTAGCCCCCACCCCCACAAAGAGCCATGTGGGCAAATTAAGTTACACAGCAGAGGGTAATTAATGTTATGGTGGGATCAGAGCTGCTAGCCAGTTGGATTGCTCTGATTGAGGTGGGTGCTGGGGAGGTAACCATAGAAACAAGACTGTAAGAAGGACTTGGTAGTTTACTTCAAAGTGGAGAAAGAGGTCGTGAGTCTGGAAACATGGAATCCCTCTAAAATCTGAGTAAGGTAAGAGAAGAGATCCCAGAAGAAGCACTGCCTTTCTGCAACTTTGATTTGATCTGATGCGATGTTGTACTTCCAATCTCCAGAACTGTGGAATGGACTTGAACTATTTCAGGGCTCCTCTTATAGATGGCTTGTCACAGTAGCAACAGAAATGTCATACAACGTGCTTTGTGAGAGTCTTGGCTTCAGTATATCAGAAGCTAGCTGAAGAGTAAGCTGTATAACGGATGAGCCACCAGCTAGCTGGTGCTAAAGCGTTGACCATTCATACAGAAGGCCCTTCATTTTGTGATCCATGACCTGTCCCTGGGCTGAGAAGCCATCTACTTTGAGCAAGAAACAGGACAGTCATTTTCTTTTCTGATCCTTGCACTGCCCTATTTATTCAAGAAGTAAGATTTGCTTACAGAGATGTCAGCCACCAACAGGGATGGAGTCAGGGGGAGCTCTTCTCTTCGTACAAGGACACTAAGTCAGCCCTGCTGTCGGGATACCCAAAGGTGAAGCTAACAGTCAGTAGGGAAGAGAACCCCAGTGCCCAGACCCATTTCCTTACTTAACACTGTTAGTGAGTGTGGGCACCGTTGTCCGCCTCACACACTGAAAATCCCGACTCGGATAAAGGAAAGATGAAGCCAAGATTCAAACGAGGCTCTCTGGGAGCTTCCTCCGCCTTACTGTAGAGTCTGAGACTGTTGCCCTTCCGGGGTCTTTACCAGCAATCTCTATGAGATGTGACTCCTGCCCCCATTTTCTGCCTGCAGTGTGCAGCTGTGTCCATGGTGTGTGCAACAGGGGACTCAATGGTGACGGAACCTGTGAGTGCTTCTCTGCCTACAGGGGCCCCCGGTGTGACAAGCGTAAGTGACCGTGGTTCCTCACGGAGGAGCAGGGAGATGTTCCTCTTTTCTGTTTCTTACTGAGGCTCCACTGGGCTGGGTGGGAGGGATGGATTGTCAAATGGTTTGTAAGAGGCTAAAAATTAAGCCAATGTGGGTAGAGCGGTGTAGCCAGAGCTGTGCTGGGGGAGGCTGAGCAGGAGGGGGTGTGGTGGGGAGGGGGGTGTGGAGGGAAGCATCCAGGCTAGGAGGCCAAGAGGGCCATCATCGTAAGCTAGTCCATAAAGGAGACAAAGTATGCTCTCAGTTACAGAAACACGTGAACACCCACAGACAACAGAACAGTCTCCAAAGCTATGTGACTTACCCAGGGTCACAGGAGTAGCAAACAGAAGTGGGGTCCACCGCACTGGGGTCCACGGGAAATTCTTTAAAAAGCCCATGACGCAGGGTCTAGTCAGAAGATGAAGGACAGGAGTGAGTTAAACAAGGGGGTGTGGCTGGAAACTGCAGAGAACTCCAGGGACGTCTAAGGAAGGGCATGTGTGGAAGGAGGAGGCCATCCCCAGGCCTTGTTAGACGTGGCTATGGTGGCAGCCCACTGGAAGGCAGAGAAAACGGCTGTTTTCCCCAGGCTAGCAGTGGACCACAGTCTCCTAGCAGCCGTGGGGCAGCCCTCTAGGGACCTGGTGAGTGAGGCTGGTGAGGCAGGGGGCAGGGGGCAGGTTAGAGTGTTCGTGTCTGTGTGGGAGGGCCGTGGGAAAGTGGGCACAGCCTGGCAGACATCACACAGAGGCTGCAACAGCAAATACAACAGAGAGAGGCACCACACCGAGCCCCGCGCCCTGCATCCCAAGGCTGCTCCTGCCGGCTACACTGTCCTGCCAGCGCCCTCTACTGGCAAAACTTAATTCTCTCTAGACAGAAGAAACCCACCCCTTCCACACCCCTACCCTGGTCCTAGCTCAGCCACGTGGCACATGTTTACACGGGATGAACTGGAAGCTGAGACGCTTCCAAAAATAAACACCTTGGTCATATATTTAGCCTGTGACACTGGGCTCTGTCAACTTATCCTCTGGATTTTAGTCTCCTAAGAAATAAGGCTGTTAGAAAAGTTTGGAATTCTAAATGGGAACAACCTCCGTTTTGGAAAGCCCAAGATACTTACGTGCTGTGGAAGGGTCAAGTGCATGAACCACGCTCTGTCTTCCCTGCAGAGGAGACAGCTCTGCAAATCATCAAGTCCCTCCAGTCCCAGGTGGGCAGGGTGTCCTCTGCGACCTCTCCAACCCCCGCCAGAGGACCTATGAGCAGATACCTCCTCAGAAGGACGGGGACCCAGTCCAGAAAGCTCCCCAAGAAAGAATACTGTCAAATTTGCTTCCACCTGAAAAATAATTTAGTCGAATCAAAAGATAAACAGAGACTGGGACAAAAAAAAATATTTGTAATTCTTCTGGCAGGTATACTTTTATTAATGTGAAGACCATGGCCAAGTATTAAAAATAGACCTAGGAGCAGCTATTGTTCAGAATCACTTTTGCCATGACATAGTTATCTTTGCCCAGCTGTCCTGTTAGTGGTTGTTGTAGTTCAAGGTAAGTTCCAGAGCTGGGGAGGTGACCCCATGACTTAGAGAACTTGCTGTGTAAGTTCTGAGGTCAAATGCTCAGAACCTGAGTCCAAACACCCAGAACACTTAGAACTCCAGCACTGTGGGACCCAAAGACGGGAGGAGAGTTGGAATTTACTGGCTACAAGCCTAGCTCTGGGTTTGCTGAGAGACCCTATTTCTAAGGAATATAACTACCTAGCAAATTTGAAGCCGGCCTGAGTTACAAGCGGTCCCATCTCAAAACAAACAAATAAACAAGTCACAACTATCCATCATCCCCTTCCTGTGCAGCCATCCCGGAGTGTGCGGCCTTGCTCTGCCCAGAAAACTCCAGGTGCTCACCTTCCAGCAAAGATGAAACCAAACTCAAGTGCAAGTGCCTTCCCAATTATGAAGGTGACGGCCAACACTGCAGGCGTGAGTAGGACTCCATTCTGTTTGTGTGTCTGTGCAGTTCGTGCTGAAAGTTTGATGGTCTTCTCAGTCTGCGGTCAAGCACGCGCAGAGGTCATGTCAGCACAGTATTCAGTTACGGTCCCTAACGTTGCTGTGTGCATCTGCCTGGTAGAAGGGGTGACTGATGGGATGGAAAGCTGTATGTCCTCCTGACCACCTCTGGCACATTGCTCTCCCCTCCAACTCTGAGCGTGCCAAGCGCCTCTCACTGTCTCTTGTCTCTTGTCTCTCAAGCCGTCAACCCCTGTTTAAAAAACAGCTGCCACCCTCACGCGAGTTGTTCCTTCCTGGGACCGAATCAGCACAGCTGCTCGTGCCAAAAAGGCTACCATGGAGATGGCCAAGTCTGCCTTCCCGTAGACCCCTGCCAAACGAACTTTGGAAACTGCCCTACAAAGTCTACAGTGTGCAAATATGACGGGCCTGGACAGGTGAGCCAAGAACACAGGGAAATGAGCTCAAGTAACCCAGACCACTGGGCACCTGTGTCTTCCGGCCTTCGTGTTCCGGTCCCCCACGCTCGATTTCGTGTTGCTCTCCAGGCAGTCCTTGTTACGCCCAGTACCTGATCACCAGGCTTCCCTAAGCTACCCATCCTATAAACTCCGCATTCCCAGTTCCACCCCCACGCCACCCCCAGTCAACACTTATGTGCCCCGTGTTCTCCCCAGACTCCATCCCATGAGGAGACTGACAAAATACAGAATTCAAGATTAGACTAGATCAGTTTAACCAAAGTCATGTGAATGCGGTCGACATCAACCGTCAACTCTCTGATCTTGGTAATGTCTTCTTAGATTAAGGGAACCCAAAAAGATGGGAACTGTGCAAAGCCAGCTGCACTGACAGCTTGTGGGGACTGAGGATATCATGAGGCAGGATGGCATCCCTTTGAAGTGTGCTATGATCTTGAGTGATCAAAACCCTGCCCTGGCCTAGAGGGCTTTACAGAGGAGGCAAGAGCCCTTACAGACTTGTCCCTCAAGTATTTGGTGGACGCTGCTGACTGTGGCCATGACTGCACCTCATGTCCATGTGGAAGATTTCTACACAGGATGAAGAAAAAGCTCAGGGGGTAACCCAAGCACAGGGACCCCAGGGGAAATGTTCTCAGATTCTACAGAGAATCTGCTCTGTCTCCCCTCTGAGGAGTCACTGTATCACACAGCACTGGCCACACCGAATTCATAAAAACTCAAGGGACTAAAAGGCCTCTGTGGGAAAACCCATGTTATGCCATGAGTGTCAGAAATCATCCCTGAGGCAGACTTTGGGGGCTTAGGAAGCCTCTGTTCCTCACATTCAAGTAGGACATTGCTTCACCTCAGGACTTTTAACCTCAGTGTTGGGCGTATTTTGAATTGCATCATTCTTGTTGGATAGCGTCCATCACAGCATCTCGGTCCTAGTATGTCAAGTCTCTTCTGTGACGGTGCAAAGTCTCTGTAGATATTGTCCAGGTCTCCTCCTCCACTGAAAACGGTATTCTGAAGGAATAATGCCTCCCATCTGAGTGGCAACCTCTATTGCTCTATAAGTTGTCTAAAGGGAATCATCTGTGGGGTTAAGTTTCAGAAAGCAACAAAACTAAAAATGCAAACTTTACAAACAAGGGATATGAGGTTTCTAACAGGGTAGAGATCAAGCCATGATTTCAATTTCTGGGAACTTGGACAAGTGTCCTGTGTAAGCCCACACTTCAGTCCTGTTCACTATCAGCTTTTGTGGGGGAATGCACACATGGATTAAGGGACAGCAGCTGATGAGGCCAGATGGGATCCAATTTGGTTTTCTCTCTCCATCTCTTCAAGTCTCACTGCGAGTGTAAAGAACATTTCCACGATTTTGTACCTGGAGTGGGGTGCAGCATGACCAACATCTGTCAATCAAACAACCCGTGTCATAAGAATGCAAACTGCAGCACAGTCGCACCAGGCCAAACCCGGTAAGCCTTCCCCATCTCACCTGGTCTGCCCCAGATGGTGGAAGAGGGAACCAATCGATGTGGTAATTTCCTTAAAGGAGAGGAAGCATCTCTCAATTGGCCCTGTATCCACTCTACCCCAGGTGGCAAGGGAGCATAGCAAGTATTCCCTGGATATGTTTAGCCAATGAGTCAGTCAGTTTCCATCCTGATGATGATGAGAATACTCTGAGCATTGACTTGGCCTGATAGTTGGGCTTAGAACCCTTAAGGGAAACCATTGCGCCTGAGGAAATAAATAGCTGTTGGGATTGCAGTTAGAGCACTAATGTACATGCCTCTTTCAATATTCCTGGGACAGTGCTTGAAAATGATACAGAATGAGATGGGAAAAGGTGAATAAGCGTGAGAGGTTATCTTCGGACACCAATTTTAGAAGAAGTTTACTAGGAAGGAAAACGTTTGTGTGTAAATTCCCAAGGCGGGGCCAACTTTCATTGTGGGAAGCGAATGGTGAGGAGAATTTAAGTGCCTGAGGTTAAGCTGAGCGCGGTGGTGCAGGTTGCTAATCCCAGCACTTGGTAGTCAGAGGCAGGCGGGCATCTGTATGTTTGAAGCATCCTTGTCTATATACCAAGTTCTAAGGTAGCCAGGGTGACTTAATTAGACCCTGTCTGGAAAGAAAGAAAGAAAGAAAGAAAGAAAGAAAGAAAGAAAGAAAGAAAGAGGGAGGGAGGGAGGGAGGGAGAGCGGGAGGGAGGGAAGGAGGGCAAAGTGAGTGAATGAGAGTGAGAGACTTGAGGTTAAATCATGGTTTTGGTGCCTATCCAGTGCATGTCCTTGAAAGGGGGCTACCACATGTCTGTGTACACAAAAGTGATGTCTACTCCACACAGCATCCAGAGTTACTAATGCCAATGAATAGCATAAAATGCAAATGCTTGTGGGCATTTTTTAAAGCCTTAAGACCGTGACAGGTATTTATACTCAGTAAAAATCCTATCCGCCAAAGAGGCCAGTAGGTTCACCTCTTTGCACCATGGGAAAACTGAGACTATTCAAGTCAGTTAACAATCACAAAGGCTTGGACTTCGGCCTGAGAGGTCTAAAGTAAAAATTAAAAATAGTTACGTCTCCTACATTCCTCAATGCTGAGGCCATTAGAACCGGATCCTCGCCTCCCCAGAAACAAACCATTGGCCTCATAAGGACTTGCAGAAAGAAACACCCTTAGGAGCTGGCAAGAGTTCCACATCGTGTCCTGGCAGTTGTCCTCAGATGCAGCCTGTGTGGCTTGTGCTGAGACTAAATCTCTGCGGTGATGATGACTGTATTACTCCAAAGAGTTACAGTCTTTAATTAGCTCCCTCTCCTTAACTAGTGTGGTGTGGGACTTAGCCAGATAAAGTGTCAGTACTGCTGGTAGGAAAGCAGGCAGAGAAGATGTAACAGCCCTTTAAAAGAAAACATAGTGTGGCATTGTGCAGCTCTGTCGAAGAATTTGGAAAGCTGGGGCAGGAGGCTTGAGAATTTGAGGCTAGCCTGGACTGCATAGTGAGAGCCTATTTGAAACATGTGTCGGTGTAGTGCTTCTGGGACTTAAGGCGGGCCCCAGAGAGAACTGTTTCCAGGGGCACTGCTGGGTTCATGAGAGTAGCTATTCTCTGGGATACAGCCCCAAACACATGGCCTCTGTGCTTGGTGGGAACCAACCAGCACCTCTGCAGCTCCTGGAGCCCGACTCTCTGGAAGGTTCTTCCATCCTCCTGTTTGGTTCCTCCTTCGTCTCCCGGATCCCAGGCAGTCAATCTCATCTTTCTACACGCTTCCTCCGTTTTAGCTGCAGACTCTTCTGAAAACGGTGGCAGGCGCAGACAGTGCTTCCTGATTCAGAGCCAAGGGCTCCATTTTCAGGGATTTCCAAGACTTGTTGACACCATGTTAGTAGTTGAAATTAGCAAAGGCACAATGACAAACCATGAGATCGCCAAATGCTGTCAATCGACGCTGTCTGGCCAGCCCCTTGAGAGGCAGCTGTTAGACATTTGCCAGCATGCCACAGATAGCACAACTTCACCTCTTTTTCCACATACGTGTACACACACACACACACACACACACACACGTGTCTGTATGTGTGCGTGTGTGTGTATGACTCAATTCCTACTTAGTAGGTGACTATTGACTAGGAATGCCCTAAAGTCCTGGCCCCTGTTCTACATTCTAGAATGACCACACGTGAACAAAGACACTCAAAGCCTTTGCTCTCGCTGGAGAGGGAAGTAGATATTTATCACACAACCAGACTGACCAGGGGCTGCACAGTGGGAAGTCCCAGCCCTGGGAGCTTGAGGCAGCTGCATCTGTCTGTAGTCGGGGAGTGATGAGCACTGTGCCCAGCCCCTTCCCCTTTTTGTTCAGTCCAGGGTCCCAGTGTGGTCACTCACAGTTAAAGTGGGTCCATTAACCTAATCTAGATAGTCTCGCCAAGGCAGGGCCATGCATTTGCCTCCAAGGTTGTTCCACAGCCGATCAAGCTGGCAATCCATTTTCACCATCAAGGGTAGCTTATTCTACACTGAGGCCCTTGGGTCTACATTTGTAGCAAACAATACAAGTCATTTATATGTGGATGGCATCTGGACTGCACTTTGGAAATTACTTCTACAAAGATATAGGAAGCTATCGTGTGCGTGCGTGCGTGCGTTACATTATCTAAACCTGTCTGGAAAGGCAACTGTAAACCTGTTTCAGCACTTGATGGCTCGCTAAGTCTATGCCTCTTCCTGGCCTCTCCAGTCCCATCCCCGTCATATTGGTCTCTTCACCTATAAACCCTGTGTAAAATAAAGCATCCGGCTGTGAACTCTCAGCTCCTGATGGCTCCAAGGCCCTGAGAATGTGACTTCCCCCTCTCTCCAGATGCACATGCCAGAAAGGTTACATGGGCGACGGCCTGACCTGCTATGGAGACATCATGGAGAGACTCAAAGAGTTAAACACTGAACCCAGAGGAATGTGGCAAAGAAGGCTGACCTCTTTCATCTCCATCCTGGGTACCAAGATCTCCTCCCCCAGCACAGTCCTCTCTCAGGCCAAGGCATCTGCAAGACACAAGCAGGCAAAGGGACAGACAAAGTTGGGACGCTGGGGCTCGCCCTTGTAGGGACAGGACACTCAGGGGATGGGGAGAGCAGGCGGCTGTCTCCAAGGAGACCGCATTGCAGACTAGCAATGCAAAGATTCGTAGGCAGAGAGCTAAGGCCAGGGCCATGGCATCACGCTAGATAGCAGACCAGCAATGAGAGCAAGAGGTACAGCCATTGGCGTAAAAGTCTGTTCCTTTTTTCCTTGACTTCCTGTGTTTTTCAAGGATGAATAAATGTTGGCAGAGAACTCTGAGACTAGAGTCACCTAAGGCCCCTGGTATTCATGTTCAGTGAGGAAGGTGCCATTTGAATTTTGAACAAATCTTGCTCCTGTTCACGCTTAACTGGAAGCTATTAACTAACCTATAGTAGTAACAGATCTTCTTGGAACCCTAGGCAGCATGATAGCACAAAACATGCCTATGCATCTACAGATGCCTTCTATAAACTATTTCCCCAAACCCTCTGAAGGACAAAACATTACAGCTGATCAGAGCACTGGATACGATCTCAATCAAGCATAAATTTGGCCAATCAGCAAAAATAAAAAACACAGAACTGACCCAACAGGAACCTTGAAATATCCGCATGTATGTTAGAATTGGCCAAGTATGCTAAAAACAATTTCCCAGAAAGAACACATTAAAGAAGTCAGCATCCTTGCAGACCAATGCCTTGTTCTCTGAATAATTTTAACTGTGTGATTCTCCACCCTTTGCAAGGCTTCCTAGCGAGAACCAGGTCCTGCAGACATGGCTCAGGCTTGAGAACAGCTTGCAGCAACTCTATCCTTCAGCTAAGTACTCCCAGGACATTAAATGAGAGCAGAAGGAGGTGCAGGGTGTCCTTTGAAAACTGGACCCCACACACAAACATTTTCCTAGACAGAGCCCCGTTGACCTTTCACCTTCCCCAGGCATCTTGCTCCTGTGTGAGAGCACAGAGTCTGGTGTAATACATCTCAGCATCCCCTGAGTGGGTGATGGAAACCAGCTGGCTATGGAACTTGCAAGTCTCAGAGCAGAATGTAAATGTAAGGTCCTTCGTTCAAATATTCTGCTTTTAACACAACAGTAAGTCTGTCGTGGGCTCCTCTGAGCTGGCCTTGGATGGACCCAAGAGCTTGGATGGACCCTTACACAAGGATATGAGCAGCTCAGCCAGACAGGTCAGGGACCGCGGGGCTGTCTGAAGACTGCCACACATCTGGAAAGTCACAACTAAGTCTGCTGGGAAAGTTAAAAAGTTCTGGGAATGTGTAAGCCAGCACATCACAGTACTGAGAGCCTCCGTTTACCAAGGGCATCACAGGACACAGAGAGCAGAGAAGGCCCAACACAAGACCCTCTGAATGTTTAACTCCCCATGTGCATCTGATCCACATGACATTTTCTCTTGTGTGTTTGGACTCTTAAGACAGAACTTATGGCTGGCCACTGAGCAACCTGGGGCCATTCACTGTGCTGCTCCCCTCAGACAAGGGACTAAAAGGCTTCGATGTAAGTATCTAAAATAACCCCATCTGAGGAGCCAATATAAAATGCCTTAGCAGGCAGTATTTTATGTAAAGAAGGTGGATGTTGCTGGTTGTTTTTACTCTTTGGGGGCCTGCCACCCAGCTCCCAAATAAATTACACGTGGAGTTGTATTCTTACTTATAAGTGTTTGGCCTTAGCTTGGCTTGTTAGTAGACAGTTTTTCTTAAATTATTGTGTCTACCCTTTTGCCTCCAGGCTTTTATCTTTCTCTATTTCTGTATACTTTTTTCTTTTCTTTTCTTATTTTACATCTTTCTCCATGCCTCACTATGTAGCTGGGTGGCCGGGTGGCCGGGTGGCTGGCCCCTGGGATCTATCTTCCTTGACCTTTTCCTGCCCGGTTTCTCTTCCTATCCTTTCTCCCACCTTGCTATTGGCTGTTCAGCCCTTTATTAGACCAAGCAGCACAGCTTCACAGAGTTAAACAAATGCAACATAAAAGAATGCAACACATCTTTGCATCATCAAACAAATGTCCCACAGCATGAACAATTACAACATACCTTAAAATAATAACCTGTAACAGGTGAGTATCTTAGTTACTGTTCTATTGCTGTGAAGAAATACCACAGCCAAGGTAACTTATAGAAGAAAGCATTTAATAGAGGACGGGCTCACGATTTCAGAGGGTTAGTCTGCGGCCAATGGGAACAGGGAGGCACGGATGATGGAGCAGTAGCTAAGAGCTTACGTCCTGATCCATAGAGTGGGCAGAGAGTGAGCACAAGCAGGCACGAAAGGGGAGGGGAGGGGGAGGGGGAGGGGAGGGGGAGGGGGGAGGGGAGGGGAGGGACGAGACTGGTGCTGGCATAGGCTTTTGAAACCTTAAACAAGGTCACACCTCTTGATCCTTCCTAGACAACCTGCCAACTGGAACCCAAACATTCAAACACATGAGCCAATGGGGATCATTCTCACGCAAACCTCCGCAATCCACTCACTGGCCCCAGTAGGCCTGTAGCCCTACCACAACGCAAACCGCATTTGGTTTAGCTTCCATAGTCCCCATAGTCTACAACAGTCTCAACACTTTGAAAGTCCAACGTCTCCTCTGAGACCCAAGGGAACCTCTTCACTGTAAACCCTTGTAAAATCAAAAGGCAAAGCATATACTTCTAACACACAAGGGAAGAAAGAGACAGAGTGAAGAAATACCGGACCAAAGCCGGACTGAAACCCTGCAAGGCAAACTCCAAATCCGACTTTCCCGTCTCGCGTCTCGCACTCCTTCTAGTTCGGTTCACTGCAGCACACTCCTCTTCCTTAGGCTGATTCTGTGTGGGTCTGCGGCTCCCTGGGGCCGGTATCCCAGTGCTCTGGCGTCTCCAACTTCTGGGTGTCTCCCGCACAACCCAGGCTTTTGCCTCCACGTTCCCACATAACGGCCTCTCTGGGACTCCGTGGCTGTTTCCTTAACCACGGAGGAAGATTCCACAACCCTTTACGCACGCACGCACGTTCCCCTCCTTCAATCACATTTGCACGGGCTTTGATTTGTTGATGGCTTCCTTTGCTGCTTGTTGATCCTTTCCTTTTCATAGCCTTCAGGGTTAGCTGGGTGAAATCATACCCTGAGGACGTCACTTCCTTTATTCCACTCAGAATTCAGCATCAGGCTCTTCCTTAACTTTTTATCTCTTTGAGAATAAGACTTTGCTGCAGCATGGTGGCCACTCTTCTTTAAACCACCACAGTTTAACTTTGTTTTAAATTAACACATAATCATTGTAAAATATTTCTCATATACATATACATATATATGTTCATTTCTTTGTGCTGTTGAAGTTCACACTTCACTGTTGCAGTACTTTCTAGAACACAAGCTTCCCTAATTTATAGACACTATTACATGTCCTAGAACACCAAAGTTCATTCCTCTTGTCTGACTGAATTGTGGCATGCATTATCTCCTCTCCCTTCGATGCTTTCTTGCCTCTAGTGACCACTACTGCTACTATTATTCCCTTCTTAGCAGTCAACTCTTTTCTCATCCACACGTGGACGACAACATGTACCATTTAATAAACCTCTGTGAGTGAAACCGCCCTAACAAAAAAAGCACGCAAATAATAAAAGCGCACATCAATTTAGTTTCTCCAAATGAAAGAACTTGTGTGTCTGGCAAGACCATCACCAGCACGCTACAATTCCATCCTCTAACCATTCACTCTCCAAAAGGTCCCTCAAAGCTTATAAGCATCCAGTGCTGTGAGAATACAGTTTGTGTAATGCAAAGCTGCTCATTCCCACAGAAAGGATGAGACTAGAACACTAGCTGGGTATTTGTTGGCCTCGGGAATGGTCATGGTGACAGGGGACAAGGAGAGAACCTTACTCTTCAATGTGCACAGCTGCTGTCTGATATGTCATGGAGAGGGAATGAAACCTGTTGCTGGAGGAGGTGATAATAGCAACACTGTAGTTCTATTTGATCTAACATAACTAATGTTTACCCAGTTTACATAAAATAGGCTCTTCTTCATCCAAGACGTTCTCTGATGATAATTTTTGCTACCTTAAATTTAAGTCCGTACATAAAAGGCTCTTCAAACGGATATACCATTCGCCGTTCATCCATCTCAGATGTATGTGTTTACCGGTGACCTTCAGAGATGCCCTGTGTCTCTTCTGCTGCAGAGAAAGGACAATGTCACAAACCTTCATCCTAGGCGCTTGGGGTGGAGGGGTCCTCCCCTTTAATATATAAAGATTTACAGAACCCATTTAAAAAGTATCTGTTGATTGTTGACTATGGAGTAATACCAAAAACGCAGATTTGGTCCCAAACGTTTACTATTCAAAAGCACCACCGTTCCATTCTACTTGCTTTTTATTTTTGACTGTTTACTACTAAATAAGTGCACCTTTTTAAAGCCTAGGGCGGTGCACACCTATAATTCCAGCACTCTGGCTACCATCTCTTTCCATAAAAACAAAACAAAAACAAAAAAGGAGAATATTTCATTCTGGCTCTTATTATTTGTGCCTGATGTCCTCTTTCTCCTCTGGCAGCCACTGTTGGGCTCTACATACCATATCAGTCCCAGGGCAAGGCATCCTCTGGTGTCTGCCGGTGCACAGGCCATCAGCTCTGACTCTGCAGGTCCCATTCTCTTTGAGGCGTGTGCTCACCTGAAACATCATCTTTGTCTGAGAGAGTCCTGGAGAGCACTCTAGCTTGGGTATCTTTGGTGATGAATGAGGCATGTATTATAACACTCATTTTCTTCGAGTGTCATCCCAGCCGGCTCTCTTTCCTTAGGCAAAGGAGTTACTGATGGACCACGAGGCCGCTCGATACTTTGTGAAGCTCCACATCATTGGCGGGCAAATGGGCACAGAGCAGATGAATGACACAGACACCTTCTACACACTGACCGGAAAATCAGGGGAGATCTTCAACAGGGATAAGGTCAGAATTTCTTTAAGTTTCATTCCTATGACAACACCAGAGCAAACTGTTACAGAAAGGGGACGATGGTGTCTGGTTTGGGTCTGGCTTGAGTCAACAAACGCATGTATTGTGCACCTTCTTTGTGCAACCTTCCTAATGCTGCAAACCTTTAATACAGTTCCTCATACTGGGGTGGCCCCTCAACCACTGATACTTCATAAATGTAATTTTGCTACTGTCATGAATTGTAATGTCTATCCGATATGTGACTCGTGTGAAAGGGGTCATGCACCACAGGCTGAAAACAACTGTATCAAAGCAACAATCTATTGAATTGTTACACCCTAGTGAGACTTGCAGCTCAAACTTTGCATGTGATACTCATCAGTGACATCATACCCTATCTCATTTGAACTCAGTAGGGACCATGCAAGGTGGGTCCAGCACACATCTTCATCCTTATGTAAGATCATGTAATTTTTCCAAAGTCTCACAGCAATAGGACTTCTGACTTCTAATCCCAGAATTGGTCTTCCAAGAACACATGTTAATTTTATTTTATTACCATATTAATTAAATTTTATTTCCTTTTTTTCTCTTTGTGAAACTGTAGGACAATCAACTAAAACTCAAACTTCATGGAGGCAAAATGGTGAAAATTATCCAGGGGGACATAGTTGCTTCAAATGGGCTTATACACATCCTGGACAGGGCCATGGACAAGATAGAGCCCACCCTCAAGAGCAACCCCCAGGTGAGACAAGTCAAGTACCAGTAAGGCCAGCCCAGGGCCACCTTCGCTGATGCCTGGAGACTCACATCCAAGAGAAAAGTGTTTGCCATCCCTTAGCCTTCATTTTACAAGAAGGGTCTCCAGGATGACTTTTAGCTTTTAGTAGACTTCTGAGTGTTGCTCCAGAGGGAAAGGGAGATATACTAGGAATGTTTTCATGGGTGGTTTTTTAACCTCACTTATGGCCATATCAGACGACTCAGCCTGATGTCCAGTTGCCAAGGCAGCTCACTCCCTGTACTTCATGGAGGGCAGTCATGGTCGTAACGAATTTCTTCTTCCTGACCCTCATGGTGTGGCCAGAGACTGCTGTAGAATGCCCGTATTTGGATGACTGATCAAGTCAAAGCAGTTGTATAATGCATAGCTGTAGATCCGGTCCTTTTATGCATGTTCATACTTTTATATTACCTCTGCTATGCCTCTTCACACTAAGGGTCACATTCCCCAAACCATTTTATGAAACCATTTTATGATTTTCTTACTGACTTTTCAGCTAAATTTCTCTTTTCAGCAAACCGTAATGGAAATACTACAACCAAGATACAGCAAGTTCAGATCTTTGTTAGAGGTATGCCCCTTTCATACATTTCAGAAGGAAAAGAGTCTGGTTAAGTTCTTTGTAAAGTCAGACACCAACTTCAAGTATTTTCTGGAAACTCCTTCAAAGGTTATTTTGAATGAACAAAAATAAAAACTCTAATTTCTCAAATGCAGGCAACCAGTGTCGGACAGGCCCTAGATGAAGGTGGCCCATACACCATTTTTGTTCCAAGTAACGAAGCACTGAATAACATGAAGGCGGGCACCATTGATTCTCTCCTTTCTCCAGAGGTAGAGTATCCATACTCTGTCCGCTCTAACGTCCTTTGGACTAAAAATAAGTAAACAAGTAAACAAACAAGCAAACATATTCAGTTCCTTACCACTTTAAAGTCATCTAGAGAACTGCACTTTCAGTCAGCCATTTAGGGCCCGACCTGGACTAAAGAACCAACCGTCACTGAACCAATTGTCCAAGAACCAAGTGTCACTATTAGATGCCCTTTGCTTTGAGCTCCCTTCTCTTTGCAGTGGCCCTTCCCTTCTCTACCATAGTTTCCAGAGCTGTCATATTCCCCCTGGAGAGGAGATCACGGATTCCTTTATATCAAGGTCAAGGTTAAAATGATTTGAAATCACCTCTCGGACCTAACAGACAAGATCTGAAGAGATAAATAAATGCCCATGGATTTTTTTTTCTCTAAAATGGCAATCAAATGGGACAGTTTGATGGTTACAAATTTGTTCTGTGACTTTCCAGAGACTGTGCTGCCGTCTTAGCCATGGGGCAAGGCTATGACGATTACTGACGACACAGAATGTGGGAGGTGGGAGCCAGCCAGTGACTCCAGGCTCCAGTGTGGTCAGGGATCATCTGTAGCACTTGTCAAGCAATCAAGCCTGCGTCCTGGTCCCAAATATTGTGTTCCGAGCCACTGAAGTGAGACTGAGGGACAGACTTGCCGGCACACGCCCACTCTAACACAGGTGTCTCAGCCACACTGCTGTGGTGAGCCATGAATCCTTTTTGCTCTATGGATTCATCAATACAGTCCTTGCTGTTACACATACCAACAAGGACCTCTTGCATTCTGAAAATGTTAAAGGGTGAAAGACATAGACACACAGAAAGACACACACACACACACACACACACACACACACACACACACACGAGACAGAGACAGAGAGGGAGAGAGAGGGGGCTCACTTCCTAGTACCACACATAGACAGTTCCCATTCTCCATTTCATTCAGGCCAGGACCCCATGCCCAGGGAACGACCCCGCCCACAGTTAAGGCGGCGTTTTTTTCCACATTAATTAACCAATCAAGGCAATCCCCTCCAGGCACGACCCAAGACACATTTCCCAAGTGGTTCCAGATGCAGTCGTGTTGGCAATCACAGTGAAGTGAGATTGAGCCCCAAAGGGCAAGGGGCTCCTGAACGCTCCTGAGCATCCCATATCAAAGCGTGTCCTGCCATTATGCTGGGTGACACCAATGGCCCTGTCTAGACGGGGCTGAGACACGCAGTAACCAGAGATTGACCCCCATGTTCCTTTCGCTCTTCTCTTCCTCGTGACATGGACCCAACACCAACCAGACTTTAGAAGTTGACTCTCCCACTGAGAGATCTTTTTTCCAAACAGAAGCAAAGCTATAGAGGAGATCCACACCAGTGCCTTTATTTTCCAGGAAAAGCAAGCCTTAGCAGCTAAGTGAGTCATTTAAGGTCACACAGGAGCTAAACGGATATTGCTACCCAGGCTTCTAAACTCAAGCTAAATGCTCTAACTAGCATACCACCTTTATTGGCACAAATGCTTGGACGGTGACTATAGTGTGTTCTCCATTCTGCCCAACCTGAGCACACGGTGATCATAGCTCAACATGGACATGCACAACGTGTCACTCAGAAATTGGCCATCTTGTCTTGGTTGGACATTTCTCAGCAATGTTCTCTCCATACCGCCCTCTCTGGTGCCACACATTGAAGCCTTCTCTTGCATGGCTTCCTCGGAGCCACTCCGTGGCTGAGACACAGAGGTTGACTTCTTCAAGGTGGCCCACCCAAGGGGAGGGGAGGTTTGAAAGTGAAGAGAGCAGCCAGACTGGACCAGACAAACTGAGATGTGTGGCCATTGCTTACAGGTCCTGACATCATGACCAAGTCAATGCCAAGAGGAGGCTGAGTGAGGGGAGCCCCAGGGCCAGCCTGAGCCTTGATGTGTAAGAACAGGTCTCCAGAAAGGAGAACTCCCTGGTAGTCATTAGGCTCTGGATCCGTAATCTTTGCCCGTCCAACTGTGCTACCACCCAGAATAACTCGAGGGCTGGGAAGCTTCTTATGACTCATTGAGTCAGTATAGAGGAAGATACCACTACCTCTGCCTTCTGCCCTGGGAAGGTGGCCTTGGGCTTCCCCATTCTCTAGGTTCCCTCCAGGACAACTGCCTGCAGTTCTCAGCGAAAGCACCAGAACCCTAGCTGTGATAGTGGCAGGGGGTACAATGCCATGGTTTGGTTAGATGCTTTCTTCCCTTGTAGCGCCAGTGTTTTGATGCAAGAGGAAACCTTGGCAATGTCTTGGAAGACGGGTGACTTCGTTTGAGAGAACAGGTTATCAGGGTCCTGAACACTCCTAAAATGTCAGTATGTGGCCTGACAAGCAAAGCTTGATTTACGGAGCAAGTTGGGAGTCATAAACAGAGGAACGTCATAAAAATTTGAAGATGTTAAATGTTCAGAGGGAAAGTTGAACAGAGCGGCCCAGAGTGTGGTTCATGCCCTGAGGAAGCTGTGTGGCTTGGAAGTGTTTTGATGCTCAGTATTATCACATGTAAAATGGGTTAAAGGTCGGCTCTACTCACAGGGATGCCGGGGTTACATAAAATGTGTGTGCTATATTCTTGGAACAGCCAAGAGATTTTATGAATGTCAGCTATCTGTGCATGGAATTTTTCTCATCTTTGGTTTCCCAATAAAGAGGTTGGGGCATTGTCTTTTATGATTACTATCCAAAGCCATTCATGTGATTGACTCTCAAAAAAAAAAAAAAAAAAAAAAAAAAAAAAAAAAGCACATAGAGTTTTCTTTGTTGATTGGCATATGCTATTGGTTCCTTTGCAGGGCTCTCGGAAACTTCTGGAACTCATCAGATACCACGTTGTTGCATTTATCCAGGTTGGTCCTATTCTTACTCCTACTACTTTACTCCTGCTTTTGAAATACCAGATTCTAGTCTTGAATTCCACTATGTTGGGGCTGGAGAAATATTTGTGACATTTACTAGCTTCAGTCTATTAACTGTTGCCGGTGTTATTATTATCAAAGGAATCCTTACAGCCACAAATGCTCGTGACATCAAAGCTACGGTTATGTAATCAATAGTAAAGGACTTTTTGCAGCAAGGATGGTGAGAAATGGGGACTCTGTGCATTGCTGCAGATGACTCTCTGGTCTCTTCCCACTGCAGCTGGAAGTGACCACCCTCATTTCGACACCTCACATCAGGACCATGGCCAACCAGATCATACAATTTAACGTAACCCGAAATGTAAGTGAGACGCGTATGGCTGACTCATGCATGTTTACTCTGATAATGTCTCTACACTTTCTCAGGCGTGAAGCCTTGACTTGTTAGGTAACATCTATGGGGATGTCCCCGTATATGCATGTGTGTACACATGGAGGACAGAGGCCCACCTTAGGTCTCACTCCATAGGTTTCCTCCCCTTTGAGAAAACATCTCTCATTGGACTGGAGTTTACCAAACAGACTAGGCTGGCTGGCCAGTGAGCCCCAGAAATCCACACGTCCCCAGTGTTAGAATCACAAGAGAATGCTACTGTGCCTCGCTTCTTAGAGCCAGGTCCTGGGGATCATGACTTACTACTTGAAAGCCAAGCACTTTACCTGCTGAGCTGTCTTTACAACTGCTCTACTCAGTTCTTTCAGCAAATGGCAGCTGAGAACCTACATGAGTAACAGTCTGGGTTAACTCAAGAAGAACAAAAGAAAGGCTATGTCCCAGAAGAGAAAATAGAATTTAACAACCCATTATCTGGCCAGTGAATTGCTGTTGCAATGAGTGTCAGTCAGAGGAGCTGTGACAGCTCGTAGCAGAGGAGTCTTGGAAAGGCAGGGGGTCGAGACTTGAAGGTGAGCAGAATGGGTTTGTCAAGATGAATAACGGGGGCCTGGGGGTCTGGGGTGGAAGTGTGAGAAGACTGAGGAGGGGCATGGTTTGCTAAGGAAATTCAGAGCGCGCTGTCTTGGGTGGCTAAGTCTGGGAGCAGAGAGAATGTCCCCTGTTGACTCCGTTGACTCAACCGTCTCCTGTTGGTTCAACACTACCCACTGTTGATGATGATGATGACGACCTCATCCATTCGGCAGACGTCTACCGAGTACCAATCTGTTCCAGGCACTGTCCTAGGTCCGGAAGAACACAAAAGCAAACTTTTGGTCTGCATGGAACTTCCATTCTAGTAAATAGGAAGATAGTCAATAAAGATGTTAAGGAAAAAAAGCTTACCTTATGAAGCAATGACACACACAAACAAGCAAGCAAACAAAAAACAGATACACTACCTAAGGAACAGTACTCAAGATTGACCTCTGACCTCTGTGTGCATAGGCATACATACAAAGAAAATAAATAATGATGGTGTCCTACACAGGCATGGTCAGGGATATTGTAAGAAGTAGTTGAATTGTGAATGCATTTTGAAGATAAACCCAACACGTGCATGCGTGCATGCGTGCATGCATGCTTGTGTGTGTGTGTGTGTGTGTGTGTGTGTGTGTGTGTGTGTGTGTGTTATTTTGTTGAGACAGGGTCTCACTGTACAGCGCTGGCTGTCCTGGAACTCACTAAGTAGATCATGTAGACCAGGCTGGCTTCAGACTCACAGAGATCTGCCCACCTCTGCCTCCTGAGTGCCTTGCAAATATATTTGAGGACTGAGAAAGCCAAGAATGACTCAGAGGCTTTTGACTTGGACAGCAAGAATGAAGTCACCATCGATCTGCAGGGGCAGCAGGTGTGGGAAAAGTGGAACTCAGAAATCTTGGCGAATTCACCCTTTTTTTGCCCTCCCCCCCCCCACTAGCTAGCTGCTAAGCAGCAGCATGTCTGTTTTTTGTCTGATGCATCCCCAGGGCCTAAAGCAGAGCTTATCTGATGCAATGAAGGTATTGAATAGACAGATCTTCACTTAAGAACTAAGAGGTAAAATAAGCAAGTGCTGTATGGAGTGGAAGTAGACAGGCCTCTGTCCTACCTCAGCGTGTGCAGGGACATCCCTGCCCAGGAAGGGACTCAGTTCACACTATCGTTTGCTGACTCACCAATACTGGCCTTCCCACAGCAAGTGATGTTGAGGGGTTCTAGAGATACCGTTACTGAGCACATCTGCCTGGGTATTGCTCCAGCTCCTGCCATCACAATGGAAGATGTCTATGCATCTTCTTCTTTCTTCAGGGACAGATCCTGGTAAACGATGTGGCAGTGGAAGAAACTGGGATCGTTGCCAAAAATGGCCGAATTTACACCCTGGCCGGAGTTCTTGTTCCTCCGACCATCGTCCCGATTCTTCCCCACCGATGTGACGAGACAAAGAGAGAAATGATATTGGTAAGGGGACTTGGGAAATTCGGGAACTTGGAGCTTGCACGTCCATTGAACTCAGGCAGCATTCTGTGCTCACAGTTCTGAGGAAGCTGAAACCACCCCATAAAAGTGAGTCTTTAGGAGGAGAAGGCAGCCACGAGCCAAGGTTCTGGTGGGATTTCTATCGGAGAGGATCTGAAGTTGTGCAGGGATCTTGGTGTGGCCGTAACAAATGACCATAGATGGCAGTCATTTGCTCTAGCATGTTTACAGATGCTAGCAATCTGAAATCAAATTGTCAGCAAGGCCACCCTGTCCTTGAGGGCTCTGAAATCCCAGGGCTCTTTTGTTATGTTCTCCAGGATGGTTTCAAATCCGTGTACCCTAAAGATCCTCATTCCTCTGCCGTGTATGTGTCTGGGAACATAAACACACGCCATCTCCCTAATCCCGAGCTTCTGACCATTCCCAGGAGTCCTGGGCACTCTCCATCTCGTGGCTTCACACTGCCATCTCTGTCCTCGCTCCCTGTGGCTTCGTTCTCCATGTTTGTAATGACAACGGCACTGGACTTAGGGGCTCCCTGACCCTTGTACATGTGCAGACTCTATTTCCACACAAAGTCGCATTTCGAGGTGTGGGGGGGCCATGCATTTGAGGAGAGCTGCTATTCTGCCTACTCAGTCACAGGGGTGGGGCCTGAGCAGCCTTGCCCACTGCCCCTCTTCGCAGGGGAACCAAAGACCTTGCAGGTAGACACTCTGGCCCGGTGACTCACTGCTCTTTCTATAAGTTGGTTTCTTCATGCACCTCTGTGCCCTCCGATGACCTTTCCTAATTCAGAATGAACTGTTCTGGCTCAGACGGTTTTAATCAAAGCACCCTTGACACCAATATTGCTCCATGGGCAATCTCTACCTTACTGTGGAATTATAAACCCGGAATTGCAGCAATAACAGTCTGAACCTTTCTTTGCAAGACATTTCATTTGAAGTAATTGATCTCACAGTATCTTCGGAACACAGGCACTGAATGAACAAGGGGGAAAAGCTCATAACTGTACTTTTTAATCTTTCTCCACCTCTTCCTGCTCTTCCCTCTCTCCTCCTCATCTTCTTGAATCGGGGTCTCAATATGTACTCCTTGAACTCCTGGATCGGCCGAGGAGGGCTGGGATTCCAGGCGCTTGCCAGCACACCATCCTGTCCTCCCCTGATGGAGGGCCAGGAAGAGCTAAGCATCTTCTCAGAATGGGGGCTGGTTTTCTGGTCCCAGAGTCCTTGACTGGTACAATGACTGGTTTGTTTAGGCTACTGAGCATAACTTCTGAAGGCCAGACGCCGTCTGGGAAATGTTACGCCACTCTGATCAGCTCTTCCTAAGAAGCGTTGAAACATGTACTCTCATAGCCAGCAATCTCCTTAGTTCCCTGTTTGGAAATAATCACCACGGGAACATTGCCTGGCTTAAGCCAGAGAGCGTGACCTCCCTACTAAAATCGGGACCTGAAACGCTGAGGAAGAGAATAGGATGCAATCACTCGATGTGCTCCTCGGAGCCTTCTACCACAGGCATCTCTGTCTGCTCAGAGAAAGAAGTTCGTCAAAGGACAAGGGCAGCCACACTGCTGGTCGTGTTGTGCCCCTGGGTGTTGTGGAGCTTGCTCCTTGTTGTTGTAAGGGGAAAACTCGAGATGTGGGATGGAATTACAGCCTAAAGAACTGTAGTTGGGAAGGGAGAAGAACTTTCTAGTAACCGCCTAAGAATGAACGCTTCCTCCACTGCTTAGCACCCACTCTTCCCTCTAGAGTTAAAGCCAGCCCCGCCTGCTCTGCTTAGTCGGTGTGGTTTGGGTTGGATATCTATCTTAACAGTCCAAGTGAATCCTTTAGGAAATACATACTTAGGTCTAGAAAGAGTAGACATGGTTGGAGCTTCCTACGATCTTTTTTTTTTTGGACATTCTCAGCATGGCAGCCTTCAGACATGTTAGGTTTGGACTTTAGATGTTCAATAAATAGCATTTTAAAAGTCAAGTCCCTGCAGGAAACCAACTTTATCAAGAGAACACAAACATGTGGATGCTGAGTAGCCAGGGATAAACGGTCACAGCAACCATGACCACAGGGCTAGGAATGAGCTACAGGGCTCCCAGCGAGAGTAGGAGCAGCAAGGGGGTGTGGTGGAGGGCTGTAGGGGCAGCATGCCAATCAGTGCAGAGCTTAGGGGCAGCATGCCAATCAACCAGCGTGGTGCAGAGGCAAGGAGGAAGTCCTTGATTTGCTCTCGTCCTGCAACAAGTACCTGCTGGTGCCCAAAGCCAACTGGAAGTTGGTCACAGCACCATACAGAGGATGTCAGGGGACAGATCTGGGGACGCACATCTTGTCCCTTCCTTCTCAAGTTAAAAACCAGCCTCCCCTCCCCACCCCCCAAGACTGAGGCCCTCACAGGGATGCCTGTGCTGACTATTGTTAACCTTTCAGGGCTCTTGTATGAGCTGCTCTCTGGTACGTTGGAGCAAATGTCCTGCCGACTCCGAGCCTACGGTGAGTGTGACAAGGCTGTTTCATGACCAAATTGTGCAAGCCCACTCTGTCCTTTCCCATCTTTTTCCATCCGCTTCCTTCTTTAAACCTGGCCAACTCAGCCACGGTGGGCGGAAGAGAGCCCACAGATCCATGCTTGGTTTCTAGCTGGCCCTGGTTATGTTGCTTAGCCCCTTTATCCTAATTTTCTTCCTCTGTAGATAACAAAAGGGTTAGTATAAATACAGTTTATAATATCCAAGAGCAAACAGCCTCTCTAAGAGCTTCCTCTCTAATTCCTCCTCCTAAATAAAGCCCAATGTTGGTATTTGCCTAACCGATCATAATTCTATAGGAATACACAAGAAGTAATCAGGAAAGATTACACACTTACAGTTAGACAAGGAAAGTAAGTCCCAAGTTAGGCACGCTGTACAATAGTGTCTAATGTCCTACATACTTCAAAAATGCTGAGACTATATTTTAGATGTTCTCCCCCACAAAGAAACACGAAGTGCACAAGACAACAATGACATTAATTAGCTTAAACATGTAATACCACACTGTACCTCATAAACATATTCGTTATTTGCCAGTAAGAATAAAAATAGGGACTGGAGAAATGGCTCTGTGGTTAAGAGCACTAACTGCTATCACAGAGGGCTTAAGTTCAGGTCCAGCACCCATATCAAGTGGCTCACGACCTCCTGGAACTCCAGCTCCAAAGGATCCAACACCCTCCATGTGCACTCACACTCAGACACATATACAGACAAATAATTTTTTAATTAAAATAATAAAGATAAATGTCAGAAAGTATGCTGAAACTATTTTAAACATTTTATGTTTAATTGAATTATTCACGTTTGTTGAAGTTGATCCTATCTTAAACACAGTGCTTGATTATGGGACAAATATAAGATATCATATTGATTTGGGTTTTCCTTAAGAAATTCAGATGGTGTGTGTGTGTGTGTGTGTGTGTGTGTGTGTGTGTGTGTGTATTGCAACTATACAGCAACCTGTAATTATATACCAACTACTCTGTTGGGAAAAGCAGTGTGGCAACATGCTCTAACACAAGAAGGGTGACAGAAAACTTCTGTCTTTTAAAAAAGACTTTCTCAAGCCGATTTCTGTGCTAGACTACATCATTATTGAAAACGGCAAGATCTTTAATACAGTCCTAGCATTTCCTAGTAGCAAATACTTAAAGCAGAACGTTAAACTGACGAAGGGTTGGGTGCTCAAGTGTCTGTTGTGCATAATGAAGCCATTTCCCACAAGTCCTTTGGGAAACTATTAACCAGGAACCAGGAGGAGAATAAGTTGGTGCCACCATGACAGCTAGATGACAGACATTGTCCTACCCACTCCATGCAGCAACCCTGGAGGATGAGTTACGTCTTCAGTTGCTGTGACAATATTCCCTGACAATTCATTTTGGCGCACAGTTCAAGGGCGCACAGTTCACCATGGAAGGGAAAGCATGAGGCTGCTTCCCGCATTGCGGCTGCAGTCAGGAAGCAGAGAGAGATGAAGGCTGGTGCTCGGCTGGCTAGCTTCCTCCTTGTTAAGTCATGGAAGGCTGCTGCCCCCATTCGGGATCTGTCCTTCCAGCTCCATTAAAGTAATCTAGATCCCTCAGAGGCACACCCATGGGCGCGTCTTCTAGATGATTCTAGGTCCTCTGGCTTTAACAATCAACACTGGCCATCAAACCTAGGAAGGACATGCGTCATCAGCATCAGTGCTGTGTGTGTAGGGGAGCAAGGTGAGGACATAAGGCTGACACGTGGTAGGATCAGGGTTATGCCTGTGAATCCGACACCATTGAGTTGGCCTCAAACTAAAGGGAAGGGAAGAGGGGGGGGGGTAAAAAGAAATGGGCCAGAACCATAAAAGCTCCTGAGGTCCTATGATCCACTCCAGTTAATTCCCTAAAATACTCTTTCCCTTGAGGTGTCAGGATGCATTTATGTAGAAAAGAGTTAGGATCTTGTGTCCTGGCAAGGTCCTCCTTCAGCAGAGCCTAGGGCAAGGGGATGAGCGACACAAAGATGGATTTAGTACAAAACCTGAGCTGGGAACTGAGCTGGGTGAGATTTTATATCAGCATCATTGTCCCGTGTCACACGAAGCAGCTGAGACCCACGGAGACCATGTGATACTAGTAAGTCGTGAGTGAGACTTAGTCTCTGGAGCAGACTTTAGCAGTTAACCTATCTGTTCCTCAATTTCTATATATGTTTAAAAAGAAACATGGAAAAACATTCACACGAACTGGCAAACGGATGGCCCATATGCACCGTGTCTAGCCTACTGTAATTCCTCAATAAATGGAAGTTATATCGAACTACAATGGCATCAACGATTAAAGAATGGGAGGACGTTATTTAATCAGCTTCCAAAATCAAGGAGTAAGACTTAGGCTATTGACAATTTTCTCAGTCGGCAGATTTTTCCACATAGAAGAAATCGATACTTACTGGCTTCAAAATGTCCACATGAGCTCAACGATGGCTATAGAGCAGAGGGAGACCCAGACCACATGCAGGGTAAATCAGAGTGTTCGGTGATGGATTAGAGATGTCTGTGATAGCATGAGAGGATGTGTAATGATCCTTGCACCACAGGTTGTCCAAAACTTGGCCTGTATTCTACCAACAAAGAAAGAGGCCTCATGAAGATGGCAGTCTGATTTGGAGTTGGGTGTGTTGGTGCGGCCCTTGCTCTGGCACCAGAGAGTAGACTGGCTGGCACAGGGAGAGGCTGTGTAATGTCCAGGGCATGCTAGGATGCACACAACAGTGCTTTTACCCACTGGCTTTCTTCCAGACACTCTTCACACACACATGTGTCTACAGAAGCAGAATACGGAACCTGAAGAATGGCTGTGCACGATACTGTAACGCTACCATGAAGGTAAGGAGGGTACAGTCATGGCACGATCCAGGACGCCAAGACCTGTGAAGCTCCAAGCTATGCTACTGAGCTCTGAAGTCTGCATGGTCACAAGTGGCCTGCAAGAATTTAGGATATTTTTCCTGAATGGGAAACAAATGGTAGACTGGGTGGTGTAGTCAGGCCACCACCCCGTCTCTTAACACAGAGTGCACGCACCTGACCCCTACACGTGAGCCACCCTCCATTCAAGTTTCTGACCTGGCTCTTACCCACATTTTTGCCTCATAATATGCTTATTTGATATTCTCTTCAGAGTGCCCATCCAGATATGCAGGGGCTGACTCATCTTCCTAGTCTCCCTCTCTGCCGAACCCCTCCGGTCACTACCCCACTACCCAGCAAGCGTCAAACTCCACCTCTACATGCTAGCCCTCCATTCCAACACTTGCCTTCCTATCGCTGGCCATTCCCTGGAATGTTCTTTTATTTCCCACTTGTTTGTTTATGAAACCAAGCCCAGGGTCTTGCAAATACTAGGCAAGCGCTCTACCACTGAGTCTCCTGTTATTTCTCTATTCTATCTTCCATGGCGACTCTTTCCCGTCTCTCGTATATACTCTATAAGCATGAGCCTTCATCGACCTCGTTCTCGTGTCCACGGGAGAGACACTGGCGGTAAAGCGCCAGCAAGTTCATACGAAGGGCTGACATTGTATCCCGCTAGTGGAAGCCACCTCTCTTTTGCGAACTGTCCCCAAGAACAGCACGTGTGTTGTTTCCAGATACCGAAGTGCTGTCGTGGTTTCTTTGGGCCTGACTGCAACCCATGCCCAGGCGGCTTCTTGAGTCCGTGTTCGGGAAATGGGAAGGTGAGTATAGTCCCTGGCTCACACTGTTTCGTGTGTGCTGACCTTTCTCAAGTCACACAGTAATACTGCAAACTCCTACACCAAAAAATTGGCACAGCGCAGGCCAGTGTTCCCAGTAATAAAAAGAATTGGGTCTCTTGCTGGAACGGGGGGGGGGGTACCTGCTGCAGAGGAACTGGGCAGGGGGAGGAGAGCAAGGGAGAACGTTGCTTAGTCTCCCCTCCCCCGTTATCCACCACGAGGGCTTGAAAGACTCAAAACTCTTTGGACTTCACTTTCCAAACCTGTGGAAGATTCCAATGTCAAAGGTTTCCATGGTACTTCAAAATAATAATAGTGTTGGCCAAGGTTGCTTTGTTGTTGTTGTTGTTTTAAAAACCCAACTTCAGAACCAAGTGAAATGTAAAGGCCAAAGCTTAACTCATCAACTTGGAGGCCAAGACCAACAAAGGTAAATTCATCCAGGAAAACTGTAGATCTGAGAATTTAATACATTCACATCTAAACCACCGCTCCTGAAAATTGGAATGAAAGATGGGGACTGTCTCACACAGAAAGTAAGAATAAAAGAGACTAGCAGTGATGTCTGGGGCCTGGTGGTTAGGGGAAGGTAGCCCACACCCAACCCTGACGTGTAGTAACAAACACCAACCTCGGCTTGCCAGGGCTATGCAGCTAAGTGTCTTAGTTAGGGTTTTTATTGCTATGAAGAGACCCCATGACCACTGCAACTCTTACAGGGAAGACATTTAATTGGGGTGGCTTACAGTTCAGAGGTTCAGTCCATTATCATCATGGCAGGCAGGCATGGTGCTAGAGGGTTCTACTTCTTTACTCAGAGGCAACAGGAAGTTGACTGACAGTCACAGAGGGAAGCCGGAGCAAAAGGGACCTCGACAGTGCCACCCCACAGTGACACATTTCCTCCAGCAAGGCCACACTTCCTAATAGTGACACTCCCTTTGGGGACCATTTCCTCTCACGACACCACAGTAGGAGAGCAAGAGAGATTTACACAGGACAGAACACACCCAAGCAAGCAAGCGTGTCATCTGGAGGCCTCTGTCTGCCACTTGCCACCCACCAAGCGTTGGATGAAGGGTCTCATTTCACATTTGTAACCCTCTATGGTGCGGCTTATTCTGAGGCGATGTGAGCAGATCTCTTCGGCCCATTTAGAGTACCATGAAAAACAAAAGCCCTCCAAGTCTGTCTTGGTGAACCAGTGGGTTCACTGGGTTTACAAAGGCAGCAAGGGCACCTGCACACCCTCATCACCGAAAAGGCCCACCCCTGAGCTGCCTGCCCATCTGTCACACAGCCCCACTGAAGGGTCGAGCCTTGGCAAGTGTTCACTGCTCACATGAGCTCTGCCAGGCTCCCTGTGGGTCGAAACTGTTCAGGGGTCTTGTGTTTTGAGAGTCTCCTGAGCCTCCTAAGTATAAGATAACCTTCCCAGTGCTGAACCTCACCACACACAGAACGTTTCAGTTCAGAGGAAGCAGCTACACAACACACCCTTGCGCCTTGTCCTCTACGGTTCTAACCTTAGCTCAGGACCCCCAAGCCAGGTAGTGTGTTTGCATTCTATGTGATACCGAGAGGACTCCACCTTCCGGTGGGACCGAGCCTGGGTTCAGATTTAAGACACGGGGCATCTGCTTCTCCTTCGCCGTCACATGTGCTGCCTTTGCTCTCAGTGCGGAGATGGCCTCGGTGGCAATGGGACCTGCATTTGTGAGGATGGCTTCTACGGCTCCAAGTGTCAGTTCTGCTCCAACCCCAACAGATATGGACCTCGGTGTAACAGAAGTAAGTGGGGTTTCTAGAGTGCCCTTCCACGGGCTCTCTCTCACACAGAGCATGCTGACAAGGTGGTCTGGTGTCCTGTGGATTTTGCTTGTGGTGTGTCATTGTCACAGCGTGGGGGCTTTAAGTGCTGCTTCTCAAACTGTAGCACGGGGCCAGACAATCGGGCACAAGGTGCAGAGAGAGGTTACTTGGAAAGCTTTATTGGGGGAAGGTAGGAGGGTAAGCGAAAGGAAGACAGAAGAGAGATGGAGACAGAGATCTGTCTATCTGTCTGTCTCCTCGGAGAAACTGGGCGGGGGTGGAGATGTCTCTTAAAGAGACCTTTGCACCTGTGTACAGAGCCAGGGTACTACTGCCTGTCAATCATGCAGCTGTCAATCATGCACGGGTGGGCACTCAAGGGGGGGGGGGGCTGGCAGTGCCGATCCAGCCACTGCGCTTTAGAAATCACTTTCTATGTCTATGAAGACAAAAATGGTCCATTTCAAGAGTCAGATCTTCTCCCCTACCCACCAGTTCCTCCACTTAAGAACTGTGCCTTTGGATGAGTATAACCTCAAATCGCAAATAAAATAAGGGTGAAGGCACTAACAAGTGTTTTATAAATTCATTGCAACTTATATGTGAAATCTTTCCCTGGGACATGCCTGGCACATAGTACATACTGAAAACGTGCTAGCTAAGAGCAGTAACCACCCTCAGTGGCGTACGTATCAAAAAGCCTGTGGAACATATAGAAAGCTCCACAGCCGGCACATACAAATGCAGTCCTATACTCTCAGAAAGTATGTTATTCTTTCAAATGACATCATATGCATATTTAACTACATATATTTTTAGATGTCTGTTTCTAAACCAAAATTAGAATATAACCAAGTGTAATGAATAGGTGAGAGCTTCCCGTGGAGTCAGGCCTGCCAGGAGTTAAATTCTCCTTTCTAGCTTCATGGCTGGGTGACCTGAGAAAGTGTTGCAGGGCCTCCATCTAGAGAAGGAGATAATGTTGTAGCTTTGTCCTCAGCCTCCTCGGGGATTGGTTCCAACACTCCCCGTTGTCACCGAATTCTGCCGCTGCTCTGGTAGTCTGCATAGAAATGCATAGCCTTGCCTGGATCCTACACACGTCCCCACACGTGAATCTCCAGCAGATGAGTTATACAGATACTATATAAACACTACACAAATGGTTGCCTGGCCGTACCTTTCAGGCCATAATGACAAGAAAATGGTATGCATACATTAGAACAGACACAGGGGTTTTTTAAAAATATTTTTGACCACAGATACAAAATCCAAGATACAATCACAGGTTGTTCGCAGTACCAATCCAGATCATTCATAGCTGGGGCAGGGGTTAGCACAGAGATGATAGCTACTAAATAATCAAGAAACAAAGTCACATCATTTGCTACCCTCACTGACCCAGCACATTTGGTGTGAACACACCTCCTTCCCTCATGGCGGATTTGACCGGAACCCATGGCACATCGGAGTCAGTGCTGCTCAGTCCTAGCCAGTTGTTCTTTTGGCCAAAATATCGGCATTAATTGCAGAGCCGACACCCTTGGCATTTGCCAGGTCTCCGGCAGGATGTGGAGGCTCCGGTCGGGAGGTGGCTTCCAGCTCTGTCCTTCATCGTGCGTGGGTCTCCGGTTACTGGAGCCCCAGTCCTTGCAAACGGAGTCCTGGCCTATTCAGAATGGTATAGCAGTTCATTTTTGTTTTAAATCCAGATGTGATTTTCCAGACTCTTTTCTTTGAGTTTGTTCATTAGTTTCTGGAATGTTGGTTCCAAGCACCTGTCTGCGCCGCTTCCTGTCCCCCTTGCCCCCCACCCCGGAGCCCTTCATTTAGTGTGTGGATCAAATCCCAGTCCCTGCAGCCTTCCTTTGAGAGGGCCCATGTCCCTCCCTCCCTTATATCCCCCATGCATAGGTATATAAAACTGATGAGCTCACATTGCAGTGTGTGTGTGTGTGCGTGCGCGCGTGCACGCACGTGTGCGCGAGCTCACACTTTTGTGCACGTGACATGTGCATGGGGAGGTGGCCCTTGGTGTCTTTCCTCAGGGACTATCTATCCCCTTGTTTTCTGAGCCAGTGTTCCCAGGGAACACCGTGTCTGCCTCCCCAGTACTGGAATTACAGCAATCACCAATTCTGGGTCCTGAGGATCAAGCTTGAGTCCCATGCTTATGCAGCAAGCACTTTCCTGATTGAACTAAGCCCCCACTTTGAAAAGTTCAAATACTAACACTGACAAGCAAGGTACGTAGCTAAAGTTTGAAGTGACACAGAGCTGTGGGAGTGTGCTGGTTAAAGTTGTGTTCCACCATGTGTACAGTCACCGGAGAAATGGACCTGGACAAGGGCATGTCCCCGCATGGAAACCTGGGGGCAAACTGGATGGGCTGCCTCTGCTGCCTGGGCCTCTGCCTATGCACCCATTACCTACACTGGGGACTGAGGGTGGTTAGTGAGGCAGTGGAAAGCCTGTCTAGGGCCTTGCCTGAAGTCAGGGCCAGATACTAGCCACCAGTTATCACTGGCTTGCCGTGAATGAAAGTAGAGAATTAACACATGATCCCATCTGGAGTTTTACAAACAGGACAGAAATAGCATTCATTCATTCTAGACTGTTTTCAAAAAGTGGCAAACTTCTTGGCTAACATCTCCAGCCACAAAGTAGTTGAAAATTGGGTCCCTTGACATCTTTCATGGCATCGCAGACCAACTCCTTCTACACCCCCAAACACAGACACATACAGGGCACATGGAACCAATATCTTCTCCTCCTGGGGGGGGGGGACAGTCAGCTCCCCAGGCTGCCCCTGGCACTCTGAGAAATGCTGAGGGCCCTGAGTTCAGCCGGCTCTGATTTGACAGCAGTGGATTGGGGAAGAGACAGCCCATCCCCATGGTGCCGTGCTCCAATGGAAAAGGGTTCCCCAGGCCCTGAAGAGCCTGTCCCCTTCTCTTGCAGCCTGTCTGTGTGCTCACGGAGCATGTGATAACCGAGTAGACAGTGATGGAGCCTGCCTCTCAGGAACATGCAGAGAAGGCACAACCGGGAAGTTCTGCGACAAGCAGACTTCAGCCTGTGGGCCCTATTTGCAGCTCTGCAACATCCATGCCACCTGTGAATACAGCAACGGCACAGCCAGGTAGGTGTGTGAAAGGAAGGACCTTCACCACCCAAGGCTACCGTGCCGCCCGTGGGTGGAGCCAGCCCATACCCAGTGCTGTATAAAGTAAGGCATGTGCTGTCCTGCTGACAGTATGGCTCGTGTGGAAGCTAAGATTGAGCTGAATTCAAATTTTAGTTCCCCTTGCTTTAAAGTGCACCATCAGCTGTGTGACCTTTGGCAGGTTAGTTGACCTCTCTGAGCTTTGCTTTCCTCATTAGTAGTGAGGAACCCTGCTTACAGAACGATGATAGAGATTAAAAGAACCATATATAAGAGTGTGGTGCCCCAGTCTGGATCTTTCCTTATTATGAGCACACTTAAGAAAAAAAAATGAAGACCATGGGTTACAATTCCTGCACTCAGAATGCTAAACCAAGAGTATTGCTGCAAGTTCAAGGGCAGCCTGCACTGGCAAGACCTTGTCTTAAAAATCTGAAAAGGGGGTTAGAGAGATGGTTCAGCGAATAAGAGCACTGGCTGCTCCTCCGGAAGGTCTCAGTTGTGCTAGAAGCGTCCATGCCTGCAACTGCAGCTCCACGGGACCCAACACTGCCTTCTGGCCTCTAAAGGTACATGCATGCTTGGTGCATGTGTGTGTGTGAGAATGCACAAGCGCACACGCACATCCACACACACATAAAACGCAACATTTACTTTTAATCAAAAAGGAAGCAAGGGGGGAGGAGGGAGGGAGGAAGGGTTTTCTGTCTGGCTGCCTTGACAAATCAAACTCCCTTTGTGTAGACACCAGACAAATCCACTTCCTCTAGGAAACTTATCCTAGGTAAATAGTCCATAGTTTTTTAAGAACATGGAGGACTGGTGGAAGCCATGTGATAATCCAGCATCTATCACAGGGAGTTCAATAGATATTGATCAATTGAAGATAATGAACAATGAATGAACGAGCAAATGGCCCCATTAAACAGCAAAAGTATTATGGTAGAATATTTTGGATAGAATGTCTGAAAGGTGAGAGCAGAAATTCTCATATTGCAGGAGGTACACCTGAGTGTGTGTGTCTGTCTGTCGCCAGGGGATGGGGGGTGGGGAGGTTAGGGTTAGGGTTGGGGGGGATGGGGGTATTTGAAGGACCAGAGAATGGAATAGGGGTCTCACCTGGTTGACATGTTCAAACCTGGGCCCCAGGCAGTTTTTGTCTCTGCTGGAGCAAAGGGAAAAGCTAGCATGGAGCAGGTTCTAAACAGTCCAGTTCAGGTCCAATAAGAGCAGACCATTTGTTACCTCTGCACCTAAAGGTGCCAGTGAATTCCCGTGAGCTCCCCACCAGGATCAGACCCATTTTCCAAATGAGAAGATAATGTCCCCGCTCTGAAGAGACTTGGGTGGGCCACACAATGGCTAAGGTAGGGCTTGGATTCCCACCCAGCCCTGACTGCAGACTACCAAATCATCCACCCGGGCCTGCAGCCAGGCCCTGCACAGAGCTGGCCACTATGCCCAGCCTCATCCAGCTCTTTCCCCAGCCGGCTGCATGCACCAGCATGGCAAGCGCTAGGTGTCCTGGGCTGATTTTATGCATTATCTTCTTCACAGATGTGTCTGCAATGAGGGATATGAAGGGGACGGAACTCTCTGTTCTAAGAAGGACCCGTGCATGGGATCAACCTCCAGAGGAGGCTGCAACCAAAATGTGAGTGTTGCTTCTCATAGCCGAGTGTCCTGGCTTTTGTTTCCTTTTGTTTTGTTTACTTTTCGTAAGTGACACAGCCACAAACTGACAAATAAAGCCATTCCGTGAAGATAGGAGAAGCCTGTTAAGGGAAAAATAACTTCCCATGCTGCTTTGGATAGCAGAAGACAGTGGCAGCTGTAAAAGCTTGTTGGGTTTTAAATGGGTATATGACGGGGGAGGCAGCTCAGGCTGGGGCAGCCTGGTGTTTAGCAAGGATGAGGGGCTGACAGTTGCAGTCAGGAGTGTTCAACCATCCATGACGGGCTTCTGAGAAATGTTTTAGGTTTCTGTTTCCTGGCAAACCCAGCCTAGGTGGGACCTGAGCCATCACCTGAGCACTGCCATTTGGGAGCCTATATGACCTAACCCTTTTTAAAGAAGTCCTGAGGGAGAGACAGCCTAAAAGGTTGTGCCAATGCTTGCCATATGCACAAAGGTCTTAGCTCCGAACTTCGCGTTTTATTTTCTTCTAGAGTTTTTGAAATAGTGTATAGAAGAATGGGTTGCGCTACGGCCTTTTCACGTGTATTCTGGCGTGGTTTTCTTCCCCTGCTACTCTCCCCCTTCTCCTTGCCCTCCTACTTTGGTCCCTCTTCCTACCCTCGATAGCCTGCTTCTGCTCTCCTGCCTCAGGGAGGCTGGCCTGAAGGTACGGGAAAGGGAGGCTGGGAGGGAGGAGGGGGGTATGATAGTAGGTGACTCAAGACGATCAAAGTATATTATAAATGTGCATGAAATGTCATAATGAAACCCACGGGTTTGTACAACTAATATATACTAAAAATCTTTTCGGGGGGGGAATCTCCTTTCTACTCCTGTGGTCCCCTAGTTTCAAGACCAACACACACACACACACACACACACACACACACACACACACAATTTACAATCTCAGATCCAAGTATAAGGGAAAACACATGGCGTTTGTCTTCCCAAACTTTGAATTTAAGGAAGACTATCTGGTGGGTGACCTCCAGGACTCTCCCTAAAAAATCCAGATCTTCTGGAGTGTTGGGAAGGTCGGGTGTTGAGAATAATAACCCTTGCTTCACACTTGATAGCGAAGAAGGACCCATGTACGTTGTTAGGCCGTACAGCAGCCCAGTGAGCTGACACTGCCCTCCTGAGGGGAACCCCAGACTAGTGAATTAAGAGGTGTGCCTACAGTTTGCTGTAGTTAGTGTAACCAGGGCTGCCGCTGCTTCCACTAGTGTCTTTCAAACATTGCTAGCATCACCTGGCCTCATCACTTTCACTCATTACCCACTTGAACAGCTGGTCTCCTTGCACTACCCAGGTGTGTGTGGCCAGAGTGCTCTGAAGCAAAGTTTCATTCTCCAAGGCTTAACCCCCTTCAGGCACTTCCCTGAGCCTGGGAAATCTAGGAACAACCGCAGGCCCTGCCCACCAGCTTTCCCCTTGGGTGAGCCCCACCCACTTCAGAGTACCCCACTTCAACAACCTCTAGACCTCTCTTCCTTTCCCGTGGGCCTTCCGCCTCCCATGGTCTCCACTTTTCTTGTGGCTGTAACAAAATACTTAAAAGCAATTCAGGAGGGAAGTGCTAGTTTTGGCTCTCAATTCAAGAGTATAATCTTTGGTAAGTCATGGTGCCCAGAATACCAGGGAACTGGTCAAATTCATCCACAGTAAAAAGGCGCAGAGAGGCCTGATGCTCAGCTTGCTCTCCTTTTATTCTGTCCAGGGCTTCACCCTGTAACATGGTACCAGCCACACTCGGGCTGGGTCTTCTCATCTCAATTAACCTAATCTAGAAACTCCCTTGCAGACATGCCCAGAGTTTGTTTCTATGTGAATCTAGATGCCATCAAGCTAACTGTATTGCCCATCACACACACACACACACACACACACACACACACACACACCACCCCAGATCAAGAGTTGTAGTATCGCTTGGAGGAACTTGGGCCATAATGTCACGGAGTCCTAGATTCATGCTTCTCTCTGTAGCCGGGCAACATTGGTGACCTGTTTCCCACCTGTGCGACAGAGATAATCACAATGCTGTTCACCAGAGCAGTGGTTCTCAGACTGTGGGTTTCACAGGGGTCGCATATCAGATCTTTACATTATGATTCATAACAGTAGCAAAACTGCAGTTATGAAGAAGCGAGGGAAACAATGTTATGGTTGGGGTCACCACAGCATGAGGCACTGTGGTAAAGGGTGGCAGCACTGGGAAGGCTGAGAACCACTACCTTAGCATATCTCTTGCTTCTGCAAGTCAATAAAAGCTGCCTGGCCCAATCAGCAATACAATGCAGCCAGTGGTGCAGCCCAGCTGACCAATTCTGAGCATCTTCCCCCCAAAATCGTCCAGCTGGCTTATTAAGCTCATGTGAATAAGCATGTCGATCACTTCCATTGCACTCCATGCAAATATGTGTTTCTAGAACATTCTTTCACATCCTCTCAGACTCTGGGCCCCATGAAGAGGGACTGTGGTTTCTGAGGTCTCTTTGTTCTTCCTCCTGCAGGCAGAATGCATCCAAACTGGCCCAGGGACACATGTCTGTGTGTGCCAGCAGGGCTGGACCGGAAACGGAAGAGACTGTGTGGAGATCAACAACTGCCTGCTACCTGGCAAAGGTGGTTGCCATGACAACGCCACCTGTTTATATGTAGGCCCTGGGCAGGTAGGTGACTGGGAAGAAAGGAAAGAGGAAACAGGATTCCTGTTGTGACTTTTATTTTTTTTTTTTTGGTCACAGACACAGAGCTACTATGGCTTTTGCCCTCATTTGTGGTTGGGAGAATGGGTTGGTTATCAAAATAAATCTGTGACGTAGGTGTCACTGGGATACCACCATACGGAAGAGAAACTGAGGCACCGAGTGATTTGATTCTGTGACATAGAAAATGAGTCACTCTGTGACTCACACTGACGCCTCACTCGCCCCTCATGGATCACAGGCATGTATCTAGAACACTCTATAGCTTGCTATCCGATTTCAGTGCCTTCATTTCACGAAAAGAGAATTACAGGGGAGAAGTTACTAACTCCATTAAGACTGTGGGAATGGAAACCATAGGTCTCCACTTCTCCATTCTACCCACTCCCTCCTCACCCCCAAACAGTCCAGGCATGCTTCATATGCTTCATACGGTCAAGGGAACACAAGATCCAAAAGGAAGAACCAGGATATGTTTGCTCTCTCTCTCCCTCTCTCTCTCTCCCTCTCTCTGCCTCTCTCTCTGCCTCTCTCTCCTCCCCCCCTACACACAGGCATGCACACACGCAGGCATGCGCGCGCGCACACACACACGCACACACACACACACACCATTTGAGAGATGACACAAGTTCTCACATTTGTGTTCTAAAGCTAGGTTAGGGGGAATAAACAACTACTAGGGTCAAGACCCCAAGTAACCTAGAGAAATGTTTTCATCTAAGATGACAGGCCCACACGAGTGACAACGTGGCAAATGCTTTAAAGCCCACGCAGAATGAGCCCATGGTCTGCCTGCTGTGCCATGCTGTCTAGTGGCTCCTGTCCTGTCCCCTTCTGGTTTCTCTGACAGCAGAGCTTGCTCATGGTGGAGAGCAAGCGAGCTTTCAGATGAGCCTCAGGAGTCTAACCATGGAGGAGCCCACTGCAGACTCATGCCTCACCACGCACTTAGTTAAGGCTCATTTGTGTTACCAGACTACAGTTGAGAAGAAAAAATGTCTTGGTGTGTATATTTATTTTCTAGGCCTTTCCATAACAAAAGTAACACACACTGGGCAGCAGAGAACAACAAATATATTGTCTCATAATATGGAAGCTTGAGATCAAAGTCTGCTGGCTCTTCCTTCTCAGAGATATTGCAGAAACTGTCCCTTGCTCCTCCCCTAGCCTTGAGTGGCCTTCTGGCCATCTTACCTGACCGCCAACTTCATAGTCCCATGGCATTCTCTCTGTGCATGCATCATCTGCTTTCATGTTTTCACATGGATGCTAGGCATATTAGATTCAGGGTCCACGTTACTCCAAAATGACCTCATCTTAAGTAAGTGCACAATAACCACCCTATTTCTAAGTAAGATCATGTTCTAGGGTACTGCAGGACTTTAACACAGGAATCCGGGGTTGAAGAGCATACTTTGGTATCTACAGCATCTATATCCTCTTCCTACAAACAAATATTAAATGTCCTGAGAGGAGATGGAAGAAAGAGGAGGTCTTTCTTCCATATTTAGGGAATCATTCACTTGGTTGCAGTCAGTATAAAAGATTTTACACATGCCAAATGGATACCAACTTTAGTTTCTGTGAATAACACTTTAAAGAGACAAGGCATGTTTAGATAAAATGCATGATGAAATATTAGGGTTCGGGACATGGAGATGCTGTTCCAACAGCAGGTGGAGGAAACTAAACCTCTAGCTGATGAGTTTGGGTTCTACCATGCACAGAATGTGCTTAGTTTTCATGTGAGTGTGTGTGTATACACACACACACACACACACACACACACACACACACACAATTTGCCTTATATACATCACGTAGCAGATGATATTGTTAAAGACAAAAGTCATGCAATGGAAGTTCTATTCACTTCTTCCCCCAACTGCAAGGTCTTGTGTGTGTATATTTCTCCTTCTCCAGTCAGACGTACTTGATCAACTCTGTGCATCTCTCCTGATATTTTCCCTCAGTTTTAATGCCTTCCCCAGGTCACATACTCCATTAAGGCCCAGCGGTGCCCCACTTCTAAAAGGGCATTCTTAGAGAACATTCTAAGCCCGCCCGCCCTCCCCCTCTGAACAGTAGTCTTTTCCCAGAAGCACCTCACCAGCCTCTTGGTTTCCAGTTTGTTAACTCAGACCTTCCTGTTTACCTTTTAATGTACTTCTCTCTTTCTCTAGACTCATTGCTGGTTCTCCATGATGATCCCAAAACAGCTGTTTTGCTTAACTCAATTGAAGAAATTCTTTTAGAATCATGCTTTAAATGTCAGGATATTGCACTTTCATGGGAAACAGCTGGGATATAAAATGGGAAATTAATTATGAGCTGATATATTGTTTTTCCTTTTGGCCTTTTCTATGCCAGGTTGTTGGTTTTCCTTTCATTGTAGTAATCAACTACAGTTTCACTGGCCCACTGTCTGCCACGAACACAAAAATGTTCTCATTTTACCATGTCAGTGTCATCATCATACTTTATTGCTTAGCAGCAGACACAAGGAACTCTGTCCTTGGGGCAAGTGAACGCTAGAATACAGATGTACCCTGCCTACTGTACTAAGCCCTCAAGAAGAAGGCTTCTAGCTACATCAGATGCTCAACCATGTGCTGTGGGTTATATATTCAGAAGTGATGCTTTGAGTCCATCTACTCCATGGAGAGGCATCAGCTGAATTAAGCAGAGTATCTTCAAGCTAGCAACAGCCTTGTACATGGGCCTCCACCAAGTGGATAGGCCATTGCTTGCTTAATCTTTCTCTAGGTATAGGGCCAGCTTTTCTATTGTGATAGCCGTTAAGTCTAAGCTCTCTTTGTGAAGTCAAAAAATTTTAAAAGAAAGTAAAAGAGAATATGATTGGGCAGCATGATGGTAAAGTAATGGTAATCAATAGTGTTGTGGTAACCAAGTGTGGTTGACTTCATACAAATATATACAGTGATTAGCAGTCCGGAATCTAAAGTCTCTGTTTTAGGAGGGTTGAGTGGCTATGGTTTCCATAGCCCGCTTTTCAGTGTAATGAGGTGCAAGGCTCGAGAGTGCTTGCTTCAGTAAACTCTTCTGTTTTCTTGGAATTGCAGAATGAATGTGAGTGCAAGAAAGGGTTTCGGGGAAATGGGATTGATTGTGAGCCAGTCATTACATGCTTGGAACAAGCAGAGAAATGTCACCCCCTGGTGAGTTACTTGATGTTTCCTTCCATACTAAAAAAACACAAAACAAATTTCTTAAGAACAAAAATCAGGTTGTGTGGCCACTTCCTGTGCCGATCATAAGACAGCAAACACTTGAAGGTTTGCTTGGCTCCTGGTTTTAAAGGTTCTAGTGTATAGTTGTTACGAGTTTTCCCGCTGGTCTGGTCCCACCAACACACCAGCCCCAAATAACACACAGAGACTCTGTATTTGATATAATGATGTTGGCCAGTTACCAGTTTCTTATCGGCTAGCTCTGTCTTAATGATTAACCCATTTCTATTAATCTAAAGTATTTCCACGTGTCTCATCTTACCGGAGAGAGGGGCCAGTGTTCTGCTCTCTCCAATCTCTACATGTTGACTCCTCCTTTCTACTTCCTCTCTCCTCCTCCTCTACTAGTCCCGCCTATCTTGCTTTCCTATTGGCCAATAGTGCTTTATTCATTAACCAATAAGAGAAACATATTTACAGAATGACATGTAGTCACCTTGCTGCATACCTCCAGGACATGTATGGTAAGGCACAGAATCATGGTGAGGGGCATGGAGTGATCAAAGTACCCCACTTCATAATGGACAGAAGCCATAGAGGAAGTAGTTGGATACAGAACATGACCCCATGGGCATGTGCCCAGTGACCTACTTCCTCCAACTAGGCCCAGCCTATAGAAGCTTTGACCACCTCCCATTAATGTCATTAAATTTGGAATCCATCAGTGGAGTCACCCATTGATGACATTAGAGTCCTCATGATTCAGTCACTTCCCCAAGCCCCACCTCTGCATACACGGCATGAGGGTCCAAGCCATTAACATGGCATTCTTTTGGAAGGACACTTCTATCCAAACCCTAACAGCTCTGTCTTGTCTGTGCCTAGCCATGAACGAAACCTCTCACCTCCAAAGGGCAGCCCTAAGCAGAATTTGAGCAGCTATTGCAATCTCCACTCTATTTCAAAGCTTGGAAGAAACAGCATGGCTTGCCAGATAAGATGCTAGGCAGGAGTTAAATTTGAATTCAAGGAACACAGAGTGTAAGTTCTGGACAAAGGTTCCGTGTGTCCAAAATATTGCACAAAATGAGTTTATATTAAAATATATTCATCATCTGTATGAAAAATCAAATGTAACTATCTTGGATTTTCATTTATTAAATCTGGCAGAGATGAGAAGAAATTTGTTGTGACTAAAAGCAGCAAGAGCAACTGCTGCAACACGGGTCTATGGGTGGCTTCTACCATCTCTCAGCATTGAATTTGCAGGGGTTTGTTTTGTTACTGTTGTTGTTTTCCCATGGGGAAAGTGGGGATCAAACTCAGGCAAGTGCTCTATCACACAATTCCAAGGTCTGAATTCAGAGTTCTTATCTTAGAGCCAATTGTCTCCCTGACTCCCCAATACAAATGAGTGAGGTCTAACATCTTAGTTAGGAAAGCAAGCCATTTCCTCCATCTTGGTTTTCTCAGGCCACCTGTCAGTTTGTGTCTTCTGGTGTTTGGAGCTGTGTTTGTCAAGAAGGCTATGAAGGAAATGGCCTCCTGTGCTATGGAAATGTGTTCATGGTAAGTCCCTAGTGAGAACATTAAGTGCAAAGTCAGAGAAAGCACGCAGCAGGAAAATGAATGGCTCAGCTAAGATAGCCTTAGACACACGCCATCTGCAGACCCTTTGTCCAGGAACTTTTCTATGAGGACAGCTTTTCTGTAAATGCCTCTCACTTGCTGGCTCACAGGCAGCAGCTGCTTATGTTTGGTACTTCCTGCACACAGAGCAGACTTAATGTCTTTTTTGCTTGCCCATCTCTCACAAACTTCCCAGGTGGGCAACTGGCCTCCCTCTGCTGGGCTGCATGGGATGGGTGCCTGAGCTCCCTCCCCATTGGGTCCCATGACTGCCACAGGTACCCAGAACACCCTGTGTTTATCCATCCTGAATGAGATGATGATGATGATGATAGTGTGTGTGTGTGTGTCTGTGTGTTTGTATGCGCACGCACAAATGCCCTCTGTACCAGGTATCTTACTAATAGCAATATCTCATTTAAACCTCACACCAGTTGTCTGGGATTAATGCCATTATGATTCCCATTCCACAGGTCAGCAAACTAAGGCTAAGACCACCGACTGGCCTGCAATGTTGGTGTTTATGTGCCAGGTCCAACATTAAGTCAACAGTATAAAGTATTCTACTCGTGCAGTACGGGTCATGCCCAGCTATCATTACCTCTCTATGTTTCCCCCAGCACTAGACTATAATCCCAAGCAGAAGAAGTTTATCCCTGTCTCACTCACATTAAATACCTAATCAAATCCTGGCACCAGATAATGGAAAAGAGATAAGGAGGAGGACATGATTCCTCTTAGAAATGGTGGGAAGGTTTATCATGGACCAAAGGGAAACACGTAAAGACATGTGGGAGAGTGTGCGTGGCCAGACTGAGCCAGGCCATGTGAGGGAAGAGGGGTGAGAGTAGGAGAGCTGAGCCACCAACCAAGAGGGCTGGCCTGGACCAAGAGGCTGGCCGAGGTAAAAGGGCCGAAAGGGCCAGCGTAGCCAAAATGGCTAGATTATTAGGGAAGAGCAGTTGGAGAGGGGCAGGCCAGCCCTGGGCTGGAGAGTTCAGTGTAGGGGGCAGGCATGCCTGCCTGGAACAGGTAGGGAGTGGAGAATGCTGGGAGAACCTGGTGGCCTGGCCTGCTTTGATATGTTAATAAGCACCTTGGTTAGCAGTTTGTTCTGGTTTGAGACCCAACACTGACATTTTTTTTCTCCTCACCATTTTTTTTTTTTTTTTCTCACAGTCAGGTTCTTCTTCCTCTCCTTTGAAACCTTTCTAGAAATCCCCTTTGAACCCATAGCCTCCCAAACAAAAACCACCCCAGAGCTTGTCCCTAGGTTGTTATGGCACCACTGCCCAACACACGCACGTGCACGCACACACACACGCATACACGCACGCACACACACGCACACGCGTGCACACGCACGCACGCACGCACGCACACGCACACGCGCACGCACACACACACACACACACACACACACACGCCTGCCTGCTATGTTCAGGGAGGTTCCACTGCCTCTCATAGGTATCCATTCATTGTTAAACCAAGGAGCTGCCCCCCCCAGCCCACCCCTGAAGCCTAGACTTCCCCATCTGCTGTGAATGTCCCCAAATCTTCCAGCAGTTCCAATCCCCCACCAAGTCCCTGACCTTCCATGGAAACAAACGTAAGTTCAAAGCCTCTTCCTGTCCCTGCTGAGTCTTCACCCAGGCCCTGCTCATTTTTCTCCAAAGCTTCCCGTATGTCCAGCCAAGTTAATTCATTGCTCCAGCCTGTGGCTCCACAGTGGCTCTGACGGGGCACTGTTTGCTGAGCTCTGGGAACCTCCTTGGGGCCTAGGTGGCTGTGTTTCTTACCAGCTAAATTCTGACATGAAAAAACTTATATTGGAAAAGCTAGATTTACCTCTAACGGGCATGTCCAAACTGTAGCCCATTGGCCTGTGCACCCCAAGACAGCTATGATTCAAATTTTATGAAATCTATATAAAACATTGTCAAATCTTTTGCATTTTGTCTTTGCGGTTATTCTTTGGTATGTGGTTCTCAAGTGTGAACTTTGTAGATAACATTGTTCTGTAGTGTCTAAAGGTTGGACACACCTACCTCCTGAGGACAGTCAGGCCCGAGTGTGAAGGCCACCTGCAGCTCTTGCTCAGAGACTCACACAGCTGGGGTGCAGGTTCACATCTGTCTGGGGAGGCTCTATGGAGAGCACAGCTCAAGAGGGAGGGCGCAGGCTGTCCAGAACCTCACTGAGATAATGTTTCTGTGTTCTCTCCCCCCTCTCCTGCCCGCCCTTGAACAAATGAATAAGGAATTGTCACTTCTCCCTGAAGCAGCTGTGTTTTACCAATGGATAAATGTGAGTCCCTGCATTTACCCTGTAACATTGGTAACATAGATCGTTTTAGAGCACTGGCAATGCAGTAGAAAACTGGAAATATGCCCGGGATGGTGGGGTGCTGAACAGCAGGTCCCCACCCCTGCACCAGTGGCTTGGCCTGGACACCAGTACTAACATGTGTAGCCAAGCTGGGAAACGCTGGTCCAGGTTAACACAGGGTAGCTGAGATACAAGCAATTCAAATATGTAAGGATAGTACTATCCATCACACAGCTCTTTGACAGGCTAACATGATTCGCATCATAATTCACTAAGATTGAACTTACAGCTAACATCTGAGGAACTTCTATATGCTTAGCTCTCTGTTCAACATACCGGAAGAGCTTACTCTTCACCCCAGTAGAGTATTGTATAAGGAGTCCGGAGTAGGCTCACCCGCCACAATGTCTGGATCTCCATCCTCTCTGGGCCACAGATTGTTTGTCCCTTTAAATAACTATGTACCAAAATAGGTCTTGCTTAGTCAGCACTCACTCAGTGAACAGCTCCATGTATGTTCCAGAACATTCCAAGGACCACTTGTTTCTACAATAGAGGCTCTTTGTACAACTCCCTTCCTATAGATAAGGCAAGGGACTGCTCCCTCTCTGAGCATGTTTTTCATCCCTCTAGCCAAACTATGCATTTAACTCTTTCTCCCCACATGCAACGTCAGCCCAGTAGCAGGTTGGTCAGGACACATTACCCCCTACCCTGCTTTAAATGCTGTAGTGTTAGATGTTTAACATCAGTTCTAATGGAAGTATTCACCAGAGAAATCAGCAAGTTCTATAAGCCAAGATTCAGGGGTCTGAAGTTGTTTTTTATTTTTGATTTTTTTTTTCTTACAGTTGCTAAACATAACAATAGGCTTTCTGGGTATGAGTGAGACACAGTTACATTTGATATAGGACTTCACTCTCTGCAATTTCCTCCACTCTCACTCTGAAGACATCCAAGAATTCACATAGTTTTTTATGTGCATACACATACACACATAACACACATACACACATCAAGACTATCTGGCTTTTCATTCAGACTTACAATGACAAAGTATGAGCCAATCAGGAAAATCTGTATTGTTATAAAAATCCACACATTAAAAAAAAAAAGTCTCAAAAGAGAATGTAAGTCATCATCCAATGGCTGGGTGGACTTGGGGAGGGAAAGCCTCAGATCTTCCCAGCATTCCTAGAATTACATCACGTGGAAAGCTATCATCCCTGACAGGCTAAGCCAGCTCCAGCTAGTCTCTATTCAGGCCACTTTCTTTCCTCCTGTGATTCAGAACGCTTCCCTGCAATCCCTGCTGTCTGCCACCTCGAATCTCACTGTCTTCGTGCCTTCCCAGCAAGCCATTGAGGACATGGACCAGAATGAGAAGACCTTCTGGTTGTCATGGAACAATATTCCAACCCTGATAAAGTGGGTGTCATTTACTTTATTTTCCATGTTATGTGAACATTTCTTAGTTCAATGTAGAGCAGCAACATGACCCTTTATGTCCTAGGATGCCTCCAGCAACTCTCCCCTGAGTCAGGAGAAGTCATTTGTTAACAGTTAACTCTAAACCAAGCACTGTGCTTTGCAATACCATTTAGTTAACCCTCCCAACCACCTCTGAGTTGGGTGTTACAATTATGCCCATTTGACAGATGTGAAAAGCAAGGCAGAGTGATTAGTGACTAATTCCAGCTAAGCTGATCACTATTGGGGAGAACGTGAAGTTTGAGTATGGCAGTCTGGCCCCAGGGCTTATTCTCCTGTTCAGTGATATTTGATTGTGATCCCTATGATCTGGTCTTTAGATATCACACACTACTTGGCACATATGGAATAGCCGATCTGCAGATCCTGTCTTCCTCTGACATGCTAGCAACATCCTTGCAAGGAAGCTTCCTTCACCTGGACAAGGGAGATGGGGTAAGAGCACTGTCATCAGGCTGTTTGGAGAACTGTACCTTTATTCATGTTGTCCTTTCTGAATTTTTGGGATGGAAATGTCCAGATTATGTACACAGAGAGAATAGAAGCATGTGTGAGCATCACCCAGTTGCAACAATGATCACACACATTCACATTTAAAAAAACAAAGCAGAAAAACAACTAGGCTACAGCAGTATATTCCTTAATTTTCTAGTCATTGTAATCAAATATTTGACAAAAGCAACTTCAGGGTTTATTTAGGCTCACAGTCATGATGGCAAGTGCTTAAGGTAGATGGGCACACTGTCTACAGTCAGGAAAGATGAATTAGGGAGCTTGGCTACCTTCCTACTTTTTATGCAGTCCAGACTCCAAGGTAGATCTTCCCACCTTGATTAACCTACTTTATAAAGTCCCTTGAAGACATGCCCTGGGCCTTGCTACATGTGATTCTGGATCTCATCGAGCTGACAATCAGTATTGGCCATCACATAAGGGAAAACTGGTTTATCCGACTGAGTGTCACTGTGTTTATCAACCATACTCCAGGGCAGACCCCATGCCCAGGAATAGTGAACCAGTAAAAGCTGAACCCTATGTTTCTTTTGGGAGAATGCTTTTGTTTTGTTTTGTCATTCTTTGTCTTACAGCCTTTTTGATTGTTTTGATTTTCATTTTTGTGTTTTTGTGGTTTCCTTTAAGAGAGAAAGAACACCAAGTTAGGTAGGGAAGAAAGGGAGAAGACTCCGGGAGAAGTTGGAGGAAAGTAAAAACATAATGAAAACATATTGTATGAAAAATTTTTAGAAAAAAAGAGTAGCTATCAGAAGCAATGATCAGAAATGCAGACTCCATCGAGCTCCTCCTGACACGACCCAGACAGGGTAAAGAATAATCAATGTAATAACTTTGATTCTGATGCATGTTAACTAAGACAGGTGCCCCATGACCTCCTCGTGGAATCATCACCAGTAACTGGATGTCATGTTAGTTAGCTAGACCACAAGCCTGTAAATGAGTACCTACTCTGCACGCATGCATCTCAAAAGGCAGGGACCCCGCTCTAAGACAAGTCCCCAACACACTCACCTCCCCATCACGTTTGCTGTTTGCACTTGCAGAATATCACAATTGAGGGGGCCTCCATTGTGGATGGGGACAATGCAGCCACAAATGGAGTGATACACGTCATCAACAAGGTAAGGACAGATGCCCCTACCAACAGGCAGGGTTGCTTCCCCGCTGTGATGATTTCCTACATAATGCTGTTTGGGGCGAATAAAAAGTAATTGGCCTCAATATCAAATGAACCCTCCTGCGCTCCGTTATATTGGCTAGAACCTCATGGAGACTCTCTTCTTTCAATCAGACTTGGCTGTAATTCACACCACCTGTATTTGCAGATGGCGCCTGTCACATGTGGCCTCATTTACATATTCCCTCTTACATATGGAAACATGTTAAGAGGCACAAGTCTAAAATCAAGAACAGGGGGAAAGCAATTGGCTATCGCAATTCACCCTTCTCCCCACACTACTGTATCCAAAGGGGTGCAGAAAACCCTGAGGAAAAAATAGGGAACTACCATAAGCTTTTCATTTTCCACGTAAGGCCCAATTCAATAGTATTCATAGGTATGAAAAAGAATAAGAAACAGGAAATGGGGTTGTAAGCTAACCCATAATTTTCAGTTACTATATTAGGATCCTCATTTTAAAAGAAATTTCGAGTGCACTGGGAACTTTCAGAAGGTGGAGGTCTAAGTGAACAATGAATTAATTGCATTTTAATTAAAGTTCTCACTTGGTACTTATATACTCAATTTTTAAAGCCATAGTTTGACTATTTCTGTTCAAAAGAGAGGCTATTTGTGAGTCTCCATGTTTTCAAAGTCTTCGCAATCCTTCTGCATTACAGAACGCTTGACTCCATGTGACACCAATTGACTCTGCTTATCAACAGTTTTTCTTTCTAGTCCTAGCTTTATAGAGTACTAAAATACCTTTATAAAAAATTAATTAAAAAAGAAACAAAATTGAGCTGGGAAGATGGCTCCATAGGCAAAGGGTTTGTCATACAAGCCTTGAAGAGCTGAATTCGGATCTCCAGTACCTACAAAACAAGCTGGGTATAGCTTCATGGATCTGTATCCCCAGCAGAGGGGAGCAGAAACAGAAAGCTCTTTAACCAGCCAGTCCAGCTGAAATACTGAGCTTTGGGCTCAGTGAATGCAAATACACACATTCACCTCTTCTCCATTGTTATGTACTTTTTTATTTCTTATTATTTTAAAATTTATTTTACGTATCAACCAGTTTCCCTGCCCTCCTCTCCTCCGGTCCCCTCCCCCTACCTCTCTTCTTACTGACCCTCTTCTACTCCTCCTCCATCTCCATTCAAATGGGGTAAGCTCTCCCATGGGAATCAACAAACTTGACACATCAAGTTGAGACAGAACCAAGCTTCTCCCTGCTGCATCAAGGCTAAACAAGGCATCCCAACCACAGGGAGCAGGTTCCAAAATGCAAGCTCATGTATCAGGACAAGTCCTGGCCCCACAAAAGACCAAGCTACACAACTTTCACCCGGACGCAGAGAACCTAGGTGGTCCCATGCCGGCTCCCTAGGTGTCCATGCAGAATCCATGCCAGCTGTCTCTGTGGGTTTCCCCATCATGTTCTTGATCCCTCTAGCTGAAACTGGACTCCCAGAGCTAGGCCCAGTACTTGGCTGGGATTACATCTTATGTATTTTTGGTGGACACAACTTCCTTAATAAGATAGGACCTCTTACTCTGAACTTATTACCCGGAACAGATGGGGCCATGTTTAATCATGGCAAGGGGCCATCATGTCACCCATCTGTGTGGATGCCAAAAACACTACATAAGATGGGATGCAGCGTCCTACAGGAAATAAAACTACTACACCATAGTTCCTTGCTTTCCGGAGCTGCTTGATCTTGCCACAAGGGAAACTGGGACGTATAACCTCTTAGCAGGAAACCAACTTTCCTAACTCTAAGACATAAGAATATACAGCAGGAACATTATAGCTGTTTTTTTTTTTTTTTTTTTTTTTTTTTTTTTTTTGCTGAGGAGCGTACTTGCCAGAGCATGTAGTTCTGGGTAAATTGAGAGGGAGTCCTCTGGTCATATAACAGGGGGAAAGTCTAACTTGATAGGTTGCAACGGATCATGCAGTTGCTGTCTTGCATTCTTGAAGAGACTTGGGAAATAACTGATAGAGAGCTCTAAGCAGATGATTGGGAAGGTTGTGCATGGGGAGGAATGCAGGCAGGGGAAACAGTGGGTCCATGACAGGAAATGGGCATAGTGTATTTAGGGTGTCAGTGCCTAGTCCCACGGCCAGGACTGCTGTATTGAAATGAGCTACAAAGAGCAGGAAGCTACAGAACATCAAAGGAAGGGGACAAGAGAAAATAGAGCAATGATTGAAAGAATTCTTCAGGCCTGGGGTGGAAGGGATGAAGACTCCCATTTGCGAGTTTCTCCACAGCATCTAAAAAGGTCTCTTGCAGATGTGTCAGGAACAGATGGAGCTGTTGCAGGGTGAGAGTTACTTGGAGAGTTTACATGGAACATTTTATTTGGTTATAGGGTGAAGTTCAATAAATAAAGTACTTAAAAGACAGGATAAAAACTAAATATGAGGATAATAGGGAGAAAAGGAGTGACCCGGAGGAGAAAGGTCCCAAAAACTCAGTAATGTTTCTGTCTTCCTCTAATCTAGGTGCTGGAAACCATCTGTTTACCAGATAGTAAATATTAATTAAGTTTCCAGGTCCCCTGATCTCTGTCACTATTCAACTCTGCCATTGTGATAAAAAAAAAAAAAAAAAAAAAAAAAAAAAAAAATTGGCCTCGGACAACATGTAAAAGAAATTTCTGAGACTGTGTTCCAAAATGAACTTTATTTTTTGGCAGTGGTTTAACAAATTTTAATTCACAGTAGACACTGAAAATAGGTAAAAACAGTTAACAACAAAAAGGCCTAACAAACTGTCAGAACTGCCAAGAGTTTACCAATAGCAGATTCTGAATGATTGTTACAAACATTACATGCAAATGCTACATTTTTTTAAATTCCATATAGCAACACTGTAATGCTTCCTGGAGCCCTGCACTCTGGGTACTTCACCTGAAAGAAGAAAAGCTTCTCCTTTACACATCAAAGGACAATAATTCCACCTAAGAATCTAATGCAGGCAGGTCAATCTCCTGGTGGTCAAGGACTATCCCTAGAAAGGCAGGCTCATCTTAAACCTTGCTAATGAAATATTTGTAAAAATTAATTCTTTGGCTGGGTGTTGGTGGTACATGCCTTTAATCCCAGCATGGGGAGGCAGAGAAGGCGGATCTCTGTGAGTTCAAGGCCAGCCTGGTCTACAAATCAAATTCCAGAACAGCAATACTGAGAAACCCTGACTCAGGGGAAAAAAAAAATAATTCTTTGTACTAGGATAACTCAGGTTAGTTGAGCCAACTATCAGTAAATAGGTACTTCTTCTTCCCCATTGCAGTTTCTTATTCCACAAAGTTTAGTATCCATAGATACAACAGAAATTCCTTGGCAGTGCCCTGAACTATTATTCATCTGGATACCTGGGCCAGAGGTGATGCCATCTTCACAACTCTAGCACACAAACTAAGTTACTCCATCCACAAAGACAGAGCTCCTGGTCTCCCCTTTTACCATAAACCTGAAACCTGTACTCCATTTCAAGTAGGGTCCACACAGGGACAAGAACACCATACCTATGTCCATGGCCCTGTTTATGAGCAGTTCAAGTAAGAAAGACTTCTCTGTGTGTCTTCTCAATGTCTATCCTAAAAGTGCTAAAAATTTGTCTTAGCTTTTAATGGAGAGATGACTTGTCACTATATATTCCTGCCCCTACAAACACTTGACTTATAAAATACACTTATTATGAGCTACATACAAGACCCTGAGATAAGGATAATTTTAATAATGAAAGCATTTAGTTTTTCTATGAATTGTATTATTTAAAGCTTTCAGTACAAACCTGAAATATAAATAAAAATTATATTAACAGAATTTAATGTTCAAAACTGTGTTCTTTGCCATGCAGTAGTGGCACATGCCTTTAATTCCAGCACTCAGGAGGCAGAGGCAGACAAGCCTGGATTACATATTGAGTTCTAGGACAGTCAGGGCTGTTACATAGAGAAACCCTATCTCAAAAGACAAACAAAAATGATCCAAAAAAAAAAAAAAGAGCTGGTAACTGGAGAGATGGCTCAGTGGTTAAGAGCACTGGCTGCTCTTCCAGAGGACCTGGGTTCAATTCCCAGCACCCACAAGGTGCATGACCATCTATAATAGGATCTGATGCCCTCTTCTGTCATGCAGAGCATTCATACATAAAATAGAAATTTTTTTTTTAAAAAAAGTGTTCTTAGAAAGCCATACACATGACAATGTTCCCTTCTCTAAATACAGCTTTGTCCTTGGCTGCTGAACAATACACTAATCATTTACAAACAAGCAGAAATTTCCTAAAGGGTAAGTATTTTTAGATTCCAGGTTTATATCATTTGATACAGAAGCTACTAAAAAAGTGAGCCATATGTGAAATAACAAAAGTTAATTCACACGAGGGGAAGGGGAGAATGGCACTTAAGACTAAGAAGCCAGGTGGTGGTTATCCTGTTAGTTGGGAAACAGAGGCAGGTGGATCCCTGTGAGTTTGAGGCTAGCCTGGTCTACAGAGAAACCCTGTCTCAAAACAAAACGAAACAAAAAACAGTGGGGAGGGAGAAAGGGAGGGAGGGGAGAGTGAAATACAGGAATTGGTAAATCTGGAGTAGCATTTGCTTCCTACCCTAAGTCTTCCTGAGCACCTGAACATCCAGGAAAGCCACAGAAACTAACAAAACAGAGCAAAGGAGGGTATCAATGTCAGCTCAACTACTGCCTAGGACTTGAAGCCAAGTTTTGTGGTTCACACTAAAAGTTCAGTGTGTGTTTAACATTTTTAAGTTCAGACATATCAAAGCCAAGAAGTACTGAAGGTCTTTGGACTTCTATTGCTTTCAAACAAATATATCTTCTTGTTCCAAAAAACAAAGCCACATTAATTCTTTCCATCTTCAAGTGTAAAGACAACAGTTCTACTTCTTTTCTGCTAGGATATGGTTTCTTGTGGAAATACTCTCTAAGAAACTGCTTTTTTTTCTCATAGGAATAGTCTTTGCATTTTGGGGGATCTAATGCTAGGATCTGGAGTACATCATCACTGGCTACCAGTCCATCAGTTGTACTTTCGTTCCTTTGTCTCTTCAAAGGCATAACACCAGTCCCTTCCTCTGGACCTGATGATGCTGCATCACCCTTTAGTACCAGCAAGGGAACTTTCTCATCCCTCATCTGGTCATCTTGCCACTTTCTCTTTACAGGATAGGTAGAATCGGTACTCCTTTTCCCATTGACAAACTGCAGTTCACTGCTCTCAACAAAATCGGGCCCAACTTGGTCTGAACCATTCTCTTTGGGAGCATGTTCACAATGCAGTAAATGAAGAGTGATGGCTGCCACAGTCAAACATCCAGGGTAGATCCCACAACAATGGACACATCTGAAGGCAGGAGACCTGAGCACTGTATAGGCCATTGGCATAATATGGTGTCTGTCCTTCAAATGTAACATGTAGGCATCGGATATCATGAATGTGCTCAAACAGAGGGGACAGGTCAGCCCTTGCTCACTGAGCAGCTTAGGTACAACCTTAACCTGTGGCCTCACCTTAACATACAAGGGCACCAGTGATGTGGAGTACATCCCTGAAAGGACAGCCAGGCAGACTTCCTGCTCTCCAATCTTCTCTCTTGGCAGAGTGATGACGAAATCAAGACAGGGGAACATCAGGTCACCATTTGCATCTAGGCTCAACCGGAAGCCCCTGTTACTGTAATCCAAAGACAGCTTCTTCCTCTCACAGTGTTTAATTCTGCTATGCTCCAAGAGACCCTGTATGGTGTGAAAAGTGCATGGGCATAACAGGCACCCCAAGCCATGTGTGAGTAAGTGGTACATTAGCTCCTTCTCTGAGACTGGGCATTTGCACGAGAGGCAACGCATGGCCTTCTCCCTTGTCCACTTCAGAAATGATGCACACACTGCCAGCTTTACTGGTTCAAGTTTCTCACTGGAGTTGGACTGGCTTTGTTTGTGAGCCACTTCCATGTGAGCCTGGTAGACATTGGATGGGAAAAATACTTTGCAAACTGGGCATGTTTTCCACTGTTTGGCCTGCCTGACAACCATACTCATATCCACCTCAGGTGAAGAGACCTGAACAAATATGTTCTGGTCTGCAGTGTTTACCAGGCCCTGTGAGGAGGACAAGCTGGGTAGAGCATTGGACATCTGTGGACCCACACTGGGGGACAGGAATTGGTTGGATAGCTGGGGCGGAATGACAGTCATGAGGTTAGCACCCTGAGTGGCAGGCACTGGATCCAGCATGTAAATGGGTCTCCCGTTAACCTGTGTCCCTGTTGGAAGGAGCTTCCTGAAAACAGGGCCTGACTTGAGGAACATGGTATTCTGTGAAGGCTCAGCTCTCACTGACTGGTTCACCGGCAGGAGGCTGGTGCCAACAGACTGACAGAGCTGAAGCACACTGGGTCTAACTGGTGGGCCTGCAGGAAGAACTCCTAATGTAACAGGCTGACCAAGCAAAGAAACCCCAGAGCTCACACCCTGGTTCACAGAGACATCTGAGATCACCAGCTCTTTGGGGGGCATAAACCCAGGTGATACCACTTGATCTGCAGGGAGAACCCTTAAAGACACTGTCTGACCAGAGGGGAGAACCTGTGATGAGACTATCTGGCCTACATGGAGAACCCTGGACTCAACTGCTTGACCAGTGGGAAGGACCCCAGAAGCTTCTGTCTGTGCAGTAATCACAGAAGCAGGGGTCATCTGACCTTCAGGAAGGACTGCCAATGAGACTACCTGACCCACAGAAATTGTTCCTGGTGAAGGTGTCTGAAGAACCCCAGGAGAGACAGAAAGACCAGAAGATGGGGTACCAGGCCTGATCAGTCTGCTTGTGGTCTCCACTGGCCTACTTTTAGGCCTCACTGATCTGACTGGAGGTCCTGCTGGTCCACTTGCAGATCCCATGGACTGTGTCAGGGATAAAATCCCAGGTTGGATGGCTTGACCCATTGGGAGATTACTCATTCCAACAGACTTATTCACAGGACCAAGTGACCGACTCACAGGTAATGCAGGAGAGTCTATAGGCTGATTAGGTGAAGCGCTGCCTGAGTAAAGGGCAGACGAGGGAGCTGAAGGCTGCAGTGTGAGGCTGGTCTGGCCCCCTGGTAAAGGGCTGGAGGCAAAAGCCACGTGGGACTGGGCAGCAGCAGACAGAGAATGAGTGAGGCTCCAGGAAGTGCATGGAGTCCCAATCGGTGGCTGTACATGGGCAGAGGTCACAGGTTGGGTCACGGTCACTGGCTGTACCAAGACTGGACTTGGAGTGTTGCGTGACAAGGTAAGGTGGGACCAAGGTGGCTTTGCTGGAGCAGTTGCGGGTGGAGCACTGCTGTTTGGTGGCCTGGACAAGCATGCCTGTGGCTTTGGAGCAATGGGCATTTGCTTCGGAAGCCCAATCCTCTTGTTGTGTTCTGAAATCACAGACCTCAACTTATTCTCCAAGTCCTTGTGTGCATCTGATGTCAAAATATGGGGCATCAGATCATCCTGGCTGCACATACCGGCACTACACTTTCTACAGGAGTATCTTTCAGGTGGTGGAGTGGCTTTGGGCTGCTGCTGTTCCTCCTTAGTCTGAAAGCCAATGTAAGCATTAAGTAAGGACTGGAAATGAGTGACCAGGACATGCTTCTTCATGCTGTAGAAGGACGTATTGGAAAAGTTACATTTCAAACATGTGAAATGCTTTACATAGCCCTTCAGCGCCTTGCCACTGCCAGGGGCTTTCTCCCTGGGGCTGTCCACTTTCCCGGCTGGCTCATGGAATAAGGAGAAGTGCGTGCTCACCACATCCGGCCGCGAAGTGAATGAGCAATCCGGGCACTGGATCTGCAGCTCTTGGTCCGCCTCATCTTCATGGCAACGATGCAAATGATTCTTGAGAGGAGCGAGCGCATCTGCCGAGTACTGGCAAAGGCCGCAGCAGTAAGGCTTGGATCGGTACCTCACTTTGCTCTTGAGAAGTTGCCCTGGAGCCACATCTGGCCAGGACGTCCTGGGAAAGTGCGCGTCCCCCGGGCCGCAGCCTGCGCGCGCGTCCAGCAGCTGCTGGGCGCTGTGCAGCCCCACCTCGCCGAGAACACGCTTCACCCAGGGCCGCAGGGCTCTGACGCGGTCCAGGTTCTCCACGGGAACTTGAAACATGCTTTAAACGCTCTGCCCTGCAATAAGGGAGCCTGGGCCTCAGGACCGCCGCTCTCCACTTCCGCTCCCACTTCCGCCGCGGGGCGGGGCCCGGCCCGGCCCCGCCTCCTCCCGGCCTCGCTCACACCGGGCCGCTCACACCGGGCCGCTCACACCGCCCTCCCCGTCCCTCCCCTCTCCTCTCTCCCCTCCCCTCTCCTCCCTCCCCTCCCCACCCCTGTCCTCCCCACCGCCCCGGCCCGGCCTCACCTACAGCGGACGCACGCGAGCCCTCAGCGCCGCCGCCTCCCACCGCAGGCGCGAGAAAATGGCGCCCAAATGGGAGGAAGTGACGTTCAGGGTTATTTGCATATTCTCACGGGCAGCCAATGGCACAGCGCGCCCGAGGCCCCTCCCCTTCCGCTCGTGCCGGCCCACTCCGCCGTCATCCGAAGGGCGCAGCCGGGCTCCCCAGCTCACGACCAGGGCAGGGCCAGGGCAGGCGGCCGTGACGTCAGAGGGCCAGGGCAGGCGGCCGTGACGTCAGAGGGCCAGGGCAGGCGGCCGTGACGTCAGAGGGCCAGGGCAGGCGGCCATGACGTCAGAGGGCCAGGGCAGGCGGCCGTGACGTCAGAGGGCCAGGGCAGGCGGCCGTGACGTCAGAGGGCCAGGGCAGGCGGCCGTGACGTCAGAGGGCCAGGGCAGGCGGCCGTGACGTCAGAGGGCCAGGGCAGGCGGCCGTGACGTCAGAGGGCCCTGTAGGCGGCCGTGACGTCAGAGGGCCAGGGCAGGCGGCCGTGACGTCAGAGGGCCAGGGCAGGCGGCCGTGACGTCAGAGGGCCACGGTAGGCGGCCGTGACGTCAGAGGGCCAGGGCAGGCGGCCGTGACGTCAGAGGGCCAGGGCAGGCGGCCGTGACGTCAGAGGGCCAGGGCAGGCGGCCGTGACGTCAGAGGGCCACGGTAGGCGGCCGTGACGTCAGAGGGCCAGGGCAGGCGGCCGTGACGTCAGAGGGCCCTGTAGGCGGCCGTGACGTCAGAGGGCCCTGTAGGCGGCCGTGACGTCAGAGGGCCAGGGCAGGCGGCCGTGACGTCAGAGGGCCAGGGCAGGCGGCCGTGACGTCAGAGGGCCAGGGCAGGCGGCCGTGACGTCAGAGGGCCAGGGCAGGCGGCCGTGACGTCAGAGGGCCAGGGCAGGCGGTGACGTCAGAGGGCCAGGGCAGGCGGCCGTGACGTCAGAGGGCCCTGTAGGCGGCCGTGACGTCAGAGGGCCAGGGCAGGCGGCCGTGACCGCATAGCGCCTGGCCGGGACTCGGAGGACGGGCGCAGCAGATACCACTGTCGCTACTTCTGACAACACAAGGCAGTTCATGGCGCTTGAGACTAAAATAAATCAGACGGGGCGTGCTGACACTTGCCTGTAGTCCCATGGTTCAGGAAGCTAAATCAGGAGGGTCCAGAAAGTTTGAAGCCCGGACCTTATAAATATGGAGTGCATCAGAAATAGCTGGGGGAATGTCTCCACAAGGCCCTGAGCTCCAAGCCTACATCACAGGCACACACAGTCTGAAACCTAATAATTTGTGTAAAATCGTCCTATCTTTTTATTTTTATCAAGCCAAAGTTTACTGGCATATGATAGACTTAAGGTTCCCAGGATAAGAAGTGAAGAATTAACAGGTTAAATTAATGACAGTTAAAATGGATTCCTAGGGAGATCTATAAAGTCTTTTGTAGAAGAGGAATATTTCTCCAGATGGAGAGTACATTAAAGGAGCAGAGCTAAACTCGAGCTAACATCTCCAAGTTCCTTCTGGCATAGCCACTTTGCATCCTGGAATAATTTATTTTGTAAATTATCAAAATGTTTTTAGTCAATTCTGTTAACTGACCAAAAAAACCCAACAGGACTTCCATAGTTATTAGTGAACAGAAAATTTGCTAAATAGAATTCTGGGGCTTCTTTTCCCAGGTGCTGATCCCCCAAAGAAGTCTAACTGGCTCCTTACCAAACCTGCTCACCCGTCTGGACCAAATGCCTGACTATTCCGTCTTCCGAGGCTATATCATTGCAAGTACCATGTTCTCCGCATAAACGTCCCATCAAGCTGCCTGGGGACTGGAATCCCTCACTGGCTGTCCTGTCTTTTCTTTGCAGCAATACAATCTGGCAAATGCAATCGAGGCTGCAGACACCTACACTGTGTTTGCTCCAAACAATGAAGCCATCGAGAATTATATCAGGGAGAAAAAAGCCACAACCCTGGTAAGTGTCAGCCCCAGCAGTTAACATCTCCTTTTTAAGATTCATTTTTATTTTTAATGGGGTGAATGAGTGTGCGTGCGTGCGTGTGTGCGTGTGTGTGTATACATAGGTACAGATGCCTGCAGAGGCCAAGGAGGTGTTGTTACACTGAACTGAAGTTACAGGTGGTCATAAGAAGGCTGATAAGAATGAGGGTCCTCCTTGAGAGCAGTACCCACATTTTACTACTGAGCCAGCTCCCCAGGCCATCAACATTCTCTGATGTGGGGTGATGCTCTTGTTCACTATAATGATCTGTCGCTCGAATTGGTCTAATAAAACACTGATTGGCCAGTAGCCAAACAGGAAGTATAGGGGGCTACCAGACAAGGGATGATGCAGCCACCAGCCAGATGCAGAGGAAGCCAGATAAGAATGCATACTGAGAAAAGGTCCCAAGCCACGTGGCTAAACATAGATAAGAACTGTGGGTTAATTTAATTTAGGTTGTAAGAGTTTGTAAGCCTGAGCAATAGGCCAAACAGTTTACAATTAACCTAAGCCTCTGTGTTTAATTGTGACTGAGCGGCCGCAGGACCAGACACTTCTGTCTACAATTTTCAATCTATCAGTCATATGCCAGTCATAGTCCTGATTTTTATCAAAATCTGTTCATCCATCTCTATATCCCCCACACAAACCTCCGCATGTCACAGCAGCCATGAACATACACACAAAGAGAAAATAAAATGTTAAACAAAAAACGTTTTAACTGAAGACATTTACTTAGTGCCCATAAAAGTATGTGTTCTCTTTTCATGTGGAAAAAAAATTGGTCTTAACATCTCATTGGGGTTATAAAGTAAAACCGAAAATATTAATTTGTATATCAAAGAAACATCTATAATTACAGTCCAAACCACTTATGTAGGCGGAAACCACTTAAGCATTTGTTCGTAGATTTTTCTCCAGTGTCATTTTCTTAATGTCAGGAAAAAAATACCCCTTTGCCACTGCAATTCTTCTTCATTTTTTATTGGCTTTATTTATTTATCTAGATCGAAAGTCTTTGCATTGATATAAATGATTACAGTTATTTTGGATAGTGTTTTTTGAAAGCATATTTCTATTTTGTTTTAATGGTACTGAAATACCTGGAATAATTTTCATGTTCTTATCACTAATATTATCCTCTATTTTATTTAGAAATATAACTTTTACTAATTACTAAAGCTCATCTTATGTTGGAGTTTTGAAGCTGAAGTCTTTGTAATATCAGAGAAATCATTTTAAACAATCCGCTGTGCACCTTCATCATGCCTGTCTAGATGTTCTTGGCCATCCTACCTGGAATTCACAACTCACCTTATTGTCTACTACATGGACAGCCTGCTTCTTCTCTTTGCGACCCCATGATTATGGCAGAGTACAGCAGGGTGTAGCCAGCTGGCTGGTTCGCTGGCTGACTTTTCCTTATACGTGTGACACAGGAGGAAGACATACTTCGGTACCATGTGGTCCTGGGGGAGAAGCTCCTGAAGAACGACTTGCACAACGGCATGCACCGAGAGACCATGCTGGGGTTCTCCTACCTCCTGGGCTTCTTTCTCCACAATGACCAGGTATTCCCCCCCCTCTCTCTCATTCCCATGCCCCCCCACTCAACAGGGAGGGTGAGGCCTTCCAGGAGGGATCAACAAAATCTATCAAGTCATTTGGAGTAGGGACTAGGTCCTCCTTCCTGCCTCTAGGTTAAGGAGTATCCCTCCATGGGGAGCTTGCTCCAGGGATGGTTCAACATACAAAAATCTATCAATGTGATCCACCATATAAACAAACTGAAAAAGAAAAACCACACGATCATCTCACTAGATGCTGAGAAAGCCTTTGGCAAAATTCAACACCCTTTCATGATAAAGGTCTTGGAGAGATCAGGAATAACAGGAATATACCTAAGCATAATAAAAGCAGTATACAGTAAACTAACAGCCAACTCAGACCCCCCAGGTACATCTTTTTAACAAAACTCAAGAACAAGTATTGTGGTATTGGAATCCAAGTAGTAATAGGCAACCTCAGCTGGTGGCACAACCCCAACAGACAGCCTCCAGTTTCCAGGATAGAAAGGAACTTTGTTTCTCAAAATAACTTGCAGGATGTGACCCTGGCTTCAGGGAGTCAGTAGTCTAATGATATGTATAAAGTCCTTCCGTCAAACAAGTTAATATTGATATTGCACAATCACAAATATGTATCAGCTACCACCCTGGCACTCCAGAGATCACCTTACACACTGCCTAAGTAGTTAAATGGTTAGCATTCATAAAAAAGATTTCGTGAAGCTAGTTACTGTAGTTAATATACAATTCAGCTCATGTAGTTCAAATGCCATATTTTAAAACTGTGAAATTTTAACAAGAAACAGTGTAATTCTAAAATAAATTATCAGAAGAAAAATTCACCGAGTGAGTTCCAGGACAGCCAGAGATTATAGAACCGGGCAGGGCATATGCCTATAATCTTAGGGTTATGGAGACTACCTTAGTGAGGTTCTCAGTTACTGTGAAAACACACCGTGACAAAAGCAACTTGGAAAAAAGGGTTTATTTCACTTTATGCTTTCAGGCAACAGAACAATCCTGAGAGAGGACAGGGCAGGATCTGAAATGATGCTTCTGGCCTGCTCAGTTTGTTTTCTTATATAACCAAGGGCCACCTGCCCAGACGTGGCACCACCCACAATGGGCTGGGCCCTCCCATGTCAAACATCAATCAAGAAAATACTTTACATACTTGCCTACAGGCCAATCCTATAGAGGCATCTTCTTGACTTAAGATTCCATATTCCAAATGGCCCTACCTTATGTCAAGTTGATATAAAAACTAGCCAGCACAGAGGCTGAGGAAAAAGGATCACAAGTTTGAGGCCATCCTAGGGTAACCCAAGTTTGAATGAGGATGGCCCTCATAGGCTTATATGTTCGGATGCTGGGACCCCAGTTAATAGAACTGTTTGGGAACAATTCAAAGGTGTGGCCTTGTTAGAATAGCTATGGCAGTAGGCTTAGATCAGGCCCAGGCTTTCTCTCTCTCTCTCTCTATCTCTATCTCTCTCTTTCTCTTCTCTCTTTCTCTCTCTCTCTCTCTCTCTCTCTCTCTCTCTGGGTGTGTGTGTGTGTGTGTGTGTGTGTGTGTGTCTGTCTGTCTGTCTGTCTGTGTGTCTGCTACTGCTCCAGTACCATTCCCTTCTGCTCCCCTCCATGATGACCATGGACTAACTCTCTGAAACTGTAGGCAAACCCTCCATTAAATGCTTCGTTTTTTTAAGAGTTACCTTGGTCATGGTGTCTCTTCACGGCAATAGAACAGTCACTAAGACACTGAGCTATGTCACAAGAACTTGCCAGAGAGAGCAGGAGAGAGGGCAGCAAGAGAGTACAAACACACCGCATAGAATGAGCACTTAATGGTGCAATCTTAGAAGCAGTAATATCACTTGATCCTTTTAAAAGGTAACAGCCTTAAAAAATTTCTTCACTGGTGCCATCATTTAAATAAGTAATTTTTACATACACTTTAAAAACTTATGTTAAAAAAAAAATCTAGCTAGAGCTGGGTATGGTGGTGCACGCCTTTAATCCCAGCATTTGAGAGGAAGAGGATCTCTGTGAGTTTGAAGCCAGCTTGGTCTACAAAATAAGTTCCAAGACAGCCAGGAATATTATTCAGAGAAATCCTGTCTAAAAAAAAAATTAAAAATCTAACTAGAGACTTTTTTTAAGGCTCTTTTACTTTCTTCGTTACTTAGAATAATCTAATTCTAAACATTTTTCTCTGACTCCCTATCAGTGTTGAGAGTCTAGCAAATACATTTTCCTTTTAAATACATTTATTTTTCCAGAAATAGCTATTATCTGATTGGTAGAAAGCTTTCCTTTTTGTTGTTATTTTAATCTGTACTCTCTGTTTCATCAGGTAGAGATGAATATTCAAATGCTGTTGTTTAAGTTATTTCCAGTGTTATGATTGTCATTTTCTACTAGCCCAGAAATTCCCTGATTTAGAGCAAACATTAACACGATAGAAACGCTGCTTTTAATTTCTCTGTTGCAAGCAGAGGGAAAGGGCTTTCTAATTGAGTAGGTGTGTTTATAGAAAATTTTCAGTGCAACCCATAATTTTCTAGCTATGTCTCATGATGGAAATGATTCAGCCCCTTTAAATGCCAAATTAAGTAGGAATGCATCAAATGTGCTGTTCTCTGGATATTCAAAAATAGCTCAACATCTTGGAATTCTGGAAGTTTGTGCTACAATCACTATTTGAGACTTTCTCAATATTCATTGACCTTGAAGCAGCAATGTGGAGCTCAGGCCTCACTTACCCCAAACAGAAGACCACTTTACTGCCAGCCAATCGTAAGAGACTATCACAGTCAGTAGCAATTTGAAAAGTAAAGAGTGTTGATATTGTTTGTGAATTTTAAGTCCTTATTGAACACTAACACATTACATGCTCTGTAGAGTAAGTTTTTGCCCATCCTCACTGTCATTTTGCCTTTCTAAGAGTTGCTGGAAAATTACACAAGCTGGAGAAAGGAAGCTTTGTGTTCTCTGTGTCTTAGTTAAGGGGAGACATCCCTACCTCAGAGACCACCAGACCACAGCACAGATGAGCATGGCCAAAAAGCCAGTTTGCCAATGAGCACAAGCGTAAGGATCTCAAGGCAATATTTTTTAAGCAAACATAAACCAATTCATGTGAGAGATAGAAAATACCCTAGAGATAATTTAGAGCCATGTCTGTTTTCCCTCTACAAAGATGAATGTTGAGGTTTGGGAAAGCAATTGACCAAATACCACACAGATTTATGGTATGATTTGCAAGACTGATTCAGACTTCCCTTTTCCAAGCCAGCGCTCCATCAACTACATTGTGGTACTTTCCAGCCAAGCCGGAATATCTCCTTGACTACTGTCGCGCTGATGGAATATCTCCTTGACTACTGTGGCACTGATGGAGTCCATTTCTTGTCCTTGGCATCTCCCTTAATACCACCTTAATAAAACCATATCTGATTCTCTCATCCACAGCTATATGTAAATGAAGTTCCAATAAACTACACCAATGTGGCCACTGACAAAGGAGTGCTCCATGGTCTGGGGAACGTTCTGGATATTCAGAAGAATCGCTGTGACAAGAATGACACCACTATTGTGAGAGTAAGTTACATCAAGGACCAGTGATGAAAATAGTGGGTGATGGCTTTTCCTTTTCAATTTTCAAACAGGGGGCCAGGGAGATGTCTCAGTGGGTAAAGGTGCTTGCCACAAAGTCCAGGAACCTGAGTTCAGTCCCCAAGACCTATATGGAGAAAGGAGACAAGTGAATTCTGCAAGTTGTCCTCCACACGTGTACACACACACACACACACACACACACACACACACACACACTTGCACATGCATACACTCACAAAATAAAAATGTAACACAAAATTGTTTGAATAAGAATAATTTTAAACGTAAGAATTTTCTATTAGATTATCTTAATTTAGTTCCAAACCTCCTCATTTATTGTGTCTGGGGCTGTAGCTGAGAAGTAGAACACTTGCCCAGTAAGTGTGAGGGCCTGGGTTCAATCCTGAGTACTGAAAAGGAGACTACTTAGTGAGCATCTCTAATGTACCAAAAAGAACGCAAGGCTCAGTGAGCTCATCCTGCCTGGGGTGACACATGCCTGGGGAAGCTCAGATAGAGGACTGTGTTGAGCAGGATTCTGAAACTCTGGCTCCCTTGCAAAGGGACACGGCGGTCCACGGGTCACCTGTGACAGCACTGATTAAGGCTGGTCAGCCAGAGGAGTGTGGAACGGGTGGATTCATTGTAATACAAATGCAGCGGTCAGACCTGTCCCTGCAGGCGGTGAGACCGCGTGGCGGATTTAGTATTAGCAACAGCCGTTACACGCTTGACACATCACTCTAAACATTTTACACATACTAACCCATATAACCCTCGCAACACCTTGAAAAGCAGGACTTTGATCGCCTCCAGTTTACAGATGGGAAAATGAGCCACAGAGAGGTTCATTGAGTAGTAGCAAGGAGCAGAGAAGGATTCAGACCCGGGCAGCCTGGCCCTAGAGACAGAATTTGCAACAGTAACACTACACTGTCAAGCAGGTACCAATAGCTAGATGCAATGACCTTCCCTGTCCCAGTTTAGGAGAAGGTAACACTCAAAAGTGTCTGCCATTCTGTCTTCTGTTTTGTGCGTGTGTTATTTCAGTGCAGGGCCCCAGCTCTGCAGTGTCCAGGCAAGCACAGTGTATGACAAAGTCTCTTTATCTGACCCAGTTCACTAAACAAGGGTCCCAGTGCACCAGTAAACCTGCGGAAAGAATGCAGATTTAAATGGTTGATGTCTCCCACGCTTTAAGAGGCCATTGAGTTCTTAAGACTATTGTAGACGAAAGCAGTGTTCATATATGCAAAACCACAGGACATTCAGGAGCTTGAGCAGGAGCTCTCCCTCCACCTTCAGCCCTGTGTTCTAAAACCAGCAGCTCCAAGCTCTCGTTTTCAGCGTCGCTTTGCACTGAATTTAATATTAATAACCTTGACCTGACTTCCTATCTCTACACTTTTTAACCAAGGGAATATGTGGACGGTGCTCCCAGCTAGCAATCTGCCCACTCGGAACCAAACCAATGGTAAGTAAACTTACTTTGTTTTGTTTTTAAATAATAATAATACTAAACTCCTGATAAGAGGAAGTCCACAGTGGAAAGCATGTGTTTCTTCTGCGCCTTTCCCCTCCCTGGGTTTAGTTCTAGCACTGTGTGTGTGTGTGTGTGTGTGTGTGTGTGTGTGTGTGTGTGTGTGTGTGTGAGGTTATAGCCCTGTATGCAGGGACATCACTTCCTTTTTATATTTTTAAGTTTCACTTTATTAATGAATTTTTTTCCTTGGCAGTTCCATAAATATACATGGAAATATGTAATACATTCTGATTCATCTCACCCCAACCCTTTCTTACCTGTCAAGCCACACAAGCAAGTTCCTTTCCCACAGTCAGGGCTTTTGTTTTGTGTCCCTGGGAGTTTAACCAGGGCTGTGAATGTGACCATGGGTGTGGGACTGTGTCTCCTCCAGCAAGGAAGGCACAGCTGAAGATCATGACTCCCCCAACCCAACCATCAGTAATCAGTATCCTTGGGAGGGCGAGGGCCCCACGGGCTCCCCCCACCCCCCCTCCCCCCGCCTTGACTGCTGCAGTCTTGTGTAAGCCCAGTGCTATGAATCCATGATGGCAATGGCTATGTCATGCCCAGAGAGTACACTCGGATGTCCCTTCTCCCCATTGGTATGCATCTTCAGAGCTTTAAATACAGGAAATGTAATTAGTAATTAAAATAGAAATGGGCCCAACATGCAATCCTATGGCTTTTATACTAACCAGTTAAGGACAACAGCAAGATACTCTATAAGAGGAGACAGTCTCCGTGTCCTCTCTCCTGGTTCCCTTTTATAACTGAAGTCACAGATGACCTTCTCAAAGAAACAGATGCAAACATTAAAAATGTAGACACATCTTTAAATCAATTACCAATCTGTTTCTTACAGCATCCTTTTATACAAAAGCTACTTCCGCTCATGACCATTACAGGAACAAGCACACTATCCTTCCATAGCATAGTAATAATAACTCAAGACAAACAGTGAATACTGGGTCTGTCACTTGGGTTTTAAGTTGGTAGTATAGATTATAAGTCTTTATGAGCAAACAATTCTTTCTCGGATTTGGCAGTTATAAATCAATAAACAAATTAAAACTTAAGATTAATGACTATACAGAGCTGGAAGAATATTTTTAAATTCTTGTAAAAATTGATTTAGTCTCCTAGAGAAATGTTCTTCATAGTGAGCCCTGCTGTGACTTTGGGTTTTGCCACCTACCCTGGAGTAGCCGGTACTGTGGGGTTCACCAAGAAGCCACAACCCACCCTTGCCAGAATATGTTAGAGGAAAAAGTGTCACCTGTTCCCCACTTACAGAAATTGGGAAGCTTTCTTCCTAACTAAAGGGATGACAAAATCCTTGTGATTCCACAGGACGAGACAAGGAAATGCATTTACACCATTTACTTCATGGGGAAGCGGTCCGCATTCATCGGGTGCCAGCAAAAGTGTGTGAGGACCGTCATCGTGAGTATGAGCTCTCCTGGCCGAGGCCTCAGCAACTGTGCCGTCAGCCACACACTAGATTTCTCAGAAGGCTTTGGCAAGTGTCCTTCTTGCCATCTGCTCCTCATGTAGTACTGGCAGCCAGTGTAGTACCGGCTGCAAGAAAATGTGGAAAGCCTGTAAGTCAGAAAGTGGGCAGAAGCCAAAGCCCTCAACTGTGTAAGGAAGAAGCTGAGGGTGTGGAAGGTAGGGTACCCTGTTCTCCCAACACATGCATGTGAGATTAAACTTAGCTACATCAATTACTTAATCAAATGTAACCAAGAGACAAAGGACACAGTCAGCAAGGTGAAGCAAGAGGCACTTGGTCAGTCAGAATACCCAGGATTTCTGATTGGCACTTTGGAACTTTCTGGAAAATTCTTTATAGCTTACTGTCCTGTTTCTCCCTGGAGGGTGATCCCTCTTCTTCCAAGGGTTTACACTGCAGAGGGTAGCACTGGACAGAGTTTTATGTCTTAATGCACTTAAGAATAAAGTCAACGAAGCCAAACAGACCTCCCATGGGCTTCCCTGAACCCCAAGAGGCTCCCAGAGAGCATCTGCTCCTCCCATAGATGAAGCGCCCCTGTTTGGAGGTGCTGAAGGCTTGTTGGGTTTACTACCACTCATCCAGCATCAGCTGTGCTGCTCTCTGTTACTTAGAACTGGTCTGGGGCACCAGCCTATAATCCCAGGCTCAGGAAGTAGCAGAAGACGATCAGGTGTTCAAGGCCAGCACCAGCTAACAAGTTACATCAACAACAACAACAATAATAATAAGTTTGTTAATCTGACCCAAGCTGGCCTAGCACTGGCCGCCCTCCTAACTACTGAGATTACAGGCACGCCTCATCTGGTTTGTTCTCCCTGACTCCCTCCTTGGCATCCTTCATCTCTTGTCTGTAGATTCTCCCCGGGCCTTGCCTGCAGACTGCAGAGCTGGCAAGTGCCCTGGAAAATGGCTGAGCCTCACTCAGTCCTCAGAGGACTCTGCCCCTACCCCTTAGAAACTCTGGAGTCTAAGGAACAGGCAGGCTCACACGGACTCCCAGGAGTCCCCAGAGCCTAAGGAAAACATGCCCCACCTTGCCCTTCTGTTGCAGACAAGAGCGTGCTGTGCTGGCTTCTTTGGCCCACAATGCCAAGCCTGCCCCGGGAAAGGTCAGAATGTGTGCTCTGGGAATGGCTTCTGTCTGGATGGTGTGAATGGCACTGGCGCATGCCAGTGTGGGCAGGGCTTCAATGGAACCGCCTGTGAGACCTGCATAGAGGGCAAGTATGGCGTCCACTGTGACCAAGGTGAGCATCGCTGCTGCCCAGACCCTGCCCCCTCAGTCCTCCCAGACCCGAGCTAGCCAGCAGCATCTGATAAAAGAGCAGTAGCTTCTGTGCTCCCCCCCCCCCTCCCCGGCCTCTCCTCCGGCAGCAGTGTGACTGCAGAGTGTAAGACTCTTTGTGAGCCAGTTACAGTATTCCCAGTTACAGTATTCCCAGTTACAGTATTCCCAGTTACAGTATTCCCAGTTACAGTATTCCCAGCATCCAGGAAGCTAAGGCAGGGAAATGGCCCTGCATCTGAGACCAGCGTAGGCTGCAGTCACCAGTATTTGTTCGTCTGTTTGTTTTAAGCCTGAATTGTTTTGTTTGTATAGAGCAGGATTCCAAAACATTTCCAGTCATTGACCTGGATGTGCCCACCCACCCCACCCCCAATTTGTTGGTTGACATTTTCAGCCTAACCCTGTCTCTCAGTTCGCCTGTATGTGCTAATCACTGTAATTAAACTTTCACTGTGGGCTTGCTCAGTAGTTAGTGGGGGGGGGAACAGATTTTCCCTAATGACTCATTTAATCCCAAAGGAACTTTACTACATGGCGCTGCTGTACCCATTTTACAAATGAGGATGTTAAGGCCAGGAACATGAATGGATTCCCCCAATGTCAGCTGAGGAGAAGCAGACCTCAAGTCTGAATATATACCTTTCTTGACCCCAAAGCCTGGCTCTTAAATCAATCTGTCCTTTTTGAGAAGATTACTCCTTGATCCACCATCAGCACGCACCACGATTTGATGTTTGATCAGTTAGAGGTACAGCACTTCCTCTTGAACTTACCCATCTGGGCTTCCTGGTACCCAGGGACACCAGGAGAGCTTTCTGTTTAGATCAGAAAACAGCTCCTTGTTCCAGCCAGTCCTAAAACCATCAACTTAGCTATCACTATGTTCTGACCAGCCGATCTAAGCCAGACAAAACTAATACATAAGTGAATGGCTGAAATTCGGCCATATATCACTGAAACTAGCGTGTTAATTTCTCTTTCTGTGTTTGGAAGACTGGCTTCCGTTCATGCAGCACTTCCTAACCTAGAATCTGTGGGTGACTCCGTGGGGTCCACAAAGACCCAGAGCTGAATGAATGCTTTTGGTTGGTAAAGAGTAGTATTCAAATCTCTCACCAAGTTCTTATTTATTTGTTCTTTTAAAATCCTCAACACGTATCTATAATGTTCTTTCAGCAAGGTCCCCACCATTACCGCCTCTTCATCTGCCCCTCCCACTGAACCCCCTTCTTCCCAAGTACCCCTTCTGTTCTCATATCTGGTTCTTATGAACCACTGCAGTTAATTAGAGTTGACTGCCAGAGCATGGGTCAGTGGCTATTTACTTAGGAAAGGGCCAGATGCCAGTGATGCACTGTGGTCACGCTGTCACCCTTAGCTGCCTGGATGAGTGGGGGCTTACAAATCCCTCCCCCTTCGGTGGAGTGTTGATGAGCCCAGGGTCACGCAGGCCTCATGCAGGTAGCGGTGGCTGAACCATGCACTGCAGTAGTGCCAGCTTGAGTTAGTGGGTGCGAGACAGCCGCGTCAGAGAGAGAAGACAGTGTTGACAGCTCTCTCCCATTATGCTCTTCCCACCTCCTCCTCCATGCTGTTCCCTGAGCCCTGGAGGGGCATCTTAGCTACCTTTCAATTGCTGTGACAAAACACCATGGCAAAGACAAGGAAATATTAAAATTGGGGGCTCCTGCATCCAGAGAGCCGGAGTCCATGACTGTCATACGAGGGAGCCTAGAGCAGGCTAGTCAGCAGGGCATAGCTGAACGCTTACTGGATCCACACGCAAGGACACACCCCCTAACCCTCCCCACACAGTCCAGCAGCTGGACACAGAGCATTCAAATACGTGCACCTATGGTGACCATTCTTATTCCAAGCACCACAAGGTGTGATACCGGTGTGCAGTTCAGGGCTGAGAGCCCAGTGGTGACTTATTCTCATCATTGTAACCATTACATTAACCAGCTAACCACGCCCACTGTAAATAAACAAATGCCTTTCTGACCAAGGCCAAGAGCAGCACTAACCCACGAATATACACATAAACATTCAGAGAGTGGTTTGACACCATGTCCATTCAGCAAAACAACAGTAATAAGTTCCCCTCTGGAACCATTGTCTCCCTAGCTCTTGAGTTTGACCATGTCTGAGCTTCTGTTGCGGACAGGCCTAAAATTGGATAAGAAGTGTGTTGGGTTCCCCCTTACCAGTGAACATTATTGCACTAACGATCACATCCTGCCTGGAATGATAAATACCTGCATAGTTTTGGGGACCTTTGGATGCTCTCTGACAACAGCTCACAAGGAGGTGTCCCACGCCTGGCACTGGACTTTTTCTTAAATCCCCATGACTTTAGAAGTAGCACTGTCCACACTCCTTTTAATAAATAGTATTTTTAAACTGACTTGCAACATAATAGATTTCCCCATGGCTTTTTCATATTTTCATTTAATCATTTGGGGGGGATTCTCGTGTTCATTGAGCATTTACTACATATTTAATGATATACATTGCCCCCTTAACATTTTGTACATGTCATCACTAGGTTGTACATTTGAAGCTTAATGTGTTTTTTTACATCTCTGTACCCATAAGCCATGACTCAATGGAAGGCAAGAAATGCCTCAACAACCCAGCTTTCAGTAAATTCTTAAGGAGATTCAGGACCCTGCTTTAAGATGAAGTTTTTTGTCTTTGGGGAAGGCAGAGTAAACAGGTTCCTACAAACCTGGTGTCAAATAGACACCTTTCTTTTGAGACAGGGTCTCACTACTAGCCCTGGTTGGCCTGGATCTTACTATGTCTACCAGGCTAGCCCTGAACTCACAGATTTCTCCTAGGTGCTGGAACTACAGGTGTGCACCACCATGCCCAGCCAGATGAGCATCTTTTGAAGTCTATTCTCTCAGGGTCCCACACAATCCCAGATGCTCAGATGACCCTAGCTGAGGAGAGTTTAGTCCTAAGTCACATTCCCACAGTGCCACACAGTCCCAGAACTGTGGCATGAGCCTGTGTCCCAGTGACCTCTGACCTCAGGCCTCCCAAAGGCCCTGCTCAGAGACTGGGTACAGGGAAGTACACCCCGTAAGTGGTAAAGGGAATGCTGAACACGAGTCTGGTCATGTTTTCTACTTAGCATGCTCTTGTGTCCATGGGAGATGTAGCCAAGGACCTTCAGGAGACGGCTCGTGTGACTGTGATGTTGGCTGGCGAGGAGTAAACTGTGACCGTGGTAAGAGTGAGTCCTTCTGGGTGCTCAGTCCTTATCCTGCCTCTCAGAACACACATTGTTTTCCTTTCTAAAGTAGAAACGATGCCATTAGCACTTCCTGAGGATAACTATAACTTCTTGTTACAAAAAAATTGTAAAATAAGGAAAAGCACAAAAAAGAAACCAAGTCACCCATATGACCAATACTGCAGACCCCTATTGGTGATATTCTGTGTGCCTGAGTATAGACCATATGTGTGGGGAGCGACTACTTATTTTATAACCTCCTTCTTCATACCACAAAAACAATGGACATTTTCCTCCATGTGAATGTGCCTACATCAACATCATTGATGATGTTATTAGAAAGAATCGTTTTGGGCTCCTTTGCCACAGTGCTGGTGAATAAACGGCCGCCTCACCCATGATAGATATGCAAGCCATCTGGCCCCAAGAAGCAGCCCCTCCCCAGTGGCACTTTCTGAAGCCAATGTCCTGCTGCATACACAGGGTCACAAGGAGTGTATATTATATGCCTCTTTCCGAATTTGTCTTGTTAATTCACGTGTTCAGCTCTGAGGTGGGTGTCTGACAGGAGCTGGTATCCTCTGGAAGGGCTTCGATGCTCTTTTCGAATAGCAATGCATTGTTTTCCCAGCTTTAGGGTCTGATGGGGAGCTCACTTGCTCCAGTCTCCCATTGCATCGATGTGTCTAACTGCACTCCACGGGACAGTAGTGAAAGGAAAGGAATAGCTTCAAAGACACGGAAAATCTGCATACATTTAGAGACCCAAGGGATTGCAGGATGTGAGAACAGGGGGGACGAGGCAAGCTGAATGAGAAGAGGTTAGAGGGGCCAGCAAGAGCCAGATCATTAAAAGAGAGACACATTGGCTTCCCAACTCAAACGAGTAGGGAGCCACTGAAGAGTTTTAAACATGGCTGCAATGGCATCTTCTTTGTACTGAAGAGAAAGCAATCAGGCACCAGATTGATGGGAATGACCCTGGAAGCCAGCATCAGAGACACTATGGTCCCTTCTGAGGCAGCAATTACAAAGAAGGTCACAAGTGCCCACTGACCCTGTGAGGGCTGCAGTGACAGGGTTTGTCTGAGGGACTGTCATCGCCAAAGCTCTAGAAGAATGGTAGGAGGCAGAGCTGTACAAACGCCAAACCTGGGGAATCTAAAGGACTCCAGGCCGGGGGCATCCCGGCACAGGCATCAGACGCCGAGGCGCCAAAGCAGGGCTCAGTCTGGAAGAGGGCCACAGAGAATGGTAGGGGCCACACCAGCAGGAAGAAACCCGGATTAAAACCCTGAATAAATGCTTCTAGGAGCACAGTGCATGAAAGACCAACCTCACTTAAAGGGACAGGGAACAGCCTAGAAACTATGGCAACATTCCAGGAGACAATTAGTGTAATTCCTAGATAAGGCAGCGGCAGAACTTGGATGTGGACAAAGGAGACCCCTGGGTGTCACATGAAGTGGAGACTGGTAGGTGCCGGAGATGCTGAGGACGGTGCCCAGACCATGACTCAGGCAGTCCCGCCCTTCACTCACATCTCTGCATGTTCTGCTTATCCATGTCTCTGCAATCTCTCTTCCACCTGCCCCTGCCACCACAGGACTTGCGATCTAGCACCGTACCTTCCATCCTAGGTCCCATCTCCTTTCTATCCTCCACATGCCTACAAGAACTTTCCAAAACACAGATGAAAGACACAGCACTTCCCACCCCACCCCATCCCCAGGACTTCTTGACAACTTGCTATGGCTTTTCGTCACCTACAGAACAAGATTCAGAGTTCCCCTCAGGAGCATTCACAGGCCAGCCACCAGCTGGCATCTAGCTGGTTAGCAAGTGTTAGCACCTACCCCATCCAAAGTGTGTGGTCTTCACAAGGAGCATCCACTCTAAGAGATGCCTCATTAGTGCACTTGACCTTCAGGTTTGTCTCTGGGTTCCCTGGAAGACAACATGAAAAGTATTTACACAGTGGCAAGGATTTTACATAGTTAAAAAACGGCTTCAGGAAACTCAGTCTTCTACTACTAGGGACTAAAGCAAACATTCACAGGCAACTGGTCTTCTTTTCCAGAGATCACGAAGGACAACTGCGATGGGACCTGCCACACCAGTGCCAAGTAGGTGTCCTCTGACCTGTGGGAACAATACCCGCTCAGAGGTTCTCACCTCGGGCCCTACCCTGGGGGAAGTGTTTTCCTGACATCCTTGATGAGGATGTAGGATGCATTTAAAAAAGAAACTGAATGTCTCTGAAGAAACCACCATGAGTTGGCCAGATGCAGCATGTTCCATAAGCAGCCAGTGGCGTACCCAGAATGCAAGTTGTCACCCACAAGGACTTTTTCATGGAGGGGCCATCGCTTTCAGTAAACATTGGCCCTAGTCCTCCTGTACACTAATAAAAAGCCTAGTAGCTGGAGTTAGACCTGAACCCACAGCCATCCGCCATCATTGTCACTTGTCACGTGACCTAGAGTCAATTCTTTACTTCCTCCCTGCCTCGGTTTCTTCGCTTATAAACGGCAATAATAATCACGCTGCCCTCAGGGGTTCTGTCTCACCTCTGGACAACATGAAGTAAGTTCAGCAAGTGCATGGGTGGCCTGTGAGCTGTGTGGGTTGGCTGGAGCGGCTGCGGCTCTTCACCGGCTGTGGTGGGATCATGCCAGGAGCCAGCTGTCCCCTCAAGCTGTAAGCAGAGCCTCTGAGTGCTTCATAGAGTCATAGAGTGAGCCTGGATGCTGGGCTGAAGGGGAGCTATAGGTCGTATGTGGGATGCTGTGTTTCTCCGAACATGTCATTTGCTCTTTTCCACTACAGCTGCCTTCTCGATCCAGATGGCAAAGCCTCGTGCAAATGTGCGGCAGGATTCCAAGGGAACGGAACAGTCTGCACAGGCAGGTGGAACGGAGATCTGCTAAGGGCTTGTGTGGGCTGAGACGTCCGACTGGGCCTCCGGAGCTGGTGCCAGCCACTGCTGGTGACTCAATGTAACTGAGAACTGAGGGTGCCCAGCTCTGCGTGGCTGCTTGGGGGTTCGGGATAGGCAAGCAAATGCATCTGTTTGACACGTGCAACTACACTACATCTGAGCAGCGGTGCACAACCTTGAGAGCACTTGGAGTCAAGTCCGGGCTTTAAAGGCTATAGATTTGATTGAGAAAGGCTGAGGCATCAGTAAAGGGTTTAAGTCCTGGTTCTTCCCCCTGCCAGACTCGTAACCTTGCAGGGTATTTAACTACCCTGAGCCGCTCTGCTCATTTGTAAAGTAAGCATAAAAGTGCCTTCCTTGCAGAGTGTTATAAAGGGTGAAACAGTGTTCCTGAGTACAATAGCCAAGAGGGCAGAGGGCAGAGGGCAGAGGGCAAAGGGCAGAGGGCAGAGGGCAGAGGGCAGGCCCGTGCCTCATCATTAGACCTCTGAGTTTGAGTTGAAATACTTACATCTGTGTTACTTCAGGGATGTTGCTTGGCTGTGTCTTTAACCATTTGCTCATCTGCAAGCTGAGGACAGTTATGAGAATCATTACATCGGGTAGTTGTATATGATCTAGATTATACATGGTGAATGCTAAGAAACGTGAGCTATTATTGTTAGAGTACATAACATACACTGGGCACTAGAAAGGAAGATACTCTGCAATCTTTCAGTGGTGTGGCACCTGGACAAATGCTGCTCTCAGCCTTAATTAGAGACTCTTCTCTGCACTGAAGGGTGGTGATGTTCAGGGTACTGAGAAAAAGTGGCAGCTGAGTGCTCAGCCCTAAATAGGACCTTCAGAGTACCCACCTAGGGTTGGGTACTCTGCATTGAGGAAGAGAGCAGGAAGGATGTAAGAGGCAGAGCATGGTAAAGGGCTGGAAATGCTGTCTGCTGGGTGTGGACGGCCATTGCAGCCATCACCTCAGTTCGGGCCAGCTGCCTGCACTGAGCCTGCCAGAGGCTAAGCCTGTTCTCAGCCAATTGGGGGTGGGGAGGAGCTCAGCAGACCCTACTCTCTGCTGAACTATTGGTATTGGCTATTGGTAGACTCTGAGACAGGGACAGTCATTGCCTACGGTTGTGTAGCTGCTGAGGAGCCTACCAAACCCTAGCAGAGCATTCCCAACCCATGGTCACATGGGCAGCCTGGGCAACTGCAATAGTTTGAAAGCAGAAGGATGTGAATGTGAGAAATGGGCTTGTGGAGAGGTAGGAGTTAACAGAGGGTGCAGAGATAGGGAAGAGTAGCAGTGAGAATAACCAGGATGCATTATTATAGGGTATGAAACTGTTAAAGAATAAACTTAATAAGCTACGATGAAAAACAAACAAAAACAAGATGGACCATTCCAAGGAACAACCCTTGGCGTTGATCTTTGGCCTATACAGTCACATACATGCATGAACAGGCTCTCTCTCTCTCTCTCTCTCTCTCTCTCTCTCTCTCTCTCTCTCTCTCTCTCTCTCTCTCTCTCTCTCTCTCATGCACAGCCAAGAATGCAAATACAGTCTGAGAAATCCAAATTCATATGAGAACTTAGAGCCATCATACTTCCTCTGCTTGTGAGGGGAAAACAGAAGTCAGAATGCTCTGTTCACTCAGGCTGAGCTCCTGGAAAATGAGAAAACACGAGAATTTTCTCTACTGCCATTTGGGTCTTCTTTCAATAAACATTTCTGAGCTATGATTTATAAACACTAACTGATCCATTCTGAATCAGTAAATAGCATGATGGCATGCAGCAAACACATGCACCCACCAATGCAATCAAACACAGCACAATTCAGCCAAAACCCTCCTGTGAACTGGCTGGCATTAGCCCTACTGACCCCTATTCCTACTCAGAGACCCCTATAATCTTTCTGTGATATGAGAGAGTTTTCTCTCTTCTAGAATCTGGTGTGAATGGAATTATGGATGCTAGTGAGTCTGGCTCATTTCACTCCCCTTTTGATGGCTGAGTTAATTTCATTGAGTATCCTACCCTCTGATTACTGTTTTCAGGTTTTGACTATCATGAATAAAATGTCTATCACACATGTGTGTGCACACTTGTGTGTACACACACACACACACACACAAAGCTCTTAGTGTCATTTTTCTTTGAGTGTTTTATACTGGGAGCTTTGACAGTTAGCTTTCTAGACCATCTTAGCTTAGGAGCTCTCAGAGGGTGCAGGCTGCCCTGGCCTTGAGGCCACATGGTCACTGCAGAGGGAAGTACACAGTCTGCTAGTAAAACAGCTGGAAAAGACAAATAATGATTCTTTTTTTTTTTTTCTCGCCCTCCATCTTAGTCAGTGTCACTATTGTTATAATGAAACACCATGACCAAAGCAACTTAGGGAGGAAAGGATTTGTTCAACTTCTGCTCCCATACCACAGTTTATCATTGAAAATAGTCAGGAACTCAAGCAGGGCAGGAACCTGGAGGCAGGAGCTAATCCAGAAGCCATGATGGGGTGCTGCTTACTGGCTTGCTCCCCAGGGCCTGTTCAGCTTGCTTTCTAATGGAACCAATACCACCAGCTCAGGAATAGAACCACCCACCACAGGCTGAACCCGCACCCACCAATCACTAATAAAGAAAATGCTCTAGAGGCTTGCTTACACCCTGATGTTATGGAGATATTTCCTCAATCAAGGGTCTCTCCTCTCTGATGACCATATCTTGTGTCAAGTTGAGATCAAACTAGCCAGCACACTTTCTGTGTTGAGTAATTAACCACATTGATTCAATGCCTTCTGGAGTTGTTCTAAAGACTTCCTTTTATCAGTGGCTCAAGTATGCAAAAGTTGTCTCTCTCCTCTTCTGCAGCCATCAATGCCTGTGAGATCAGCAATGGGGGATGCTCTGCCCAGGCTGTCTGTAAAAGAACCACCCCAGGACGCCGGGTGTGTGTGTGCAAGGCAGGCTATACAGGCGATGGTATCGTGTGTCTCGGTAGGTGACCATCCCTATCCATCCGGTGAAATGGTGTCAGGTAGAGCCCTGTTAAAATGTTCTAGCATATGAGCTCTTAAGTCAGGACTGCTGCTGGGATCGTAATATGGTATGCCTTGGCAGAAAAGCCCAAGGGTGTGGAAATGATGTACTCACAGGGGTATGAAGCATGTGATGCGAAAGAATTCACTTGAAATGGAAGGAGAGACCTTTTCCATTTAAAAACTCTAGTGGAAACTGACGTTTTGGACTTCGTTGGTTTATCATGCTGCACGTCTTTACTTTAGAAAACTGCAGAGGACATGTGCCTAGAGGCAGGGACTCTGACTTAGAGGTGTGCCCTGGAAGTTTAACTCACGCTGAAAGAACCATGTGCTCTTGACCCAAAGTTGCTCATTGACGTCTGCTGCTCACTTCTTCCTTTGCTCTCTTGTATACGTTCATATTTTTCCCTAGTCATTGAGACGAAGCTGTGTAAGCATGTTATATTTGTCCCTGATAACTGAGTGTATGTTTCCTAAAAGTGAGGGTTGCTTGTGATGTAGCCACACACAGTTCCTGACTGCTGTAAATTGATTATTATTAGTACTTTTTCTAATTATATTCTATCAGTTATCCCAATACTTCTCTAGTGTGGGGTCTTTGGGGGGACTGCATATTACATTTAGTGCCTTAGCTCTTTGCTGTATTTCTCTTTGCTCTATTTGGGGTTTGAGGGTTTTTATTTATTACTAGATTCCACTTGTATATTCAAGGCCAAAATGTCACAAAAGTCACATGTCCTTTGCTGGTTGTCACAGGTCTCAAGGTCTCCATCTGGCCCTTGTTTATGACACACATTTTGACTGCTAGGTCAAAGCGCTACCGAGTTATCCGGTGATAGTCATTTCTCCTTTGCTGCTGTTAGTCAGTGGAGAGGAGCTTTAACATCTGCTTCTCCTCAGAATGGCCTGAAGTGAGCGTCTCTTGATGAGTCTTCTCTAAACCAGTCTTTATAGCATTGCAAATGATTGTTTTAACCCTCTCGTCTCCTCAGTGGCTGCACTAGGGGACTGGGTGCTAAGATTCTCATTCAAAACATTCATATCCACTCCACACAGGGTCAGATTTAAGCCCACAGATGTTGCCTTTTCTAGAATTAGCCCAACCCAGAGCCAGGATAGCAGTTTTGAGAAACCATCCCTGCCCCCAAGTTACTTCTGTCTCTGAAGTTCCAGAAAACCGAGTCCCACGTTGACCCCTGCTGCTCTTAATCAGCTATCCAAGTCACCTCCAATCCCTCAAAAGGCCTCTTCATGGAAACGAAGCTGGATACTCATAACACATGTTGACTTTTGTCTTAAAGAAATAAACCCATGTTTGGAGAACAATGGCGGCTGTGACAAGAACGCAGAGTGCACACAGACAGGGCCCAATCAGGTAAGCCGCCTCTTTCAGCTTTCTTGGGAGGAAACCCCAGAGTCTTAAGACCCAGGCCTAAGGGTAGAAGTGCAGAACAGACCTTGGACCAGTCACAACCAGTCTGGTCCCATAGCCGCGTCAACCCCAAAATAACACACAGAGACTTTATTAGTTATAAAGCTGTTGGCCAATGGCTAGAGCTTCTTATTGGCTAGCTCTGCCTAAGCAATTAACTCATTTCTATCAATCTAAGTGTTTCCATGTGGTCTTACAGGAGAGAGAGAGAGAGAGACAGAGAGAGAGAGAGGAGAGAGAGAGACAGAGAGACAGAGAGAGACAGAGAGAGGAGAGACAGAGAGACAGAGAGAGAAAGACAGTGAGAGAGAGAGACAGAGAGAGAGAGACAGAGAGAGAGAGACAGAGAGAGAGACAGAGAGAGGAGAGACAGAGAGACAGAGAGAGAGACAGAGAGAGAAAGACAGTGAGAGAGAGAGAGACAGACAGAGAGAGAGAGAGAGTCCAGGCCTCTCTTTCCTCTCACATCCTACATCTTGACTCCTCTCTACTACATCTCCCAGAATCCTCCTTGTCTCCTAGTCCTGCCTATCTTGCTTTTCTGTTGGCCAACAGGGCTTTATTCATTAACCAATTAGAGAAACACATTTACAGAATGACATCTCCCATCAGTAGACAGTGAAAGCACAAGAGGAAATTTGGGGGGAAAGCAGATGGATGAGGAGGGACAGGGACTAGGAAAAAAGCTTTGTAAAAGTGGGGTGTACTCGCCCGCAAACCCTCTGTGATCCTAGAAGCAACTGGAAGTTTCTCTAGAATGTTCCCCTTTCTTTGAGCTTTCCAAAACCCAGCATTGCTCCCATTTTTCTTTGGCCCCAGGCTCTAGAGCACTGCACACGCCAGGGGCTCACAGTTCAGACTTCTGCCATTGACATGGCCCCAACAGACAGCTGTGCGGCTGCCTAGGAGCAAGTGGATTTAGGAGAGTGAGGAAATAAGAGTTGCAGTGGAGACGACCTGCACTCTGCCTCCCTCAGCCAGGCAGGGCAGTCATGCATCAAGACACCGGGTAACAAGTCAGATACCCAAGAAGTGTCCCTCGGAGCTCACTGAGCCTTAGAGGCTGCAGCGCTGCGTCCATCAACAGGCAGCTCAAGCAAGTGACTAAAGCACCCTAAATTAGAAAACAACAGCTTGGAAGAAGAGTGAGTGTGTGTGTGTGTGTGTGAGTGTGTGTGTGAGTGTGTGTGTGAGAATGTGTGTGTGTGAGTGTGTGTGTGATGTGTGTGAGAGTGTGTGAGTGTGTGTGTGAGAGTGTGTGTGAGTGTGTGTGTGATGTGTGTGAGAGTGTGTGTGAGTGTGTGTGTGAGTGTGTGTGTGTGAGTGTGTGTGTGAGTGTGTGTGTGAGTGTGTGTGAGAGTGTGTGTGATGTGTGTGTGTGAGAGTGTGTGTGTGTGAGTGTGTGTGTGTGAGTGTGTGTGTGTGTGTGTGAGTGTGTGTGTGTGAGTGTGTGTGTGAGTGTGTGTGTGTGTGTGTGTGTATGTGCGCGCGCACTAGTTATCAGGAAGTCTCAGCAGCCTCTACTGGACTTTCCCTCACATGCACCCATGTCTCGGCAGAGTTTCTATATGCATGGAGTGAGGGAACTGTACTTGTATTCCATAAGTGTTCCTACAGACCTAGGCGGCAGTGGTGGGGAACTGAGCTCTGAAATACAGCTCCAGTTAAGAGGAGATGGCCGCTAGGCCTGCTGGGAAAGGTTTGGACAAGGCCGGGGCCGTGGTGAAAGAAGGAGGAAGTAGAAGCCTGCCCAGGTTGCCCTGGCTAGCCCCACCTGTGCATCCCAACCCCCCACAAACAGGATCCCCTTCCTCCAGCTCCCAGCTGCCTTCCTTGTCCACCAAACGGGTGACGGCTTGTTTCCCTGCCTATCTCCTGTGGGCTGCAAAGGCTTCCCCTCAGCACATGCTAGCAGTGCTCACCATTCTTGGTGAACACAGGACATTACTACAGCTGAGCTTTCTTCCCCTGAACCTACCCTTCAAAAAAGAAGGTATCCAGGCAATAATGACGGCATGTTTGTGAGATTTAGTACTCAAGTATACTAGATTCGGTATTAACAACAACAGCAACAAACAAACCAGTCCCTTCTCATGCTGCCATTCTACAATCCAATTCAAGTCTGAGATCCAGCGCACTAACCTGCCTCTGCTCCTGAACAGGCCGTCTGCAACTGCTTGCCAAAGTACACTGGCGATGGGAAGACCTGCACACTCATCAATGTCTGCTTAACCGTGAGTATGCGTCCAGGCCCGAGGCCTTGGAGCCTTCTCCCACCTTCTAGGTAACACAGAGGCCAAGTGTTCTAGTCTCAGAACTGATTCTGGGTAATAGGGCTCACGTCTCCCGTTGTGCCGATATCATGGTGCATTCCTCTGATGCAGGCCTTCCAAAAGCAGCGTGGTTACTTTCCCTAAGTGTAGGGAGTGCTAAGAAGCATTCAGGAGTCAGCTAACAAGCCTAAAATCTGGTCCCCCAGCCTCAGTGACTGGTGACAGAATGCTGCTATGTTGCCTGAGTTTGTGTTTTATGTACTGAATGGGGAAGGACAGGGGCCAGTTCAGACTAACCATGACCTTCCCCAGACGTGTGGAGAAGAAAGGCTGCAGGGTCAGTGAGCTCAGTCGCTGGCCAGGAGTCGAGAGGGGATGACGAAGGGGGACCTGAGACGTTCTTCGGGCTAGGAAACTACTCTGCATGAAGCTTGGGTGTTGGGCACACTGATCGTTACACATTTGTCAAGACCCACAGAGTGTCCACCAGCAAGAGTGGGCCAACATGCAAGCTATGGACTTTAATATCAGTGCCTCGATTGCAACAAATGTGCAGCTAACAAACACAAGGCGCTGGTAATGGGGAAGCCCGGGGAGTGATGGTGTTGCTATGGGAACGTCTACAGTTTCCACTCTGTTATCCTGTAAACCTAAAACAGCTCTTAAAATCCACTCGTTTAAACAAAACAAAACCCGCCACATTCACTGTCAGTTTTCCTATCTTTTACACACACACACACACACACACACACACACACACACCTGAACCATAGCTTCTACTCCGCAGATTTGTTGTGTCTTTCCTGCGTAAGCTATCTCTGAGATACTAAGAATGTGCTCAAGAGAACACACAATGTTTTTAACAGGTCCAACTTACTTCAGATATGTTGCCCTTTATCAGTAGACATGTAGAGAGATCTGAGGGCCCAGGAACATGAACGTCATGACTCTGTACAATCACAACCTCATGGCAATCCTGTTGTGAGCTGCCTCCATCCCCTACCAAAATATATCTTCTGGTTGTCCCATGACGTGTGACTGCAGACTAGCTCATGGGATCCATATTAGGATCTGAGTCTGAAACTGGACAAGCTGTCTACTGCTGTTCAACCCACCCCAGGCCCATGCCTGCCGTGGAGTACAAGGTTCCGTAAGCTTCATGCCCTGACACATCCTATCCGGGGCGCTGTGGTCATCCAGGCCTCAGACAGCCTGTATCAACGCAATGTGCAAATGTGCAACTTGGTTTCTATGCTTTCTCTCATTTAGTTCTCCTGATAACAGTGGGTCAAGGGCTAACTAACCCAGGTTCCTGATGAAAGGGCTCTAGCTGAGAACGGCCGCATGATAAAATGCCCTAACAAAGCACACTTGGGCAGAAGGGTTCCTCTGGGTCCATCCCTGCAGGGAAGTGACAGTGGCGGGGGCTTGACAGAACTGGTGACGTCACCTCCATAGCCAAGGTCAGAGGGCAATGGGCTAACACGTTCTCCTGTCCTGAGCTCGCCTTTCCCGTTCATACAGTTCGGGACCACCCGCCTAGAGGGTGCACCACCCACAGTGGGCAGACCATCCCCCTTCATCAACCTAAGAACCCACCCACAGGGGCCAGAGAGATGCTCACCAGTCAAGAGCACCAGCTGCCCTTCACAGGTCCAGGGTTCCATTGCTGGAGCCACTTGGCGGCTCACGGCCTGTCTCAGAGGACCCTACACCAGGAACACATGCGGTGCACAAACATACATGCAGGCAAATCACCTATACACATGAAAATAAATAAATAATTTTTAAAAACAGATAGTCCCCCATAGGTGTGCCTGCCAGACAACCTGATCTGAACAGCTCCTAACTGAGCCCCATCTCCCCCCCACCCCCCGCCGGGTGATCCTAGACGGTGTCACATTGGCAGTTAAAACTAACCATCACAGCCGGGCTGCTTACAATTTCATCACAGGCAGGCCACAGAGATTTATATATGGCTCCCAGGGCTAAGCTCTAAAGTCGGTGTGAGTAAGGATGCTGCCGAAATGTTGTGGGCAGAGCCCTCCTTTGCCTGTTGCAGCTGCTGGTGGCTCCAGTGGTCCTGGCTGCAGACCACGCCCTCTGCTCTCTTCACCTCCATCCCTGTCTTCTGCTCTTACAGGCACCTGTGAGTTTAAGGATCATCTCAAGACCCTTAGTGACATCTGTGAAAATAATGACAGGCCACTTGGGGCTTAAGGACCAGCCATGTTTGAGTGGTACAATTCTTCCTGCCTGTGGCTGACAGAAGTAGAGATCCTTATTGGAGATCATGGGTCCAGTGCTTGACACACACAGAGCCCAAACCCATGTGTCTACCCTAGGCCCACACTATGGACCAAACACTTGGGTGGCTTGTTGTGCCTGAGCATGGCCAGCTGACGCTCCGAGAACCAAATAGACTGGCCCTCCAAACAGGTCCTTTGGCCTCCTTGTTGGTCTGGCAAGCTCAAGAGAACAATGGCCTCTGTGTGCAATGACTGTGCAGACAATACAGGGGTGTAGGGCTGCTGTTAGGACAACTCCAGGTGGCTCTGTCTGATGGCAGTTCCTACATGCTGTGTTGGCCAAGACACTCATGACACGTCTGCCCCGGAGGCGCAGAGTTCTTTGGTGTCCTTTTGGAAGCATATGTTCAGGAGTTAGCTCTCAGTTCCAAAGTCATTAGGGCCATGGGGGCTGGACAGGGACCCACAGCAGGAAGATGGGAACTTGGTTCCTCTCTAATGAGTACTGTCTCAGAGCTTCAGATCTCCGTGGCCTGGAGCAATGCCAGCCAGCATTAGCTGTACAAGAACAACAGAAATTTTCATGTGAACTTTTCCAGTTTTTAAATGATGGTAATAACTCAAAGAACAGGATGAAAACTCTTTAAACATTGGGGTGAGCAAACAAAACAGTTGTGAAGCAGCCTAAGAACCATGAATTTCTCCCCAAGTCCTACAACTAAGAGCCAGGCAGCAGGACCTTCCATGCAGGACTCTCCTATTCCAACCCATCTTTCCCTTTAGTGCCACCACAATAGAATCCTGGAGGCCAGGTAGCTTGAACAGAAATTTAATCCTCCCACTCTGGAGACCCAGGATCAAGATGTCAACTTGTGGTACAGGCCTTCTTGGTGTATCATAACACAGCTGAGTGAGTAGAAGTGAAAATGAGGGTAAGAGACAGGAGGAGGGTGCGTAGAGAGGGAGGGAAAGAGAGAGAGAGTATAAAGCTTCCCAAGAGGGGAAGAAGGCTCTGAGAGGTACACAGTGCTAGCGATAGTGTGGGTTTCGGGGGAAGGGCTTTGTGAATGCAGGAAGGAGTGGGCTGTGTGGTCAGAGAACAGATATCCAGAACCCCATGAGCAAGTGGCCTCGTGGTGAGGAATAACCAGGGGCTCGTAGGGATGTGACAAGAAAGATCTCTCCTGTGTGGTCTTGGAGCATGCTGGGTATTGTAGCTGTCAGAGTCTGGGGTTGTTGGCCGGAAGCTTCATGTCCCCTGGTGTCTGCTTTTCTAAGCAGCAAATAGAAGTGTACTCCCAGGGTGGGATTCTGGGGTGCTGACCACCATCGTAGTCAGCAAGTAGTTTTGGAAAACCGTGTAGGGAAAGGAAGGTTTCCCAGCAGCAGGGGTTGAGCCTGTTGAGCGGCTCCTCTGCTCCTCACTGGAGCTTTCTCTTCCTGGCTCCAAGCTCCTTCCTCACTGGAGTCTGCTCTGGTTCAGAGCCTGTGCAGAGGCTGCCGTGGAGGCTCACTCGGCTGTGCTTTGTATGTTAGCCTCTTCTTCCACATCTTACCTGCTCTCAAGGGCAAGGCAACGGGTTCTGTTTTATACTGGCTTTCTGTCATCCTTCCTATGACCAACCAGAGTTTGGCCTAAAGATGGGAACTGTCACACATGAGGGCTACTTACCCATAGAGGGCTGGAGACCTGCTTATATGAACAATCCTGTGGTCTTGGGATGTGAGGCTGCCAACAAGCAAGGTACTGTAAGGCAAGTCCAGGAAAGGCAATGAAGACAGATCAAAGTTGAAGACTAAGAGGGAAAGTGTGTGCAGTATATTTGTGTGTGTTCACATATGTGCATGCATGCATGTGTGTACGTGTGCATGTGTATGTTGGCAGGGATTCAGTCCAGTGCTTTCCGCATGCCGGACAAGTATTCTACCACTGAACTGTACCCACATCCCTCAAATTATAAATCTTAACACAAAAATTGCTTAACAAATATTAACAAAGTTGGCTAATTTACCGGTCTGACTGAGCCCCTCCACTACCTCTTGACAACTTTACCAGAATAATGGCGGCTGCAGCCCATTGGCTATCTGCACCCACACTGAACAAGATCAGAGGATATGCACCTGTAAGCAGAACTACACGGGGGACGGACTCACCTGCCGCGGCAGCATCTATGGGGTAACTAGCAACAAGTCTCCAGGAAGGAAGCTGCATTCCCAAATGGCTGTGCCCAGGGTTCCCAGGACAATGAAAGAGCTCTATCCACCCAGGGAAATTCCTGTGGCCTGGGAAGGGGGTGGCGTCACCATTAACACTGACAAAGCTCTGCAGTCAGAAACACCTGGGTCTGGATCCAGCTCTGTGACTCGGAGCAAGTGATGCCACTTCTTTATGCTTCACTCCCAGTTTGGAAAAGAAAATGACAAGGACATCAGCTCTATCGGGTTCTTACACAGTTACATGTGGTGGTGGGTGTCAGGAACACGGGCCATGCTTTGGGTTGGCGTGTGAATAGATGCATGTGGTATGTGTGATATGTCTGATATGGGTGTACAGAATGTGGTGACATTCTGAGTGTGTCATGTATGTGAGATGTATGTGTGGTGTGGCATATGCGTATAGCATGTGGTGACTGTGTATGACATACTTCAGGTGGTGTGTGGACTCATGGCGTGTATGTGAAGTCCGGAGCATGTCTGTGGAACATGTGGTGTATGCACATGTGATGTATGGTGTATGTGTCCGTGTGTGTGGTGTATGGTGTATTTGTGGTATATGGTATGTGTAGCATGTGAGGTATGTGTATAGTATGATGTATTTGTGGGATATGATCTGTGTGTGTGTGTGTCCGTCTGTCTATTTGTGCCTGTATTGTATATGGTATATTTGTGGTAAATAGTATGTGTAGTGCATGATGGGCGCGTGTTGTATGAAATGCATGTATACGGGATGTCTGGGTGTGTACGTGTGTGAGTGATTAGTGTTGAGATGTATGTGGGGTTGTAGATTATGGGGCTGTGACATATGGAATGTGTGTGTTGTGTATTTATGGTATGCATATGGTAGACGGGAGGATCTGAGGAATGTGTGTGTGCCTGGTATGTGGCATATCTGTGCGGGGTATGTGTGGGTATATGGGCGTGTGTTTACGTGCATGTGTGGGGGTGTATGGGGAGGTGTGGTATATACCTGTGGTATGTGTGTGAACATGTGGACAAATGCCATTCACCTGCACATAGAGGAGAAGCAGTGTGGTACTTTCTAGTCTCTCCAGATTATAAACACTAAGAAAATTGTCTTACAGAGAGCCCAAACCATTCTGACTGATTAAACATTCTTGTTGTCAGGGAGGCCAATTCTGCCATAAATAATAACTGGCCTTTACAAGATTTCAACTATATTTGGTATGCTTTGTAAAGATTTGAGTTCCATCTGAAGTTCTTGTAAAGTTCTGTGCCTTGAAGGATGGTTGAATCTTTCTCTTGTAAATCAAATAAGGTCCCAGAAATGGTTCATTGTGTCCCTCGGTCTTCCTGAGCATCAGCTACAAGCCCCTCAGTGAGACTGGAAGAGACCCATCAAATGGGTCTCTGGTGGAGAAATTGTCCCATACAACTCTATATTCTTGTGTGTGGTTCCCAGCTGACATGACATTTCCTTGTCTTTGTTTGCAGGAACTTCCCAAGAGCCCGACAACCTCCCAGTATTTCTTCCAGTTACAGGTAAGAAAGGGTCTGTCTACTTCTGAGATGTGTGTGTCAGCCCTGCATTCAATTTCCACCACTAGAATGTGTGTGTGTGTGTGTGTGAATCTATGTATATTTGTGTGTATATATTGAACTATATGTGTGTATACACATGTATGGATACACATGTCAACATTCCAGGTCTCCAGCAAGATCTAAGATAAAGCTGTAGCCTCTGAAGTCAGGGAGGATTTACGGTACCAGCTGAGGGGTTGATCATTGGTGAGCTCTGTCTCTCAAGCCTTAGGTGTAATCAGTCCCACAGCCATTAGCATCTGTGACTCTCATCACATCTAAACATTGAAAGGGTACAGCAAAAATACCATAGGAAAGATTAGGAATGCGTCATACAGGGCTCTTACCCTGAGTGCTTGGTCTTTGTGAGTCACTGAGGAGTAGGTGTTCACACATAACAAAATGGCCTGAGATCGAATTTCTCAGAACATATCCTGTAGTTCGGTGACAGTGACTGTATGAAAATTCTGTCGCAGCAATGGACAAAGAGACATTGTTGGGTGTGAGTTGCCTGGTCACGAGCTGTCACACCTCACATAAACAACCTGAGGGAGGAAAGCTTCACAAAGCTCTGTGCTTCTGGGCCCTTGTGAAGCCGAACACCGTAGTGCCGGGAACGTGTGCCCGAGGAGCGTTGTCATGGTGGACAGGAAGCAGAGAACACAGGCTAGGCATACCCATCCCGGAAGATGCAGCTCCCAGGGACACTCTCCTGCTCAGCCCATCCCCACCTCCCATCTTCCACCTCCAGCATGCCATGGGTCCTGGCGGAAGTCAGGGAAGTCCCGTTAGGTCAGACCTCAGAGTCACCTCTGTCTCTGAAAATGGCCTCTCAGACACATCCAGAAGTGAACTTCTCAGGCTCCTGGGGGCTGCTTAACCCAATTAGGTTGCCGGTCAAGATAAACTCTCACAGCGGGATGGCTAGCTGAGAGCATGCTGGCCTTCTGGGAACCATCCACATAAAGCCCAGATGCACTGAAAAGGGAGGTGTGAGGGGCCAGAGCAAATGCCACAACAGCCCTCCCATCTTAGGATGGCAAGATGACAGCTAGATGTCATCCTGGTTATTAGTCATGTGACTATCACAGTGTACCATCATGTGGAGAGGAGAAGAGGGGGGAGTGGAGGGGGCAGGAGAGGGGAAGGGAGGAGAGGCAGGCAGGCAGCATCTTTATGGGGTCATGGGGGAGTTGTAGCTTTCAGAACTCTGCTTTCAGAACTGTTATTCTAATAGCCACATGCTGATTCTATAACTAGAAATAATACAATTTTGATGGCATAGAATCTGGTTTTGCTTTGAGACAAAAACAGTCTCTGGCCTACCTTGGAGCCTCGGCCTGTGTCTGTGAGAGAGGAAACCACCAAGTTTGTCTGTGTAAGAGAGACATGACCTCACCTGACTCCCTGCAGGAGCATGCTGTCCGAGAGCTGGCTGGACCGGGACCCTTCACTGTGTTCGCACCTTCATCGGATTCCTTCAATCAGGAGCCCAGGGTGAGCACCAGCTGGGACTGTAGAAAGGCTTGAGGAAAGGCGTGGCCTAGAACCCACCATGGTGATGTTTGCGGACAAGAGATTCAGTCGCAGGTCGAGCTGACTAGCAATAGAAGGGGCTTCTTGTCTGTGAAGACCCCTGGCAGACCTGTGGGTCTGGGGCACCACTGGTCCTAGGCTTCCTAAAGCCTAGACACAGTGGGAAGTTGGAGAAGTCTCAAGTGATCGAGGAATCCAAACTCGCTAGAGACCAATAAAAAAAGTGGGGTAGGCAGAGAAGATTCGGGGTTCAAGGGATTTAAATAGTTCTGGACTTGCAGGAAATACCAGAGCCTTCCCTGCTCGGCCAATTACTGTGCCCTGTGTCAGACCACCTATAGACATTATTAATCAACCAACGACTAAATAGACAACTACATGCAGAGTGGAGCCTGGCCTACTCACACCCTGTCTACCCTCACGTCAGACTTAGAGCCGAATGCCATCCCCGTTGTACAGTGGTGGAAGAGGGGTTTGTTCACGGCCCTCTCTCTATGCAATATTTTAGGTGCCAGCAAAGCAAAGACACAAGCTTAGTGTTTAAAATCATTTGACATTTGGTTATTTTAACTTAAAGCCTCAAAGGAGTGAAACAAAGTTATGTTCTTTGAGACAGGTTTCTCTGTGTAGCCCTGGCTGTCCTGGAACTTGCTCTGTAGACCAGGCTGGCCTCCATCCAACGGCCTCTGCCTCTCAAATGCTGGGATTAAAGGCCTGTGCCACCACCATCTGGAGTTTGGTGATCTTTTTATTACAGTGACCTCATAATTGTATTCTTCGTATTTTGAATCCAAATTGAAATGTACCACAACCTCTCCATCCTGAAGACCTAATCCTGCCTCCTCTCAAGGAGGGCCCTCCCATGGACTCTCCTAGCATAATTCCCAAGAATGTTCCTTTCTGTGGAGCATTGTAGGACTCTGGCGTCCTTCAAGCAAGCAGCGCTGTGACAGGCTGCCCCAGAGGCCCCTTGAGGCCCCTCCCACCCCCAATCCTCACCCTTGCCTGACCAGACACTATCTCCTCAGAGTGTAGGAAAGAGGAGGGCCAAAAGAATGTTCTAGCAACAGGCGCCTGCCTCTGACCAACCTCCCTGGCCTAATTCCAGATTAAAGACTGGGGTCAGCAGGGCCTCATGTCTCAGGTTCTTCGGTACCACGTGGTCGCCTGCCAACAGCTGCTGCTGGAAAATCTCAAAGGAACCACAAATGCCGTGACCCTCCAAGGCGAGCCCATCTCCATCTCTGTCTCTCAGGTAAGGGCAGCCAGTCCGGGAGGGGTGTGCTGTCCTCACCCTTCCTGGAGTGATGGCAGCAGTGTGGACAGCCAACCACTGAGCGATTTCTACTGCAGGGCTACTTAGAAATCTACCAAGGACTTTGCATGCACTGACCCAGTCTATGCAGCAGCCCCATGGTGGGGATACCATCGCTGTCCCCAATTTCCAAATGTGGAGGCTGAGCTCAAAGAGAGCAAGTAGCTTGTTCAAAGTCACATAGCAAGAAGCAGTTGAATTGGAATTCAGACTCAGAGGCAAGGCAGCTCCAGACAGCACAGACGGAGTGGAGGATGGGTGATGTCAAGGACACACTAATTAGACGCCAACTGTGAGCTGTTTGTGCTGGGAGCTTTCAGAATTGTGTTGAAGTAAGTTGGCTGATGACATATTTATCACTTGCTGTTAACGGCACAGGTGAAGACCACGCTCTCTCTCATCCCCGCCTCCCTTGTAGGACCATTGTAACTGATGTGCTTCAGGCACACGGACCACTCTGTGGGGAAGGCTTCTGTGAGGGCTCTCTATGCTCATGTCTTCTGCGTCTCCGCTTCTCTTCAGGATACTGTATACATCAACAATAAGGCCAAGGTCCTGTCCAGTGACATCATCAGCACCAATGGCGTCATCCACATCATAGACAAATTGCTGTCACCCCAGCACTTGATTGTGACCCCCAAAGATGCTTCAGGCAGGGTTCTGGTAGGTACCCCAGTGTCACCCTCCAGCACGCGGTGTCTGTTTGGTAAGCCCGGCTGGAGGCATCACTTTGGACCATTGTCATCTGTTGCTCCAAACAAAGTTTGTTTAAGTCAGTATGTGGATTTTAGCTGGAGGCAGTGGTGTGTGCCACAGTCCCAGTACTCGGCAGCTTCAAGTACAAGGCTCCTTTGAGCCCAGGAGTTGCGTGCCAATCTTGCCAGTGCAGTAAAAACCTACCTCCTAACAAATGTTTTAAAGTAAATAATTGCATGTTCTTCTTTAGTGTTCACAAGGGAAAGTTACCTTTTGTAGATTTGGAGAAGGAAGGAGAGGAAGGAGAGGGGAAAGTAGATAATTAGATATCCCTAAAGCTAACCCTAGAATTAAACTTCCTCTTAATGGACAGAAAGAACAGTTTTAACTATTTGTTTATTCACGTATTTATTTCCATTTTTGGTACTGAGGATTGGACATAGGGCCTTGTACATAGTAAGCATACTCCTTCCTGAAGTACAAAATCAACCTTTTTCATCTTCTATTTTGAGACAAGGCCTTATTAATTTGCTTAGACTGCTCTTAAACCCACTCTGCAGCCCAGATAGGCCTCAAACTTTTCACTTTCCTGCCTCAGCCTCCCAAGTAGCTAATATTACAGGGCTCAGCCACCAGGCCCCACTTCATTTTAGTTATTAGTATTGGCCACTCTCCTTCATTGCCGGAAGCAGAATCCACTAAACTTCACTTACAAAGGGGAGTTTTTTAAGATGCTGTGTATGTGAATAAATCTTCCAGAGGCCAAAGTCTAATTTCCATGCTACACAGGTAGAAACAAAACAAATTAGAAAATCCTGAAACAGGACCTCTACCTTACCCTAGGGACATTGTGACAGTTACAGCTCTGCCAATTCTGCCTCTCCAGCCTCTCCTCCCAGGGGAATAGAGACTGAACTGCTCATAACCACACCACTGTGCTCCAGGAGGCGTAGGGTCCCAGCTAGCTGTACCTCGTATTGTCACTTTCCACCAACAGATCCTCAGGTGTGCTTGACATTGCATTGCCTATGGGCTCCTAGCTGCAAGGGAGTTTGGGAAATGTGTCCAGCTTTCCAACCTCTGCAGTACAGAAAATCGTGGACAGAAGAAAGCTCCGATGGTTGCTAATGAGCCAAATGGGCACCCCAGCCCCTGCTGGGTTACCACCATTGTATGCAGTTGGGTTGTTAAAGTGCTCAGTTGTCAAAAGTGGGCATGTTCAACCTACAGATGTGTCCCAGGGTAGCCATAAATGTGGCCCAACACAAAATAACAAACTTACTTAGATTAGATTTGTTCTATGTCTGTCTCTTGAATAAGAGTAGCCACCTCAGTAAGGTACCATCCTCCAGCCATAGAAGGTGCAGTGCCCAGCTTTCCCTGTACAGCTGTCAAGTGTGATCTTTGTAGATGGCGATGTCATGTCATAATATCAGATGTTTGGACACACTTGAAAGATGAAAGGTTTTATGTCCTTTCTTATCTTTGCAGCAAAATCTTACTACAGTGGCAATGAGCAATGGATATACCAGATTCAGCAAGTTAATACAGGTAAGACAGTAAGGGGAAAGAGAGCTTGAGAACAGCCCACCTGGAACTCTGCTCTGCTAGTTTTGCTTGTGTTTGTACCTGTGAGAGGCACCCCACACTGATCAGTCCCCCAAAGAGCTCCAAGGACCTTGGTTCCCCACAAAGCACAGTCTATAATCTCTACATTAGGTCCTCAATTCCCAAAAAGATCTGAGTGTCAGATTCTCTAAGGGGTTCAACATGTTCAAAGTGAAAATCTTAAGGACTCACATTACAGAAGGAAACTCCTACAAGATACCCTCTTGACCTCCATACATGTACCAAGACTCATATGATGTACGGAAAAATCCAGCTCATAGAAGCTGACCTCTGACCTCTACACATACCTTCCAGAAAATAAATAAATGTAAGAAACTATGTCAGGATAGGGAAATGCTGAGAGATCCTTAGCATCTTAGCACACAAGAGAGTGAATTCCTGTTTCTCCCTGCTTATATCCTGTTTCTGCCCAGCTACCTTACTTCCTGTCTGTCTGTACAGACCTCCAGACCTCTATGGTTAGCTAGCAGCAAACTCCATTCTCTGACCCCCCCCAAACAGGTTTTATTTGTACAAGTAAGATATCACCACATTTGAAATATATTTTATCTCAAAACTTTATAAGCAATCATACATGTCTCAATACTGTATGTTTTTAATAAAATGTGAGAAAAATGTAAGCTAGTCTTGAGAAGTTAAAATATTTGGACAAAAGTATCAAAAATAAGATATCCGTTGAAGTTTACTTTCCCACTAACAAAAGCATAGACTCTGACTTTCTGGATTGCTTCTTAAGGAAATGGGGTTCAGACTGGTTGGGGTGCAGTGCTCTAGCTTCTGGCTGTGGCACCCTGGGACCTTCGGAAACGCTGACAAGCCACAGTACAGGTCACAGAGAGATGGAGAGCCTGGCTCTTTGCCCACAGGGAGGGGCCTTACCACACAGCGTGTGCACGGTAAGAAGACCACACCTTTGTTTCAGGACTCGGGCTTGCTGAGTGTCATCTCTGACCACATCCACATCCCGGTCACTCTCTTCTGGCCCACGGACAAAGCTCTCCAAGCCCTGCCCCTGGAGCAGCAGAACTTCCTGTTCCATCAAGACAACAAGGGCATGCTGAAGGAGTATCTCAAGTTCCACGTGATCAGAGACACCAGGGTAGTGTTTACTGTGCCAGAGAAAGAGGCCTAGCACTAGGTCGCCATGTGTCCCCATGCCTCCGTGGGGAGGAAGAGAGCTTCAGCCCCTCTGCCCTCTTGAGCCGGGTGCTGCCTTTACACTTTGCATCTTACACGGCAGAAAGGCAGCTAGCACAGGTGTTCTTGCATCCCCAAACAAACGACTTACGCATTTAATGCAATCAGCTATCGGCCCCGGCCCCGTGAACTAGCCAGCTACCCTGGAAAACCCAGATCGTGCAGGGTCATGGCAGTCACTCTGAGGCCTCAGTGAGGACTCTTTTTCACTCTGAGATGAAGCCATCCACTCCAAGATGCCAGTGTCCAGGTGGCTTCCTGGGCCTGCATAACAAACCGCCACAGGCTAGGTGCTTTGCAGCTGCAGAAATTCATCCCCTCACAGCAGTGCAGCCAGACTGCTGCCATGAGTGTGCAAGACCATTCATCTAGGGGTCCTGAAGGAAAGCTGTTCCCTGAGTCTCCCGCGGCTGTGGCGGTTTGTGGAAATCTCTGACATTCCTTAGTTTGCAGGTGCATCCATGGCATCGGCCCCACCTTCCCACAGCCATTCTTTCCCTGTGTCTCAGTGCCCCCCACCCTTCTAACAAGGACACCATTTATATTGTGTTAAGAGCCCACCCTTCTCCAGGGCGATTTCATCTTGCCTAACTATTAACTCTATTTGTAGAGTCCTTGCTTCCCAATAAGGTCACATTCTAAGGTCCTTGAGGTCAAGATTTTATAGCATTTTGATATTTTTTTTTAATTTTCTTAAAACAGTCCTAGCTGTTTTATTCAGTCCTAGCTAGCTTGGAACTCACTAAGTAGACAAAAACAGGCTGGTCTTGAACTCAGAGATCTGCCTGCCACTGCCTGGATTAAAGGTGTACGCCACCATGGCTAGCTCATGCAACTTTTAAAGGAGCACATTCCAAGACATAAGGACCATTTCCCAGCTAACCACTCACCCTTTCATTGGCTTCATATACCTGGATAGCCTCGTCCAGGGTGCCCAAGCACAGATGCCCAGCTGGCACAGACTGGCTATCCGGAAGGAACTTCCAACCTCTAGAAAGTCGTAGCCGTCCTGACCTTTGATTGCAGTCACTGGTGCTTTAGCAGAGGAAATCTTCCACTTGAACTTGGTTTGCTGGCAAAGTTCCTTTGCCCTTTGGCCCCAGTGCAGGTAATAACCTCTCTCTCTCCCTCTCTGTCTCTCTCTGTCTCTCTGTGTCTCTCTGTCTGTCTGTCTCTCTCTCTCTCTCTCCCGTCCCCCGCCTCAGGCCTTAGCTTCAGACCTGCCCCGGGCTGCTTCCTGGAAGACACTACAAGGTTCAGAGCTGAGTGTGTCCTGCGGAACTGGCAGTGCCATCGTGAGTGTCTTGGGGGTGGGGACGATCAGATGACATGAAAGGAACTCTCCAACCATTCCCACTTCGGGAGGCATTTGGGTGTCGGGGTGTGTTTGTGGGGGAGGTTTCTGTTATCAGCAAGTTCTTTTCCGCTCACTGCCTTTAGAGTTGGCTATGAAACATCTGATTCATCCTGGCATTCCAGGCCCTCGTGGCAGGGGCAGAAAGCCCCCTATGTGTTTGTTTGTTTGTTTATTTTATTTCTCTCTGAGCCTTGTAGGAGCTGGCCACATTATACACAGTGGGAAGAAGGGAAGTTTGAAGGGATTGTTGATCTCTCTCTCTCTCTTTCAGGGCGAGCTCTTTCTAAATGGACAAATGTGCAGGATCGTGCAGCGGGAGCTCTTATTTGATCTGGGCGTGGCCTACGGCATTGACTGCCTGCTAACAGACCCCTCCCTGGGCGGCCGGTGTGATACTTTCACTAACTTCAATGTTTCGGTCAGTCCTAAAATTATGAAGGGACATGGGGCCAGAGACCAGTCCTGGTGTCCACCGTGGGCTCCATGGAAGGACCATGATGAGACCAGGTCACATGACACCTAAGGGCCGACACCTAAGGGTGACATTCTTCAAACTCAGAATCAGCAAGCAGGCCTTAGGTATTCTTGCTTTGCTTCTCACCATCCACCTGTAACTCCTCCATCACCAAGGAAACAGTGCTGGGCCTTCTGTTGTGGCATTCATTTTCAAACCCATCCATCCATTTATTCGTTCAAGAAACACCTTTGTGGATTCCAACCAGATTACATCATATACAACTGACATTCTTGGCAACTTGCCAAAACTTGCCTACACCTCCATTCATTTTCCCATTCACTCAGCTTGAACACTGAATGAACCTGTGCCCTGGTCCCTCCACCATACAAACTATGATTGGCTTCACTGGTCCAGCCAGTGCCGTTGGATGAATGCCGGCTTTGAGCTGCTCTGCTAGGTGCACATCTGACCCACAGCAACCCAATAAAGAGAGCAATCCCTACCAACTCCACCACAGAGACTTGGAAACTGAGGTCAAGTGACCCCACAACAGCGCCTGTCACCACTCAGTGGCAGTATCTGGCATCTCCTAGAAAATCTAATAAATATCCCACAAACTTAGGATTCCAGCCTAAGCAGGAGATGGGCCAAGTTTTCTTTCCTGTTTTAGCAGGTGTAACGTTCTTAACTTCCGAAGCTTATCTATACACTTTCTCCCAGCTAATTAGTTTCTTTTGCCATTTCCCCAAAGGTCAAATGACAAGTATTCCCTGAGCTATGCCTTATACAAATTAAAGTGTATAAGTAATTGATCAAAGGTCTCACTGCTGACTTAAAATGTGTTTCCTGCCCTCATACTCAACCATTGCTGTAGTCTGCCCATGCCATACTGCCTGGCCCAGCTCTGTACATCAGGGCCTCCTTTCAAACAGGCAACCTAGTCCTTCAGACTTGTGTCTTTGTATAATCTTGATCATAGCTATCAATCAAGATGAAGGTGTGTGAGAGAGAGAGAGAGAGAGAGAGAGAGAGCGCGCACAGTCAGAAGCTATCCATCTTGCTTTTTTTGAGACAAGGTCTCCCACTGGAAACCAGGCGTCACTGATTGAGCTAGAATGGCCCACCAGCCAGCAAGCCCCCAGAGAGCCACCTGCTTACACTCGCCCAGTGCTGGCACTACAAGCATGCACTACCATACCTGGCTTTTTATGTGTTCTCTGAGAATTGAACTCAGGTCCTGGTGCTTGTACGCACTTTACAGACTAAACTATCGCCCCAGACTCACATTAAGTTCTTAATTTACTCATCCGGACGTTAACTAGCCAGGGACATTTCCTTGTGATTGTCTATATTTTTGATATTAAAGTGTCTCATCTCGCACACCAGGGGGACTGTGGGAGCTGTGTCACCACTCCCAGATGCCCACGATGGAGCAAACCGAAGGTAATTATGAATCATGGCATTTGCAGGTCAATGGGATGTCCCATTTCCATACAAGAGCAGACTCATTCAGGGTGATACAGCCATAGATTGTCTCATTTTCAGACCTCAGTCTTCTGGTGTGTGTGTGGGGGGGTCTGTGCAGGGGTCTGTGAGTGTGCTTCGTGTGGTAAGATGAGTGTTCTCAACCAAGGCAGCCTGTCAGGGCACTGCCCACCTTTTAGGAACTATCTTGAAAATTCATGGATTACAAATACCTAGAAGAGAGTAGAAAATTACTACAATCATAAAAATGGTGGATATTGTTAGCTGTATGTGCTGGGAGATGAATATACGAAGAGACAGTGAGTTTCAGAGAAAGAGGGCAACCAGACCAAGACCACACAGCTGGTAAAAAGCAAAGCTACGAGTGAAGGCCAGAAAGCTAAGACCGCCAGTGGGACAACCCCAGGCTCAAGTGAAGCCATCTCAGCGATTGGCTCATGACTCTAGAGTCAAGAGCCGGGGCAGTGACTCAGTGGTGAAGCTGGAGTTTACTCCTCAGCAAGCACACACGATAGTCAAGGCCTTCCTGCTAGTAAAGCACCTACAAAAGCAGGCCTTCGTGGTTGTGGAGAGGCTCAGTCAGTACAGTACCTGCTAAAGAAGCATGAGGACCTGAGTTCAAATCCCCAGCGTTCTCATAAAAAAGCCAGAAGCATAAGCTGGTGCCTATAATCCCAACCCTGGGAAACGGAGGCAGGAGGATCCCTGGGATTCACTGTACAGCTGCTGAAGCAGTGAGCTCTAGATTCAGTGAGAGACCCATCCTCAAAATATAATATGGAGACAGTGAGGAGGGCACCCACATCAACCTCTTCCCTACACACACATGCACACGCACACACACACATGCACCATCACACACACACACACATGCACCATCACACACACACATGCACCATCACACACACACACACCATCACACACACACGCACCATCACACACACGCACACACATGCACCCACACACACATGCACCATCACACACACACATGCACCATCACACACACACATGCACCATCACACACACACATGCACCATCACACACACACATGCACCATCACACACACACATGCACCATCACACACACACATGCACCCACACACACACAATGCACCATCACACACACACACACGCACACACACACATACACACACATACACACACACACGCATGCACGCATCCCTCACACACACGCACATGCACCATCACACACACACGCACATGCACCATCACACACACACGCACGCACACATGCACACATCCCTCACACACATCCCTCACACACATGCACCCACCCCTCACACACACGCGCGCACACACACACATACACATACTCCTCACATGTACACACACATCCCTCACATACACACACATATACACCCACCCCTCAAACACACATTATACACACATACATACACACATCCCTCATACACACACACCCCACACACATACATGTCCCTCACACACAGACCTCACATACACAAAGTCCCCCTTCCCTGTCGAGGATGAGTGTGGTAGGAATCTGCCTCTCTCCACGCCGCCTCTGAGCAGTCATCCCATTGGCAAACAGCTCCAAGGGTGAGAAATTCTGCTCGGGGCCCCTATTCTGCCCCTCTCCCTACATTCTTGGTCTGCATTGAAAATCCATCCCATCTTCAACCTCGGTAGTACCAGGACCCTCCACTAAGGGGAAGCTGGCGCCCCAGGAACCCAGCCCCTTGGAGGCAGGTAGCAATCCCACATCCCCTCTCTCTAGGGTATGAAGCAGAGGTGTCTCTACAGCCCAGAGCCTTTCAGGAGGAGCCTGGACGGCTGCCAGCAACTGTGTACCCTGGTGGTTCGGATCCCCAGGTGCTGCAAGGGCTACTTCCTGCCACACTGTCAAGGTGAGGGTAACCCTGCTCCTTGGCATTCTAAAGGGTTAGGGCAAGCTGTGGGGTTTTTTGTTTTGTTGTTGTTGTTTTGTTTGTTTTGTTTTTGCAAGACAGGATTTCTCTGTGTAACTGCAGTGACTGTCCTGGAACTCTCTCTCTTTTTAGATAAGGCTGGCCTCAAACTCACAGAGACCTGCTTGCCTCTGCCTCCTGAGAGCTGAGATTAAAGGCGTGCGCCACCAGTGCCCAGCTAGGCTGTGCTTTTAAAAGTACCCAGGTTCTAAGGAGCTGGGGAAACCCCACCCTCATGCTCACGATTCCCAGGCCCCAACCCAGCTCTCTGAATAGTTGTGTGCTCGTCACTGCTGTCTTCATGTTTTGTGTTCTATTGAGATCCTACTGTACATCCACTTTCATGCTTAAACCCAGACCACAGCCATATTATTTACTGCTGGTTTCTATGCAGTGTCCATAATGTTGGGAAGTCCGTCTTCTGTACAGGCACTCTGACATGACTCTGTCTTTGAACAGAGATATACTGTTAGGGTTTTGTGGGCCGTGCTTTCCTTGAAGTCCACAGTTACAAGGTATCTCCTAATCAAAGGGAGTTTGATCTCAATGTGGAAGCCTCGATACGACTTCTAGTGACTGATACGTCAGCAGCAGTGCTTAACGGAGGTCTACAAGCACACTTGTCTGCCAGACTAGGCTGTAGGTAGGCCTACTGTTGGTTGCTCACATGTAGTAGAGTCTTGATAGCAACCCCACTGCCAGCCCCTAAGTAGATGGGAAGCAGAAGCTCAGGAAAATTAAGAAGCAAGCCAAGGTCCCAGACTCCAGAAGCCATGATGCTCCTCCTGCATGGCTAACCCTGCTCATGGCCTATACGACACACTCTCCTGTAGACTCCACAGGGTCACGCTGGACTGAAACCAGTCACTCAGCTCCCTTTAAACTCACTGATCGCTGAAGATTAAGACACTCTCAGAGCTGCAGCTCAGTTGGGAGAGTTCTTACCTTGAATGTACAAAACCCTGGGTTTCATTCCCAGTGCAGTATTGGAGGCACTCAGGAGGTGCAGACAGGAGAATCGAAAGTTCAAGTTCAGCCTTAGCTACATAGCAAGTTCAAGGCCAGCCTGGGATCCATAAGGCTCTATCAAATAAATTTAAAAAGTATTCTCAGAACGTGCCACCTAATCCTCTCGGTGATGATGCGGTACAGGTCAAGCCATGAGGTATCATCACTGCCATCATCGCCATCACCACCATCATTTAGGGCTACAAAAAACTAAAGCACGGAATAGGTTCGTGACTTGGCCCAGGCTTACTCAAAGCCAGGTCTCTTGACTGCCATGACAGCACACGTAGCCATGCCAAGGCAGTCAGATCAGATGCTAGTGGCTTTTCCTATGTGTGCACGGACACCCAGGGCCCCTAAGAGGGTGTCAAAGCTGACGACGTGTTTACAGCAAGGCTGCATCGCCCTGGTCTAGGAGACTGTGCTCACTGCTGTTTCATTTTCTTGCAGCCTGCCCTGGAGGACCAGATACGCCTTGTAATAACCGGGGCGTCTGCCTGGATCAGTTCTCAGCCGCAGGGCAGTGCCAGTGCCACACCGGGTTCAACGGCACGGCCTGCGAACTGTGCTTGCCGGGGAGATTCGGGCCTGACTGTCAGCGTATGTGGCCTCGCCTGCGCTAGCCTATCTATCACCTGTAGCTCTGCGCTCCCTGTCCTCACCCATGCCACCCACTTGACCTTGGAGTGGCCTCCTTCTGTTTCTCCATCTCCTGCTCAGTGTGCTTCCCCCTCCTTGTGGGTAGCCCTAGCCACACGGGGCCACTGAGCACTTTGAACCCGCGAAGGGGGCCCCAGCGATCTTCCTCGGGATGTCACCAGGGGCCACTGTACTCACGCACACAAGAAAGAGATGCAGTGGCCGGGTGGGCCTGGCCTGCGAGAGAGAGCAGGCGTGCATAAGGAAGGGGGGGAGGGTGGACAGAAGGGAGCCTGAAGGTCACCAGGAGCCAGAGCACACAGCAAGTTCTAGGCCAGAGAAAATTCTAAGTGTGACAGGCAAGGCGGCCAGAGAAAGGTTGGAAACCAAGAGCTGTTGTGAACAGACTGAAAGGGATGGCTCTACCTGCCCTGTGGAGCACACGCCACAGGAGACAAGGCCGAGGGCCACCTGTGGGGAGGAGCGCGGCTCTGCAGGCTGCAGCTCAGGGTGGTGACGTGGGCTGCCCGGCCGCACTGAAGTGGTAAGCAGAATTGGCGCATGGTTTTAAATTTTCTTTTGAAATAGATTTCTCAAGCCAGAAGCCACGGATGGAGTTGTCACTCCGAACCGTTCTGTGGCATGCCCACGGCACTTTACCTCTGTGACCACAGCGTGGGTGACTTTTTTTTTTTTCTTGGTTTTTTGAGGCAGGGTTTCTCTGTGTAGCCCTGGCTGTCCTGGAACTCGCTCTGTAGACCAGGCTGGCCTCCAACTCACAGAGATCCTCCTGCCTCTGCCTCCCGAGTGCTGGGAGTAAAGGTGTGCGCCTCTGCCCAGCAGCATTTATTGTCACACATTCAGGAGGTGTTCAAGCCTCTGTAAGCCCTATGGAAACAGGAGGCTTGTCTAGTGTGACCTTCCTGTGCTCCCATTATGTAGCAGAGCCTGGCCTGTGGGTAAGTTGTTTTTGGAGTTTGGGGACAAATAATGACTGTGGTAGACAACATATACCGACGACGTCCCATGCCAGCAGGCAGTAAGTGGGGCTGAGCAGACATCAGCTGCCGGTCACTAACTACCGGGCACTCTGGTTTCTGTCACAGCTTGTGGCTGCTCGGAGCATGGACAGTGTGACGAGGGGATCACGGGCTCTGGACAGTGCTTCTGTGAAGCAGGGTGGACTGGCCGCTTCTGCGACACTGTCACAGGTCAGTGGGGGAGTGGCAGCCTCTGGCAGCCTCTGGCTACAGGGGACCCAGTTGAGGGAGTGCAAGTGAGGAGTCTGAGCGACAGCTGAGATGCCTGGGGGCCGCGTGAACTGCGGTCTGAAGGGGGGGGGGCTGTCTTCGGGAGGCTGGTGGGTTGGAAGAAAACTTGGTGAGAAGATTTTACTCAAATCTAGAATCCATGCAGTGAGAACGTTAGGGTGGACCTCAGGCCCAGATGACTGGTTGCAGGAATCAAATGGAGATGGGACAACTCCATCCTTGGAGTTCTGATCCAGGACATGGCTCCAGATTCTGCTGCTTACCGCATAAATGGCCTTGGACAGCCCACACTCACGCTGTGCAAGGGAAGGGTTGCTGGGATTACTCTTAGGTTCCTGGTGTTTGTATCTGCTATGCCAAATGCAGCAGCTTTCATTATTATTGTGGTTATTGTCACCATCATAACCTTGATCTATGCTTTTTATCTCCAGAACCCAAGTCTCTATGTTCCGAAAGGCCTAAGATGTGAAGGCCAAATTATTCTGCCTAAATCAATGGCATTTCCTCCTCCCTGGAGTACCACATAAGCACCCTCAGCTTCAGGCTGCCTATGTGTACCACAGCCCCATCCGATCACCAGCATGCCACATTCCCCCCCCCCAGCTCAGTGATGCCCTTGGGAGACAGTGACATTTCTCTTCCAGTTTAACCTTCTCTGCCTGGTAGCCCATGCTCTTGGGGCAAAAGAGTCTGTTGGCCGGGGTCATCCCTGCTTGCAAGTTTGGAGGGATAAAATTTTAAATAGTTGCAACGATTGCATTATAATCTGAACTGCTCTGCAGACATATCTCAGAATCTCCACTCTGAGGTCCTCAGCGAATCACCCCATCTTTCTGCCATTCATGGAACATCTGAGAAGTGTCCTGGGGAAACTGTGCAATGGGGACAGGGAGAAGGTCACAGGGCGAGGGGCACAGGGTGAGGGTCACAGGGTGAGGGTCACAGGGTGAAGGACACAGGGTGAAGGACACAGGGTGAAGGTCACAGGGTGAAGGTCACAGGGTGGGGGTCACAGGGTGAAGGTCACAGGGTGAGGGTCACAGAGTGAAGGTCAGCCTCTTTGTCTGCAGCTGTGTTCCCAGTGTGCATCCCTCCCTGTTCTGTGCATGCCACATGTATGGAGAACAGCACATGCGTGTGTAACTTGAATTATGAAGGAGATGGCATCACGTGCTCAGGTGAGACCTCTTTGCATACTTGGGGATCAGCAGCCGCACAGGAGCGGAGCAGGGTGTGGTCGCACTGGGCTGCTGCCTCTTCTGCTTTCTGCTGGGCCATCCTCTCAAGGACTCGGGTATCAATAGTCCGTTACAGTTGCTCTGCCTCCCAAGCCATGGTTTTAAAAGTTTTAAATAGCGTTGCAAAACAAGGTGCCCTGTCTTTTATAGTATTTTTCTATCTCAACAAGTGGTCAATCTTGCTTCAAAAATTCAGAAACTGACTATAGCATTAAGGGGGAAAGTTAAGACTAAAGACTGCATATCCTCTGGCCCATCGGCCTCTTGGTGAGAATGAACCCGGCCGGGCCTTTCAAATGCTAGGCCAGCGCTCCGCCACCGAGTCACAGCAGCATCGCTGCCAGGCCACAGTGAGTTAGGTGTGCGCCGGCACAGGTGAAGTGAGCGAGTGCTTACTCTGCTGTGGGACAGTTCGAAGGGAGCTTCAGAGCTGCCACACCTAGACCGCAGGATGGAAAAGGGAGAAGAAGGAGGCAGATCTCTGCCCCAAACTGCTAAAAATCAACCTCCCATCCAGTTGTCTGGAGCTCATCACATGGCATACTAGCTGCCAGAGAGCTGGGAAATGTCACCATCTTGTTAGACAGGCCACAACACATTCCACCTTCTACCCTGTTACAACAGAAAAAGGTGTGGGGTGGTCAGCAGTCCCAGCCACGTGTGTCTCTGAGTAAAGACTCCACAGAGAAATGAGCTTTAAACAGTAGATCTCGCCACACCTGCCTCTTGTAGACTCCAGCAAGGCATTCCCTGAGTGGGTCCATACTTAGTCAACAGTGGCAGCGAAGGCCGAGCTCCGTCACTCTGCCCTGCAAGAGGCTCCTGACCCTCCAGTCGATGCCCTCCGGGTCCCAAGTGGCCACAGTGACTGCGCATAGGTACAAGGAAAAGAAATAAGACAGCTTCCCAGCTACTCCTACAGCTCCACATAGAGGAATACTGGCTTGAAATTTGGCAATTGTGAAGACAAAGGCCCTTTAAAAGCAATCACGACCCAGTGAGGCCCAACCAGCCTGGGTTTTCCCCAGCCCTTCACACTCTACCTCCTCTACCTTCGTCAGGTCAGGCAAGCTCCCTGAGACTGGCCCTTAGAACAGGTGGAGAAGCCTGCCTCACAAGGTGTCCCTTATTGTACCAACCGACACACACACACACACACACACACACACACCACACACTGTTCTCGTTTGCTTTTCTGTTGCTGTGATAAAACACTCTGACCAAAGACAACTTAGCTTAGAAAATAATTTATTTGGCTTACATTTTGAGGCCACAATCTTATCAGTGAAGGAAATCGGGACAGGAACTGGAGTGGGAATGAAGCAAAAACCATGGAGGGAGGTTATCTCAATGAGCTTTCTTAAAAAGCCCGGCTCACCTGCCTAGGGATGGTGCCACCCTTAGTGGACTAGGGTAGGCCCTCCTATATTAATCATCAGTCCAAACAGTTTCTTACAGACATGGTCATGGGTCAGTCAGAGCTGTAACTGGACAATCCCTCAACTGGGACTCCCTCAAATGATTCTAGGCTGTGTCATGTTAGCCAGGACATGCAGGGTGGTTGGTGGGGGGAGGGAGGGAGGGAGGGAGGGAGGGAGGGAGGGAGGGAGGGAGGGAGGGAGGGAGGGAGATAGAGTCCTAACATCGAAACCCCCAATGTATTCTGAAAACTACTATCAAAGCTGTCCTGTGTGCATGTGACAAGTATATCAGGGCGTCATAAGGACTTGATCGGATACAAGCCAGCGGAGAGCTCACAGATCAGGAGGACCAGAGGCATGGACATGTGAGGGCTTGTCCACTCCCTTGCCATTCACTGACTGAGCCCCGGACAGCGGCACATGACGCCCTCTACCCTTTCTCTTGCAGTCGTGGATTTCTGCAAACAGAACAATGGGGGGTGTGCAAAGGTCGCCAAATGCTCCCAGAAGGGCACACAAGTCTCCTGTAGCTGCCAGAAGGGTTACCAGGGGGATGGCCACAGCTGCACAGAGATAGACCCCTGTGCAGATGGTGTCAACGGTGGATGCCATGAGCATGCCACCTGCAGGATGACGGGCCCGGTAAGTCCCACTTCCCCAGAGACATTTGAGATAGCAGCTCCTTGGGCCCAGTTCAGCCTGGTGTCCTCAACTCCCTGACCTCTGCTTCCCTCTGGCCTCTGCTACACTGCCTGCCTACCTTGGCCTGTTTCTAGTAAAAGTCAGTGGTCATGCTATTTTGTATCCTCAACATTAGATTGACATTAGCATCAACTTCAGTGAAACCCAGGTAAGGTCTGTTGTTCAGTTCATACCATCATCACTCAGTAGCTTCTGCTACAGATAGAGGTGATGATCACATTAAGGGAAGCTGATAGGCTATAGAACAAGGTTTCTTAACCTGTGCATCACAACCCTTTTTGGGCCACATATCAAATATCCTGCATATCAAATATTTACATTATGATTCATAACAGTAACAAAATTACAGTTATATGTATCAGTGAAATCATTTCATGATTGGGGTCCCACAGCATGTGGTACTCTGTTAAAGGGTCACAGTGTTAGGAAGGTTGAGAACCGTAGAGAGTGTTTATGCTGCCTTCCCAGCTTTCCCATGAGTCCATCATGACTCTAGAGCTAAAGCTCATTAGAACAGAAAGCTGACAATAAATGGTACCATGGTGGCCTGCCCTCATGTCTTGTAGGCATGGAGTCAGTGACCCATGTCTCTGTTGGGAAGTGCAGCAGGTGCCCTGCCAATTACAGAGATTTAGTCAGGCAGCCTTTACGACTTAGCTCTGAGCTACTGACCACTTGATTGATGTCTGTTGAGCCTCATTTTCCTTGTGTGAAGAGGGCCTAATAACAGAGACATCAAAGGGTCTGTAAGATTAGATGAGGGTACTCTGATTAGACCAGTGGACACAAACAAACAGCAGTGAACTATAAAAAAAAAAGACAGGTGCATCCCTGAGCACAAGTTGAGAAAACAGGAGGTACTTAGTGTCAGTACACAACCCTGGTACAGAGTGACAGAGACAGGGACAGACCTGGGGCCCATGTGTTGGAACAGCGGTCAAGAGCTTCCTCCTGCAGGATGCTGTGGAGGGAGGCAGCATTTATGCTGAGCATGAAGGCGGCCTTTCACGATGGGCCTGCATGGAACAAGACAACCTGTACTCTGCTTGCACAGGCCCAGCACTCTGGCCTTTCTGAAGCGCTTCCGTGCGGTTGGGTGTCCACTGGGACTTTTTCACCTTTTCCGGCCCTCTTTCCTCAGGGCAGGCACAAATGTGAATGTAAGAGTCACTATGTGGGGGATGGACTGGACTGTGAGCCCGAACAGCTACCCCTGGACCGCTGCTTACAGGACAATGGACAGTGCCACCCAGATGCCAACTGTGCAGACCTTCATTTCCAGGGTCAGTGTGGCTGGAGCCCTGGCCCAACACACCTTCCTGTCTTGGCTTGGGTGAGGGTGTGTCCGGGGGAGAAAAAAATGATGAAACAAAGTAAAACAGAAACTAAAGGATCCACACATTATCCAGACCTGCTGAGGCAGGAGAGTCAACTCACAATTGGACCTTGAAGGCTAGAACTGGGAGGGGCTCAAGGGACATTCCCAGAGTTTTCCTTTCCCATGTTGCTTAGCAACCCTCACAACCATTGGCAGGAATCAAATCTGAGAAGCACCGCTTAGGATGGTCAATAACAACGGAGAGGCTCGCACTTTGCAGCAGCGGTTTCTTAACTGCTCTTTGCTTCTCGCACAGTGGTGGCATATACCACATGTACTTCCCAGGGCGATTTGAATGGCGACTAATAAACCCACAGGCTAATAAAGCCCACAGAAGAAAGTAGAAAAGCCACAGTACAGAGACCCAGCAGGTAGGGCATGTTGAAACCCCATGGGAGCTCAGTTCAGAGCCGGAGATATTGGGACTTCATTGATTTCAAATGTGTCCCAAGTTAACTGTGCATTGTGCATTGAGTGGAGATGTCTACATGTTTTGCTCTGGTTTACCAGCAAGAGAAACTTAAGAGTCTTTTGTTGTTGATGTTTGAGGATTTTTTTTTTTCAGATCTCAATAGCAACTATTGATTTAACACTTGTCCTACACCAAACCCTGAGGCATGCCTCAAAAATGCAGGGACATGGAAAACAGACTGTTCCTCCAAGAAGAGACCCAGGATAGCAGGGAAAGCTAAATGAATATCAGATAAGGGGGAAACATAGTAAAACAGAAGGCAAAATGTTACCCTGCGTTCTTGCAGCCATAGTAAAAGAGCAAGACTAGAAAGTTGAAAGTAGGGGCTCAGAAATCCCAGCTATTTGCAGGCCCATGTCTACAGCAACAATGTGCAGAACAGCTAGAAGGAAGAAGCAACAAGAACTTCTGGGTGGATAAACAAATGTAGCACATCCATGCATTGGGGCAACAGTCGCACGGAAAGCATCAGGAAGTCTGACGGATGGTACAGCAGGAAAGGACTGACTAGCCTTGGCATGTTACATTAAGTGACATAAGCCATACACAAAAAGACAGCCCATTCTATGAGTCAGCTATATGAGAAACCTAAACCAAGAAGACCCATGAGGACAGAGAATAGAAGAGAGGCTCCCACAGGGCAGAGGACACGAAGTGACTGTTTAACAATAGAGACTTGGTTGGGATTATGGAATTAATGGATAGCACTGACGCTTGCCCAACAATGTCCGTGTATTTAAAAGCTGTACACTTAAAATTGTCAAAAGAGCCAATTTTATGTTGTACACATATCACAACAAATCTTCTTTTAAAAACAGACAGGGTAGGCATGATAATACATGCTTTTAATCCCAACTCTCGGGAGGCAGAGGTAGATAGATTTCTGTGAGTTTGAGGCCAGCCTAATCTGTGTTGAAACTCTCAGGCCAGACAAGACTATATAATGAGACCCTGTCTCAAAAAAACAAAAACAAACAAAAAAAAGAAACAGTTTTTTTTCCCCCAGATAAGATCTATCTAGGTAAGATGAAGGGGTTTTCCAGAGATGTGCAGTTGAAGCCTGGACTCCAGTGGAGACCCCACCCCCACAAAAAATGCCTGCATTGGTCAAACCCAGAGAAAATGGGAGAGACAGTGTGCTTAGAGAAAGAAATATACAGTGAGAGGATCGTTCTGGGTAAGGGGAGATGGCTCAGGTAGTTGCCACCGCTCAATGTGTGTGCGGTGCCTGCCTACAGAGGCCGGAAGAGAGTATTGGATCCCCTGGGACTGGAGATACAAGCAGTTGTGAGCCATGCTTGCTGCGTGGGCACGGCTCTTAACTGCTAAGCCATCTCTCCAGCCCTGTTTATATGATTAAGAAGAATAAATATTTCAACTGATGTACTTCAACATAACTGGAAGGTGAAGCGGCCTCCTAGGTACCCTGGGCTACAGTTGGGAGAAGCGGCTTCCCAGAGCATCCTGGGCTACAGTTGGCCTCTACCTTGAATTCCTCCTAAGTCTCTTACTTCAGTCCCTGCCAGCCATGCTGACTGACTGCATAATCTCCCTCTTCTTCTAGACACGACGGTTGGGGTGTTCCATCTGCGCTCCCCCCTGGGCCAGTACAAACTGACCTTTGACAAAGCCAAAGAGGCATGTGTCAACGAAGCTGCATCCATAGCCACCTACAACCAGCTCTCCTATGCCCAGAAGGTGGGTCCCCAGTTAAGCAGATACTTCAGGCAGAGCCAGCGGGGAGGAGTGTGTGCAGGCATCCCCGGGAAGCTGGAGAAAGCTCAGGCTTCTCCTGCAGCACTGGAAGAGCCATCGTGTCCAAAGTGAGGCATCTACCGTGTGTACAGGACTATGGTACAGTGTGCGTGCGTGCGTGCGTGTGTGTGCGTGTGTGTGTGTACATGCACACACGCGCACGCATGTGTGTTCAAGACTATGGTAGTGTGTTTGTACAGGACTACGGTAGTGTGTATTCTGTACAGGACTATGGTATAATGTGTGTGTGTGTACAGGATTAACAGTAGTGTGGAGTACAGGAGCTCAACTTTTGATTATTGAAAGGTTAGTGATAAACGGTGCATTTGAATCTTCGAGGTACTGGCTGTGTGAGTCTCAGCAACTTTGTTTTGTCTCAGTCATCTTTTTTGAAGTAACTTTTTGCTAATTTCTTATATAAAGTACCATATTTACATCATTTCCATCAACCACCAACTCTTCCCATGTCCCCCGCTCTCCTTCTCAAATTCATGACCTCTTCTTTAATTTAATACATGCGCGTACACACACACTCACGCACGCACACACACACTTCTACACTCTGCCTGCTGAGTCAGTCCATTTGGTGACCATACGGGACTGGGAATTTACCAGGGACCTCATCCCTGGAGAAAACGGATTCTCACTCTCTGAGAAGCCAGTAATCACCTGTAGCTCTTCATCGAGGGACAGAACCTAGTGAAGTTTCTTGCATTCACTTTGTCATGTCAACTGGTGTTATCGTCACACATGTCTTGTTTAGGCAACTCTATTGTTGTAAGTTCCCTGTGTGGATGTGTTGTAAGTACCCAGCTGATGCAGGGTAACACAGTCACCTGATGTCTGAATTTTGATTAGCTGTAGATGTCTATAATAGGGTCTGTCTGCTGTAAAAAGACATTCCTTTAATGAGGGTGAGAGCTATTCTTATCTATGAGCATTAGTATTTAGAATGTAGTTAGAAATTATACTGACTTAAGAAAATGGCTGTAGTAGCATCTCCTATAGCGTGCATGACCTCAGCAGCCGCCGGCAGTTGGCTAGGTTTACAGCACCGTCAGTGAATTCTCTCCTATTGAGCAGGCCTTACGTCCAATTGCACGGCTGTTGGTTTCCTCCAAGATGGAGGTGCCGTCATTGCACCTCTGGAAACACTTTGCCATGCCGGTCGTTTCAGTTTGTAAGCTTTACAGCCGGGTAGGAGTATTGGTTGCTTTTCTCCCTTGGCAGCCTGCACATCACTTTCCAATACTGTAAGGACAAGTAGGCGCCAGCTTGAGTCTTCCAAGTCCTCTGTCAAAGTGTATAGTGTCTTCAGCAGTACAGTCTTACCTGCTGTCTGGGAGACAACCAAGGGCAATGACAGAAGCCTATATTGTTTGGGAAGTCTTCTGGACTCCATTGACCAACAACTGGAGAAGAGTTTTCCATGCCTGGCACTGGGGGTTTTGTTAGATGATCTGTGGTTCTTGGGGTAAACATTATTATCCCATGCCTCAGTCATCTTACCCTTGTGATAAAGATTTTAAATTACAGCCACACAGGGGCAATGATGGTGGTGGTGGCCATGGTGAATTAGGAGTCTGTCATCAGTTAGAGCTTTGCTCGTTCATAAGCAGGAGAATCTGTCCTGGGGTGCATAGCTGCCGGTGAGTTCCTTCTCAAGAGAGAAGCCAGAAGGAAAGGCCTGGGCACCTACAGAAAGGAGGACCATGGTCATTCATCCAACGGCTTGATGAACAGACGTTTAGTGACCTACTATATATATTTTCCAGGCACAGGAGTCCAGCACGCTCCATAGAGTTTGCAGTCTAAGTAGGGATCAGAATTACCCAGATGATTCCACAGCCATCAGGACATTATAACTAACCCAGTCACTGCCCTGTCTCTGCAGGCTAGCTATCACCTCTGCTCAGCTGGCTGGCTGGAGAGTGGGCGGGTTGGTTACCCCACGACCTATGCCTCTCCGAAGTGTGGTTCAAACATTGTTGGGATAGTGGACTACGGAATCAGGCCCAACAAGAGTGAAATGTGGGATGTCTTCTGCTACCGGATGAAAGGTCATTGTCCCATCCGCTACAGGCTCCAGGCCAGATAGCCCTGAGCACCTCTGCCTGCAGGGTGGCCCCGGCCTCACCTCACTGGGCCCCTGTGCCTCTCCTTTCCAGATGTGAACTGCACCTGCAAGGCAGGCTACGTGGGAGATGGCTTCTCATGCAGTGGGAACCTGCTGCAAGTCCTCATGTCCTTACCCTCGCTCACCAACTTCCTGGCAGTATGTACCCTGTGTGTTTGGCCCTCCTCCAGCAGGGAGGCTCACCCACAAACAACTAACGAAGAAGTGAGACTCTGAAAGAGGCCAAAGGCTCACGGTTGAGGTTGAGAGCCCAGGCCCTCATGGGAGGAGGGGACCGTGAGCTCAGCCGCTTCATGGGCATGGTTGTGATCTTTAAATGACTTGATGTATTGACACCATAAGCATGTAGAAACTTTTGGATTCATCAGTGCGACACAGGTATTGCCTGTGTTTGCATCTAAAGCAGTTTAAGAAACTGACCAAAAAGAAAGAAAATAGCGTGACTATTTACTATATCATGAGCACACTATAGCAGAAGCAAATGGACATTTTTTTTGTCTTTCCATAACATCAGAATGTATTCCTTCACAGTAAATTCACAAGCTATGTCATATTTATTGGTTGCATTTTACCATGTAACCCTCTATGCCCACGGGCTCTTTTATTCCACTGTCAATTACTAATACTAACCCTTGGGCCATCCATTATACTTGACACAGTAACACACACACACACACACACACACACACACACACACAGTGACAGAATGGCTACAAAGGGTTCAAGGGCCACAGTGCTCAAAGAGGCCTTCTGGACAGCAGAGAACTGACTCAATGCCCAGTCACCCGAAGGGGTTAGATATTCCAAGAACCCAGTGATAGCGACTGGAGGACAGCCTGGAGGTAAGGCTCAGGTTGGGGAAGTCTGGCTGACCTGAAACTGAATGGGCCTCAGCAAACAGTGGTGACTAGGCTGAGCTGAAGTCTTACAACAGTCTGGAGGTCTCTGCCCATCATCAATCATGAGACACATGCCCCAGGAGATGGCTGGATCAGTGAGGACCGGTGTTAAGTGCCCCTCCCTTTATGGGTGAGGAGGTTTCATCTTCATCCGTCTGGAATGTAGGATAAGTTATAGGCAGCTCTGTGGCTCCTGCTAGGCAGATGACAGTGTCTTTGAGCAAGTGTGGCTTATAGTACCACCCAGCCTCGGCACTCAGAATGGAGCCAGATGCTGCCCTGTAGGATGGAGTGGTAACCTGGGGCAGGACACAGGCATGGCCTCGCACCGTGTAGAGCAGAGCAGAGCATCTTAGATGGATGCACTAAGAGAGGAAAAGTCATCCTAATACTCCCGCAAAGGCATCAGGGTATTCTCGGAGGCACTGTGCCCGCCCCCAGCTCCTCCAGCCAACCCCACCCCCACACCATGGCAGCCCATGTGACCACTTCTTTTCCTCCCCAGGAGGTGCTGGCTTATTCCAACAGCTCAGCCCGAGGCCAGGCATTTCTGAAACACCTGACCGACCTGTCCATCCGCGGCACCCTATTTGTGCCACAGAACAGTGGGCTACTGGAAAATAGGGTGAGTGGGTTCCTGATACCTGCACTTTTAGACGGGGCTTTATCATCTGTCACCACCGTAACAGGGTGTTGCAAATCACTCCACCACATGTGATAGATAGCACGTGCCTTTAATTTACTTGGTAAGTAAAGGCACAGGACCTTGTCAGAACAAACAGTGCCTACCCCAGATACAGAGGGGCGCTGGCCCCCATCATCACACACAGATGATGAGCATCTGCCACTTCCAGTCTAGGCAGTAGTCCCAGCTGGACTATGGACAGCTCTGCTCTGCAGGGTTCACAACCAAGCAGACTAAACCAGTCACGGCAGGAGGCAGGAGGCTCAGTGCGAACCTACTATTGTGGGTTCATGTTTGCTAACAAAACACCAGCCAACAGGTCACAAGGGTAAGCCCAAAGTCAGGGAAGGAAATAAGGGGCCAGAGGCAAGCATCCAAGGAGGGAAGAGGCCCTGGTGTAAGGGGTCCAGCACGCTGACGCCCTCGCGATGTGGTCAAAAGAGGAAGAATGCACTGTTTCAACACCCACCCCCATGGAGGCTGACCAGCAGGCCCAAGCCCCAGGCACTGCCCAGTCACAGGGCTGAAGGGCAACCCCTCTGCCTGCCTGGGGATCCTCCAGGCCTGCTCCGGACCCTCCGGGAAACTGGCTTTACAGAATAAAGATGACTTTCCATGTGCTAGTTACACATGAGCCTTAGGAAAGACCCCAGAGCCAAACGCCTAAGGCAAACTTATTTCCAGCTGTTGCTCAGAACTGACTTTTTGTCTGCTTTCTCCTTAGACCCTGTCTGGGCGGGACATCGAGCACCACCTTACTAATGTCAGTGTCTCTTTTTACAATGACCTTCTCAATGGTACCGTTCTGAGGACGAGGCTGGGAAGCCAGCTACTCATCACCTCCAGCCAGGACCAGCTCCACCAAGTATGAAAAGCCTTCTGGGCTTGTTGAGAGAACTAGAGAAAACATGTGCACAGCTCCGGGCATGCCAGCTATTATAATATGAAAGTCAGCTTTAAGTCCATGGATTAGGGCAGTATGAATGCAAACTGTGGCTGTGATACTGTATATTAACGGGCCACCCCAGAACCTTGGCAATAGACTGGGTTAATGAGAACTGAGAAATGAAACTGGTTTTTGTTTTGTTTTTGGTTTTTTGTTTGGTTGGTTGGTTTAGTTTTTCGAGACAGGGTTTCTCTGCATATCCCTGGCTGACCTGGAACTTGCTCAGTAGACCAGGCTAGCCTTGAACTCAGAGATATGCCTGCATCTGCCTCCAGAGCACTTGGATCAAAGGTGTGCACCACCACCTACTGGCCAGAGAAATGAAACTGTTTTTGAAGAAGTTTCTGTCTGTTATTCTATCTCAGGCATTAATGTGTGAGCTTCCAAGTCATATGACCCTGGGATGAATTAGTCTACCTAACTACTCGGAACTCTGTTTCCACATTTGATAAGTAGGGATGAGGGTGATGATGGTGGTGGTGGTGATGGTGATGATGGTGGTGGTGATGATGGTGGTGGTGGTGATGGTGATGATGTGGTGGTGGTGATGATGGTGATGATGATGGTGATGGTGATGATGGTGATGATGGTGATGATGGTGATGGTGGTGGTGGTGATGGTGATGATGGTGATGATGATGGTGATGGTGATGATGGTGGTGGTGATGATGATGATGGTGATGGTAATGATGGTGATGATAGTAATGGTGATGATGGTGATGGTGGTGATGATGGTGATGGTGGTGGTGGTGATGGTGGTGATGGTGATGATGGTGATGATGATGGTGATGGTGGTGATGGTGGTGGTGATGATGGTGATGATGATGGTGATGGTGGTGATGGTGGTGGTGATGATGGTGATGATGATGGTGATGGTGGTGATGGTGATGATGATGGTGATGGTGATGATGGTGGTGGTGATGATGATGATGGTGATGGTGGTGGTGATGGTGGTGATGGTGGTGACAGTAATGGTAGTGATGGTGATGGTGGCATTGGTGACCTCAGTGTCTGTGAACTCTAATCCATAGGCTGTCAGTGGTTCGGTGACTCAGTTTGTGATGTGTAGGAACCAGTGTCCATAAAAATCCATGCACATCCAAGCCACCTGAACCTGTCAGAATGTGACCTAACTCGGAAGGTGGGACGTGGGGCCTCGATTCCATCTAGAGGACAGCCTCCCCTAGAGTTGTGGAGTGAGGCAGAGCCTGAGCCCTGGGGCTTATCATTTACTGCTGGAGTGATGGTGGACAGGCCATTTCCTTCTGTCAGCTCATCTGTCACACAGAGGGTTGGGGAAAGAAGCCCACAGGCCTCTGAGGCCCCAGAAAAGCCAAGCGGGAAGCTGCCTGTGGGGAGGGGAAGAGGTCACAGGTCTCGCTCTCCCTCTCCTCATTTCCCTAGGAGACCAGGTTTGTGGACGGGAGAGTCATCCTGCAGTGGGACATCGTTGCCTCCAACGGGCTCATTCATATCATTTCTGAGCCTTTGAAAGCCCCTCCCATGCCAGGAGTGAGTACCCATGAGGGGCCAGGGAGCTCCTGTGTCAAATGTGCATCCCCAGAGCTCATTCCCACCAGCCTCCCGTCCCAGCAGTGCGTCAGGGGAGCCCCTGGGAGGGAAGTGAGCCCATTTTCTCATCTCTACCCGGTGTGAGCACAGGGGTTCACAGTACTTCCCCGACCTGGGCAGACTGCATGAAGAAACAGTGAACCCTCACAGTGGCTCCTGGCAGAGCCTACATGCTCTGGGAAGGCTGGCTGTGTGGTCATTGTTAGAACCCTAACATTTCCCCAGGGGCACATGAGGTGAGCTGCTAGCTACTAGAAAGTTCCATAGCATGGTGGTCGTGCATATAAGCTCCAAACTGATGGGTTTTAAAGCCTGTGCTCCCTCTAGAAAGCTGTGTGGTTTGGGCAAGTACTTAGCATCTCTTTGCCTCAGTTGCCCCATACACAAATGGGGGAATGACCGTCCATGTCTCTTTAAGTTATTATAAGAAATAGGTCCTGGCAGTAATGAGGCCTAAATTCATGTTAATTTGACAGTATTTTTATGAATCACTCCAAAGTCAAGTAAGGACCGGGTGAATTGAGACCTATCTTACGCTGGAATCACCAGCGTAAGAAATGGCCCCTTTCCTTTCTGTGTACAGACTCCTGCCCACACTGGCCTGGGGACGGGCGTAGTCTGTGCTGTCATCCTGGTCACTGGCGCAATTGCTCTGGCTGCCTATTCTTACTTCCGACTAAACCAGAGAACAATTGGCTTCCAGCGTTTTGAGGTAAGAGAACTGAGCCCGCTGTGAAGGGCTGCCTCTCCTGTTCTGTGTGCACACAGAGGGTGCGCACACCTATAGTCCCAGTGCTCAGCAGGGGGTGAACCAGGGCCACGGGTTCCAGGCCCGCCTGAGGTACACCACAACTTCACGGCCAGCAGAACCATGCAGTGGGATCTTGTTTAAAGGAAAGAAGGGAGGGAGGGAGGGAGGGAGGGAGGGAGGGAGGGAGGGAGGGAGGGAGGGAGGAAGGAAGGCAGGAAGGAAGGAAGGCAGGCAGGCAGGAAGGAAGGAAGGAAGGAAGGAAGGAAGGAAGGAAGGAAGGAAGATAATGAAAAACAAAAAAACAAACAAAGAGCTGGAGAGGTAAACCAGCTACTAAAATGCTTGCTCTGCAACCACAAGGACCCAAGTTCAACTCCCAGATCCCACATAATAAAAGTCAGGCTCAATGGCATGTGCTTGTAAAGCCATCACTGGGGAGAGAGACAGCCCTCTGAGGTCCACTAGCTAGCCAGTCTGGCTGGAGTGGCAAGCTCCAGGTTCCGTGAGAGGTCAAGTCCTAAGAAAGAATGGATAATAGCTGAGCTTGTCCTCTGGCCTCCACACACATGAGCACACGTCGGCACATGTACATCTGCACGTACACAAACATGAGACAAACAACCCCGCAACGACTAGGTCTGGGCGATTTACGAAGAGCATGCGTGTATTGGCTTGTGGTTGTGGAGACTTCCAAGGCCAGGGCTGGCATAGCTTGACTCCCGACAAGGGCCTCACACCACCTCAACTCACAGGAAACCGAAGTGTTGGGAGGCATGCGCTGAAGCAACAGGGCATCACGACAGACAGTCTCACTTCACACCAAGCTGGCCGGGTTCATCCCCCGCTGGTGATAATCATACCTCCTAGTAAGTTCTAGAGGAACACAGCTCATCAGGCCCACTCCAACAGCCAGCTCCAGGGCTGGGCTACCTCAGCATGTCCTGGCCCAGGTGCTGGTATTTGCTTACAGCGGCTAGAGTACCCACCCCCACCTCCGCCCGGGCTTCCTGGGAGGAGGGTCTAGACGAGTCTCCAGCATGGTAGGCTTGGGCATCAAGACTAAGCCCTGAGAGTTGGGGATCGGAGTCTAACACCTGCACAGCTTCACTGTGTAGCCAGCAAACCTCATCCCATTCTGTTTGCAGAGTTGAGTCTGCCTCATCAGCAAGCTCCTGAGCTGCCATGGGGTGGCCCTATGTGCCCATCAGTTTTCTGTTGCCATGACAAAATACCTGAGGCAATCAAGTTATGTGGGAGAAAGGTTTAGCTCATACTTTTAGTCCATGGGGACATCATGGCAGGAGCATACGGCAGAGTACTCACTTCATGGTGGCTGGGAGCAAAGGAAAAAGAGGAGGGGCCAGGGTCCCCTTCCTGGGCACACCCACAATTGCCAAACTTCATCCCATTAGACCCCACTTCATGAAGGTCCCACTGGCTCCCAAGAGCGCATGTAGACTTTAACCAAGAGCCTTTGTGAGACATGTATCCAAACCATAGTGCCCCAAGCACTGGGCTGGGCAGAAGTGCAGGGGTTAATCAGCCTTCCTTTCTCTCTGCTCTCTTCCCTGGTCGTAGATGGAAGTTTCTGTCCAGCTCAGTCCCAAATAAACACACACAGGCTTATATTAATTATAAACTGTTTGGCCGATGGCTCGGGCTTCTTAATGGCTAGCTCTCGATTTTTATCCCATTTTAAAAACTACGTATCTCCACTTGGTCTTGGCTTACAGAGAATGCTCCGACCTCTTCCTTCTACATGGTATCTCCCTCCCAGCCACTCTCTGTCTCCCTCCTCTGTAATGTTGGGCATCCGTCTTAGCCTATAGGCCTGGCATATCTGACAGACACGTCTATGGACCAGGATATTCTGAAGGACTGGACCACCTTGTCTTGGCAAGATTTGCAGTCACTCTTTTTGGCGCCCTGTTTGTCCAGTTTGACAGTCTGGCATACTGTCAGCAGGCGAGGCAAGGGCACTTCCTTACCCTGTGGCTTACCTTTGACACAAAGAAAGGAAGCTCCATGTGGAGTCTCTTTGATGCTCATCATCTTCTCCAAAAAAAAGAACCCATGCTATAAAAATGTTAGATGCCATATTCTCTAGACAGTGAAGTGTTTGAAGATGACCTGTCTTCATCAAATATCTGTTTGACCTTGTAAACTTATCTAATGTGACTACGAGTTTGATTGTAATAGTTGACTAATTACTAACCTGCATTTCCTTATTATCTCATTTAGTTGATAATAACTATCAAGGACTATAAATTTATGTTACATTATTAAATGAGCTGTATAAGTACAATACCTTGAACAATATTGTAAACTTAATGTTTTAGAAAAATTAATTTCAAATTTGTATCAATTTGTATACAATATATAAAAATCTAATTCAATGTAAAATAGTTAAAACTAGTAATTGCTTTTTAAGAGTAGATTTTATCTTACCCCTGTCCTCCATTTATTCCTTTCAGAATAGATTCAGTAATCTACCCTTTTTATCCTATCATATCTGGATTCCTCTTTTTTCAAATTAAAAATATTGAATATAACCCCCTTTTATCAACTTTCTTCCTGATCATAAGCAACAACATTTTGTAACCAATCCCCTTAAATAATGACAAATATTCATAACCCAACGAGTGACCAAAAACCACCTACCTCACCTCTTGGAAATGTGGGTATCATGTTCCTAAAGTTACTTCCTGGTCTCTTTCCACACTCAGGAAAAGCTATTCAGTGCCCTCAGGCAACAGCCCAGGCCTGCCAGAAGATAGCTGGCCTGTCTATAAAGTCAGAGGCAACTCTCAAAAGCATCTCTTACTGTAACCAAACACCACAAACTAGATCACTTACAACCGGCAGAGGGCTGTTCCGCTCACAGATCTGAAAGCTGAGTGATCAAAGGCCACGTGGCTACATCTGTATGACTTTCATGCTACAGAGGACTCAGCCAAGTTCTCAACACAGTGCAGAGAATCCTAGGGTGACAGAGCCAAGTCCTGGCCTGAGCGCCTGTCCTTACAGAGTTTCAGTTCCACTGGGTTATGCTTTGCCCTGCGGTTCCCTGTAACCATAACCACCACCCCAAAGGTCCTGCCTGCAAATAGCACAGCAGGATCAAGTCTCCTACCCTTCTCGTAGCTCCAGATGGGGACTAAATTTCAATGGATGTTTGGACAAGAACATTCGAACCATCATTTGTAGCACATAGATGATCTTTCTAAGTTGACAGAAGCCATACAACTCCAGGGTAACGGGGCTCACCGGTGCTTACCGGTGCTTAGGGTAGGAATTGCAGCATGAGTCATGGGAACATTCCAGGAGGATGGAAATGCCGTGTGGGCCAATTTGGGAGAGATACCTGGTCCTTCTATCACAGTCAGTCACCTCAACAGTGCTTCTGGGAAGGCCCCTGAGGTAAAGAGTGCTCGGGGACAGTCCTGACACTCACCCCTGTGGTTCGCTTTCTTAACAGTCAGAAGAGGACTTGGCTATTGGCAAGCAGCAGCCTGAGAATATCTCAAACCCTGTGTATGAGAGCTCAGCGCCGCCGGCACCCCCTGAGACCTCCTGTGACCCCTTCACAGTAAGTTCACACTTCACCCTAGGCCAGGGCTTAGCTGGGCTGCAGAGTGCTGCCTCCCAGAGAAGTTCAGTGAAGCCGCAGCCCCAGGAAGAGCCACCCTTGTAGGATGCACCTCAGACAGCAAGCCCAGAGGACAGCTTTCTATTCAGGGTGCTCAGCTTTTGTGAAGCCTCCAACTAGAGGCTGCCCAGCCCCCACCTTATGGCCGGGAATGCCGCTGTGGAAGCAGGCCTGTGTAAAACACTTCCCTTACCTATCAATTGTGCCTTGGGCAGAGCCTCTTCTTGCCTAGGGAGCTGCTTTTGCCTCCGGAGGTCTTTAATGGGCAATGATCTGATCTAGTTTTCCCCAGAAGGAACCATTTATTTAATGAGTGAAGCTTGAGCTTGGATTGGGGCTACCCTGATTTTAACCACATGGCAGGGCACCTCATTCACATGGGATGTGAGGGTAGCCTGCCTATCATTTTCAGTCAGTTCTGGACTGGGAAGCTAGGGGAAGGCATTTTCCCCTCACGTAACCATGAAGAACTTAGCCAGACACTGAGCATCCCTGCCTGACAGGCATGCCACCTGAGCTAGCCATGATCTTTGGAACATTTGAATCTTGGCTTCTCTAAATTGACAACCCTGTGTAGCATTTGCATCCTGGCTTCTCTAGATTAACAACCTTTGTAGTATTAGCTGAAGGCAGAGCCATGCTATCAGTTTAGGGTTAGCGTGCATATTTCTCCCACAAATCACGGTACAGTTCAGTTTTTACAAACTGACTGTGGAAATCCCTTTAAATCAAATACACGTAATATTTATTTACTCACTGAAGGTCTCACTGTGTAATCTGGTACTTGCTATGTAGGACAGGCCATCCAGAACTCATAGAGATTTACCCTCTTCGGCCTCCCAAGTGCCGCTACACCTGGCTGAACAGTTGAATTTTTACAGGTTGTCGCTGAAACACTACAAAGTTCTCTTGCAAAAACACCTTAAGATTATTTACTGCAGTAGGTGTAAACAGTGAGCCGGTATCCTTGGCTAGTAGTGTGTATGGTAGCAGATTGAACTGTCTTTGCAATTGGTTGAAAATAACCACATCTCAAATCTTATTTTTTAACTCACATAAAAATATTCTGTCAGATTCAACAGTGGGCTCTGCTGGGTTGTGTTTATTGGCTAGTGCGGGTTTGTTTCTGTCACCATCGTTCTGTGGAAGCTGCCGTCAGTCATTTAAAGTCTGTGGAGGATGGGGTGTTAAACTGTTCCTTATACTCCACACCTCCACAGATTTTTGCCTTCTTCACACATGAGAGTCCTCTGGAACAAAGGGAGTCCATTCCAGAAGCAGAGTTCAGTGAGAACAAGTGGCCAGAAAGTTCTAGTAATAGGACCCCTGAGCCCAGGACACCAACAGGCTGCATCCTCTGACTTTTACACTGGAGTGTGGGCACCTGTAACGGCTCTATATCCCAAACACCCTTGAGGAACCTTTGCTAACTGTAGCGTGCTGCTTGTGAAAACCTCGGTGCCACTCAGAGCGGATGATAGCAGGAGGCTTGACGGGGCTGGCTCTCTGGCAGGGAGTGGGGTGTTCATGCAGTCACCTGCTTTAGTATTTCCAATATGAAAGCTTTATCACTTCATCCACCACTGGCTAAATGTAGTGGCTAACCCTCACACCTTCCTAGTGAAGTAAATATTCCTATGGTGCTGTTAGAGATGGGAACCAACATAATTGAGGGCCTCACAGACAGCTTCAGGCAGCAAAGGATGTGCGGCCCCAACCTAAGTGGCCCTGACCAGCACCCTCCCTACCCCCCTCAACCCCACCCCACCCCCACTGAGGCAGCAGTATGCCTGAAGCCTCCTGTGATATATATGCCTGAGGCAAGGTACGCTTTAGGCCCCAAAGCAGATCCAGGTTCCCCCTAGGAGGGACAGCTTCCATCCCCACCCCAGTATCACAGCCCTCTGTCTTCCAGGACTCTGAAGAACAGGAGGTGGAGAGCGGCGACCCTCTTGGGGCACTGAGGTCCTGATGTGAGCCACCAGCCACCAGCCAATGCCACACACAATCCCTGAGCCATCACGGTTCCACTGTGAATTCTCAACATCAGTTGTCTCTTTAAACTATGATACACTCAGAACCATACCTCACCTCTCTGGTTAATAGGGGTTGTTTCCATGGGTAAGGTACCATGTTACCAGGACCATCCAGGAACCCCACCTCCTCTGACCTCTATTGTTCTTGGCACATTCCAGACGGCCTTGCTAACTGTGATCCTGCGGTATTTCCTACTGCTGTAAGTGCCTGGGGCATGGCTTCACCTCCTGTACTTTGTATCCCAGTACCCAGAAGTCCCCGCCACAGGCATGTGCTCAATAAATGTTATGGAATTTTTAAAGAAGCCACTGTGTGCCTAGGAGGGCTCAAGCTATGAAAGCCAACTACACTTATTAAGGCCAATTAGAGCCTTTTCAATTGGCCAACTTTGTCTCAAGAACTAAGTGTTGTCTCTTTGCTTTTACTTTAAGCACATGAGACTCCACTTACACCTGTTAGGAGAGCGACAACCAAACGGTCCATCAGAAGACGAGCATCCGTAGGGTGTGCAGAGCTCTCCTGCCCTGCTGGTGGGAATGCAAAGTGGAGGCACTGTGGGAGGGAGTCCAACAGGGTTACCACAGAACCAAAGCGACCTCTCATAGGTGTACACCCAAGAGATGAAGAACATGTGCACCCCATAGTCACATGTACTGATGGTGACATTGTTCCCAACAGCCCCAGGCAGAATACCCCAAATGTCCATCTGATGTGACCAAGCTGTGGTGTAACCATGCAACACACCCCTGAAAGATGCAGTGTTGCTCAGTGCATTAATGTCCCTTGATGTCATTAGAAAGTGAGCTGTTATCTGCACCTGTCCACAGCTGCCGCCGCCAATAGCACCCACTTCTGCCTCCTTCCCGCTCCTCCCTGATGGTCCAGGCTGCCCTTAAAATCCAGATTCCCATGCTTTAGCCTCCAGAGTGCTAGGACCATGTATATAAGCTGTCAAATCCAATTCTGCAAAATGTTTTTTCTTGGAGATGTGGGAGGGGGAATAAAGACTTTAAAACCACCAGTCCAGTCACTTCTACACATGAGCAGTGGAGGTCCAGAGTGACTGTTAGCAGCCTTGGGCAACACAGCTCCTGGGACTGGGCTGAACTACGGCTCTGTGTGTGTCTCCCAGAGCCCATGGTCTGCAAGCTCACATCTGTGGACTTGAGATGAAGATCTTAATACACTGCAAAATTCTGCTCCTTTCTGGACAACTGCTCACACTCAGCATGCTTAAACAGCTGTCTCTGTAACATCCGAGTGCCCTCCAACCCAACCACACACACACACACACACACACACACACACACACACACACACACACACACTGTAATCCCCAGCCTTCAGAAGGGCTCAGTGTCAGCACGCTGGAGTGGCTATGGGGACAGAGCGGAAGGCTGGGTTGAACAGACCTCAGGCTTCACCTCCTTTGCTTGTACAAACCAAACGGCCTCATTCTGTTCCATTAGAGTTTTGCTGAGTCAAGTCTAAAGTCTAAAAGCCATAAAATGTCTTGTAAGCTCTCTCTCAACTCCAGGGAACTGAAGCTGTCCCAGGCCTCTGCAGAGGACAAATTTATCATTACCTTTGGGACATGAAGGTGCAATGCCACATTTCCAGGAAGTCACCCCAAAACGACAAGTGTGGGACAGGTTAGCCAGTGGCTCTGTGACATCCGTCATCTTAACAGAAATGCAAGTGGCCATACTGGGGAACAAGGGGACACAGATGAGTGACACAGATGAGTGGCCATCCAGCACAGTGGGAGGTAAGCCCTGGTATAGATGCTAAATCTGTCATTCACACACACAAGACATGTAGAATGTTTTCAAACTTATCCAAACCCAGTAGCACATATGGGTTTTGTTTGTTTGTTTTTACACAGTATTTATCTGTGCAGCCCTGGCTACCCTGAACTCTCTGTAGCCCACGCTGGCCTTGAATTCACAGATTCGTCTGCCTCTGCCTCCCGGGTGCTGGGATTAAAGGCGTGCACCACCATCACCCAGCTTAAATTTTCCTAATATTCCTCGGCATGTCCCAGCTTCCTGGGTAACAACACAAGCAAACAGGTGAACTGCCTCTTCGTATTCTTCAAGGTGGTGTACCCCCCCAACAACTTCCCTCCCACCCCACCTACATACACACATACACACACACACACACACACACACACACACACACACACACACACCACGGCCCCGCTGACTGCCTAAGGCAGAACTCACACAAGTTTCTGTCAGCAATCACCAGTCTTAAAGCTAGAAAACAATGTAGACTTCAACTTTTCTCAATCTCTTCTGTGGGTATATTAGAGTGCTTCTTTTCAGGGGCTGGGAATCAAACTCTGGGCCTCAGGCATGTTGGGTAAGCACTCTATCAGAGAGCTGCACTCCCAACCCTAGGATTTTATTTTATTTTACATTTCATATATATATATATATGTGTATATATATATGTGAATATTTACATTTTTATTTTATTTTTTAATCTTTCATTTTAGTAGAGTAGCCTCAAATCCTGGGGGAAAACACGTTTTACACTGACTTAAGTACACATAACTGACGGTGTACCAGCAGACGAGGAGATCCCATTCAAGCTTTATTTGGCTGTTAAGTTCATTATCACAATATATATAATCAACATGTAGAATAAATAGCAAATTCACATTCCAAATAAATAGTAAATCTACTCTGCATTTATTGTGCCTGGTACCACACAGGCCCAGTCCATCATTCCACTACACAGGTGCTACACTGGAGCTCACACTTGTACTAACAGAAAACACAGGCGCATTGCTAGAGGAGACCAGAGACAAATGCTTCATGCATGAAGGTCTCGCTCCAGTACTGCTGAGAGCGATGCGTGGGAAGGGAAGGGGCAGACCGGTTGGTAGGGTGGGTTTTGAAATGCAAAGCAAGTACAAGGTCTCCGTGGGCCCAGAGGGAGCTCTCATTCTAGTGTTGGAGAGGCCACAGTGCCTTCACATGGAACACTCATGGATCATTCATCTCCAGGTAAGGCGTGTGATGTGGGCCAAGGTAGGCCTGTGCATCAAGGAAATTCTCCCAGAGCAACACACCAGCTAGCTGGGATGAATTAGCCATCAGCTCTGAGCCCAGCCCAGTATTACAAATCCACATGCGGAAGCAATCTTGGCAGGTAGCACAAACACAGTATTTACCACGGGCTGCATGGAGAACCATGCGGCAGACTATACCCAGCAGGAGCCAGCAGGCCATAGGCAAGAGCCTCATCTAGCCCACAGCCTGTGCTGGTGACTCGAATCCCAACGGAGCTGTGTGCCCATCCCCACAGGGGCAGCGATGCCTGTGGCCTGCCAAGAAAAAATGCTTTCCTTCTGAGAAGAGCTTTACTCCTCTTCCCTCACCTCTCAGTGGCCTCAAAGGTTAGCTGAACTGAACCTAGCTCCCTTGTATTAAGGCCAAAAACACATATACATACATACATGAATAAATAAATAAATAAATAACAGCAGGAAACAAAGAAGAAAGGAAAATCAAAAACAAAACCAAACAAAAGGACATCGTGCCAGGCATGGTGGTACCATTTATCCCAACACTCTACAGGGGCAGAGGCAACTAGAGCTCTGTAAGTCTGAGGCCAAACTGTTCTACAAAGTGACCTCCAGGCCAGCCAGAGCTTACATTGACCCGGGGTGGAGGTGCGGGGGGCATTAAAAGGGAGAAGCACACATGGGTTCTCTAAGCAGTTACATGTGGCCACTGGCCAAATTCAGTCTTTTGAGCACTTTAGTCAAGAGCCCCCCAAGCAGGTTTTCGGCAGCACATAAGTGTTTGGACAGAGTGGCATTTCAGTGTTTAGTACTCGCGGAGGGGAGGGGACGGGACGGGAGGGGAGGAGGGGGAAGCCATTCCATCCACCCAAAGCTAAATTAGCTAACTGTTTTTCCTTTCTCCCTTGCAATAAGTAAGAGGGCTGATGCATTCAAAGCAACCAGGAGTTTAGTCTGAGATCTGACCTAATCAGTAGCGGCTGAAAGCAGAGGAGCAGGCGGGCACCGGTAGAGAGCGAGGCCGAAGGAGAGAAGGACAGGAAGGAGCAGGGGAAGCAAAAAAGAGGCAGGAAGGGAGAGGAGGGAGGCAGAGGGGCATGCGATTCTAGGAGGGAAGCAAGAGCTTCGAATGCCCGACGCCTAAGGTATTGTAAAGCAGGGCCCCGCAAAAGCAGCTCTGGGAAAAACCAGCAGGGCAAATTGCGTGGATGGCTACCACAGACCTTGCTGGGTATCACACTGGCACGGACTGCCCTAGACTGAATTTTTGTTCACGTGATTCTTAGAAAGTCAGTCTAAGCAATGTTTAAAAAAAAAAAAAAAAAACTAATTTTATTGCTGGGGTGTGGTGGTGTACTCCTTTCTTCCCAGCAGGCAGAGGCAGAGGGATCTCTGAGTTTGAGGCCAGCCTGGGCTACAGAGCGAGTTCCAGGACAACCAGGGCTACACAGAGAGACCCTGTCTTGAAAAAAACAACAACAACAATTATTTGCTTTACAATTTGATTTTTTTAAAGGTGGAAAAAAGATCTACCTCCCTTTTTAAAACTATATTTTGTCATCAGTGTGCACAAAAAAGAACAAGATGCCAGTACAGTACATCAGACCCCAGCCAAGAGTCCCTGGGACAAGTTAAAACCTGTTCTGACTGCACCAGACAAGGACATCACCACAGTGGAAACTCCCTGCTCTTCCTCCAAGGACACTACACCAGGTCTTGCTGCCAGGACACAGGTCTGAGGGTGCTGTCTGCCACTGCACGTTTGCTGAGCCATGGTACAGCTGATCCCAATACTGTAACCCTTCTCAACTGTCAAATCCATCACTCACACCCAGGAGATGCTTTTCTCCTGCAAGGCTTAGGTCACCTACTGTAGGCATCCAAGGAAGCAATTGGACTTCATTCTTGAGTAAACAAACTCCCCTGTAACTGGCATCTAGTTGCAGAAGAATATCTGATTGGCTTAGCACAAGTTAGGAGCATCCTGAGCAGCTTGTATCCTTTCGAGACCAGAGTGGTGCTGAGCATCACCTGCTGGCATTAGATTCCAGCTGCCAAAACCCCTGGTGGCTAACACTGGGGAACAAGCAAACAGGAAAATGCTCATCCTGTCTTAAAAAAGCAGAATGCTGAACCCCAGTGCTTAGAATACAACACAGGAGGAGGGATCTGAAGGGTCACCTTTGCGATGATGTTCGATACAGACATTAAAGATCCCCGTGGCAACAGTGAATGCTAGGCGGCTCATTTAACTTGCGTTTTGGCAGGCAGCCTACAAAAGGCCAGTGGGCAATCTATCAGCAGCTAGTTACGATCTACTTATTGTAGTAAAGCTGTCAGGCAGCAAGCACTCACCACAAGCCTCCTTCATGTTCATGCATTCTTTAGATTTAATATATACCTCACCACAGCCGCATGCCTATAATCCAGCTCTCGGGAGGCTGAGGCAGGAGGATTGAGTCCAAGGCCAGCCTGGGCTCCACAGTAAGACCCTGCCTGGAGGGGGGATGGAGGGAGGGGGAGGCAGCTATGGCGGTGGCGGCGACGGCGCCACATTAGCGCAGAAGCTTAAAAGGAGCCAGGCGACATGAGACAAGGCTAATGTAGCCACAAACACGTGGCATTTGCAACAAAAACACGTTACGCAGGACCGTGTCCCCAACCGCAGCCATTCCCAAGGCTCTTGGGGCATCAAATATGTTCAAAGACACCGAGAAGCAGACATAATAAAGGGTTCCTCCCCCAAAGGGGAGGGGAGGAAGAGATGCCCCTCCTGTGAGCTTGGCTCTCAGCCTGAAATGTGAGACTTCACCAGCGAGCTGCTGTGTCCCAAGCGCCCTAGCGCACAGGCTTGTTTGTGCACAGGCTTGCGCTGGCCGCAGAGGGCTTTGCTTCTTGTCTTCTACAATGCCCGACCCCCCCCCCAGCTGCCATCTCCTCACCCCCTCCCTCCCTCCCTCCCGGGGAAAGGAGGGGAGCCGCAGGCAGAGCAAGTTCCCACTGGGGACAATGGCTTCTTGTTCTCCCTCAACAAAGTCATTCTGGGGGCTCAGGTCTCATGGAGCAATGTGTGTAAAAGTCTACAAAAGCCTCACACCAGAAGACTGGGAACTGTCTGCAGGCATCACAGTGCCCTTCCAGTCCCCAGCGCTCTGCTTTGTAAACAACCAAGAAACGTCTCCTGCCCTGCTGATGGCAGCATCAAGCTCCACAGTAAACAAGGCCGCATCACTGTGTGGAGGGCAGAGCCCAGGCAGCCAGCCCCCGTCACTGCCTGGACAGGACCGTATTTGTGGTAAGGTAGAAAAAAATACAAAAGGTGCTATCTGACTCTTTGGGAAAGCAACTCTCAGGCCCACTGGGCCTTCTGTGAGGCCGCTTCTGGCTTCTTCTTCAGACAGACACAGATTACTTGGCCTGAGCCTCCCGCAGCATTGAGGGTCTGAAGGCAGAGGGGCTGTCCGACCACGCAGGGAGCTCATGCTGCAGGGGAGTCCTCCTGGGGTAGAAGGTGTGGTGGACATCGTAGTTCAGGAGACAGCTCAGAGATGCCATGTAGATGTCGGCGAACCTGGACAGGCGCCTCAGGAAGTAGGTAGGGTTCTGGTCTGTACGGAACAAGCTCCCAAACTGGGCATTGAAGAAACTTTTGGTCATTTCTCTGAAGTGTCAAGAAATAAAAACAAAGCAACAGAGAAAGGCTCTTTAGTGTTTCGTTTTTTAACTACTGAAGTAAAAATATCTTTAAAACAAGAAGTTAATGGAAAGAAAAAGAAACCAGTTAGCCAAGAGCAGACCTAATTACCAACCAAGAAAAACCGTGAGCCTGGCATGGGACCCACGCCTGTAACCTCAGCTCCAAGGGGCTGAGGCCTGAAGATCAGGAAGCCAGCCTGGGCTACACACTGAGACCCTGTCTTACAAAACAAAAAAACCACAAAACAGTATCTGTCAGGCCATGTCTCAAACAGTTGGTCACATTCCCCACTAACCCAGTTAAAACACTACTGGAAGGCTCCCATGTGGATCGCATGTTCCACATGCTGTTTTGGAGGTATTGAGACAAATAATTCTCCACATTCCTAGACCAAGAACTAAGCAAGGTACAGAAATGAAATACTGCAAATCTTTGAGTCTTCTCATGGAAGAATTACAGATTATTCCGTTAGTCACCACCTTCCACAACAGGCCTTCAAAGTGTGGGCACACTCCGTCCCAGCCTAGCCCAGAGCATCTTCAGTCTCCCAGGCCCAGGCAGTAGGTCTCTGCGACCAGACCTGTGCAGTCTCACCTCTGTCCATACCCCCACACATACGATATTCCAGCAAAATGGATTGATGCCATTTGACTTAAGCGGCATTGAATACAGCAAGTCTAACTCTGGACAACTGCGCATAAAAACCACCAGTAGTCAGCACTTGTCTGTTGTCACTGACGAATGACAGATGCAACAACCAAACGGCCACAGCTGTCAAAACCAACTAGGGAGTCGCAAGCCTTTAATCCCAGCACTCAGGAGGCAAAGGCAGGCGGATCTCTATGAACTCCAGACCAGCCTAGTCAAAAAAGCTACACAGAAAAACCCTGTCTCAAAAAATAAAAACAAACGAAAACACCCAACTAGGCTTCTTAACAGCATAAACGGTATTTAAACATGTCCTGCAGCACCCCACGGGGATGACAGAGGGGAGGGGCTGGATAGATGGTTCAGTGGTTAAGAACACTTTTTGTTTTGACAGACGACTCCCAACACCCACACGGCAGCCCGCAACTGTCCTTAACTCCAGTGATGCCTTCTTCTTACCTCCATGGGCACGAGGAACACATGAGGTGCACAGACTACATGTAAGCAAAACACCCCTACACATTAAAAAAATCTAAATAGAATAATAATAAAAGAAAGAAGAAAAACAAAGCACAAAGACGTGTGGCTGTTAGCTATGTGAAGCCAACAGGAAGTCTCTGGTAGGTGAAGGGCTTCCTTCACAAGCCATTCCAGGTCCCGATAGTGAGTAACCCTTGCACTGTGTACCCCAGGCCTTCGGAGACGGAGGCCCTGAAGTCAATCCCATCGACTCCTTTTCCCACTTTCCTCTACTCCACATTTTTATAGCAGAAGAATCGAGTCCGAATACGCCTGAGCCAGCCAACGAGCCGAGGAAGAGGCAGGGTGGGACTCATCCAGGCTTGGCTTCGGCAGCCTTCGACATCACTCGTCAAGCCAGGCTGCCACTGCTCAGGGACCAGAGCTCCAGAAAGCCTGTACCAGGCTATGCCAGGGCACAGGAACAACCACATATTGGAAAGAGTATGAAAGAATCCACCGTAGGGACGCACAGCTGCCACCAACGCTCCCCAAGGACACACTCTTTCTGGGCCAAGAAAAGCTAGGTGCACATCCCTGAAACAGCAGGCAGAGGATTCCTGTGTTCAGAACCCAGCCAAGCACAGTGCTGACAGCCAGCCATGTGTGCTGCCAGCTACCAACAGCTGGGCTCTAGTCAAGGCAGGGAGGGAGCAGAAGAAAACCCACCTCCCAAGGCTTTCAATGCAAGGACAGAGGACAGATGGAGAACACAGCTGGCTTTGAAGAAACGTCTGGCATCACCATCAACAGAGAACTGATCCTGGCTACTCAGAAGTCACCGTCACACCTGAGAGCTACAGTAGGGTGTTTCCCGATGTCACCTCAGATGCACAGAACACACCAAAGGTAGTGTAGGCATTCCCACGTGGTGAATATGACCATCTTACCTCATCTCCTTCCTCTCCTTTTTCCACTCCTGCAAAACCAGCTGTGACTCAGCATCTCTGTGGACCTGCCAGGACATAAAGCAACGGTTTCCAACAAACTCATCAGCAAGACAGTAAGAATTTCTTAATGGGCAACTTTTCCTGAAGCAATCCTAGCCCTTAAGTCTAATAGGCAGGCACTTGTGTGAAGTAATGCGTTTTCCCAAGTGAAACCCTGGCTTCTTGACACACAGACACAGAGAAGCTTCAGTTGTCTGTTATTAGAAGCCTGACTTAGGGCTGGAGATGGCTCAACAGAAAAAGACACCTGCCACCAGGCTTATCCCTGGTGGAAAGACAGAACCAACTCCTACCAGATGTCCTCTTACCTCACACAAATGAGGTGGCATGTGCGCGCGCACACACACACACACACACACACGGTTAAATCTAAGAACATGGCCTAACAATTAAGATGTAAAATTATGAAGACATAAAACTGTTACTGAAGGCTATGTCCAAACACAATGCATTTACACCCACATATGTATGGTAGGTGTGCTGACCCATTATACCCATGTCTTGTGTGATAAATACACATTACATGATACCCACTGCCCTTCCTCCCCGAGTAGCAACCCAATGGCTGAGAAGTGGGCGTGGTGTGCATGGCAGTGTATCCACTGATTCTAAGCCCACGACATCTGGAAATCAGCAGTGACATGTTTAACTTACAAGAGAACAGGACTCAGATGTCCTTAATTTTCATATCCCTGATGTCACATTAGCTTTGATGAAAAGGAAATGTGAGGGAGTTTCCTGATGAGTCAAATATGAGCAAATGGCTAAAAACAAGTGACAGACAACTCCCCACAAGCCAGTATGTGGGGACATCACCGAGGTTCTCACTGCTAAATAGCAACAGTGAAGCCAGAGTTAGGGCCGTCAAAGCTATACAGAGAAATCCTGTCTTGAAAACAACAACAACAACAAAAACAATAGCTTTAACAATATCTATAAACATTATTTAAAACTTATGAAGTCTTTATTTCCGAAATCTTCCATTTCATATTTTTTGACCACTTAACCGTAGACAACGAAAGTAAAAAAAACACAGAAATAAGACTGTCACAGAGTGTCAGCCCCACCAGGGAGCAAGCATTCCAGGGTGGGGCCGGAGCCCAGACCCAGGCATCACAAGGCCTGGAGCCGAGCCGCACTGTATCAGTTTATGACCTCGGACATGTCACTAACCTCTCACAACCCAGCCTCCTTATTCTACAGTGAGACACACACGGGACAGCTGTGGCTGAATGCTGTACACCATGCAAACCCTTGGCACAATGGCAGGCACATAAAGAACCACCACCAAGTGACAGACGCAGCCTCAGCAGCGTCAGGCCGGACCTGACAGCCAGTATTTTTAGAAAACCACCTCAGAGCAAAACAAACCCTGGTGAGAAAAGCCAAGAGCCAAGGTCTCAAGAGCCTCCCAGAACCCAGGCCTGGAGGACGTGCGGGGCCCCATGTACTGGAATGTGCACCCTGGGAGAGAGGACAGGTCTGCCCTGCCTCTCCCCAAAGCTTGGCAGCATAATCTGTGGGCAGCAGGCCATGACCAGAAGCTGCAGGTGTGCCAGCCAAGTGCGGCCGTCTGTGCCACTGAAAACTAGAAGCATCTTCACTCACATACACGGAGGAGCAGCACAAACGAAGAATACAGGTGGCTCATGAGACGGGGCGGGAAGAGCCCTGAAACACAGGGGCAACAGCTTGGGCTAGGAAATGAGTGTGACACAAGCATCCTGTCCTAACTGCCCCAAACTGGCTGCATGACTTGCCACTGAACTCGGGAAAACAGCTAATCACACTGCCGGCCACTGGAGGCTAACCCAGGGTCCCAACCTGCTTTGTGACTCTGGTGGCTACACTGGTGCGTTCGTTCCAAAAGACCCTTCATTTTACAGATGGGGGACTGAGGACCATGCAATGGAGTTCCGTGGTTATCCAAAGCATGGAGGGCGGCCCCGGACAACTAAGTGGGGACCAGTGGGCAGATTTGCACCAACTAAGGAACAAAATAGCACCTACCTTTAAGGCCCTGCAAAGGCTCCCAGGGACATTTGTAAAGGTCCCCTCAAGGGGAAAGAGCAAGACAACCACCAGCCAAGTCTATAGTCTGTGAGAACAACTTAAACCTTACACTTCATAATTACGCAGAAAATGCAGGACATCATTTCAACACAACTTTTTTTCTTGGTTTTTCAAGATAGGGTTTCTCTGTGTAGGTTTGTAAACGGCCAGCCTCTGCCTCCCAAGTGCTGGGATTAAAGGCGTGCGCCACCACCGCCCAGCCAGACATCATTTTCATCAGGAGCTATCTTTAGACTTAAAAGAAAAAAGAAAGAGAGAGAAAACACAAAGGCAATAGCAACACCCCAACCTGCATCTGCTCCAGGAGGCCAGTCAAGGTCTGCAGCCAGGTCATGGTCTGAATGTACTGCTCCGTGTTCATGATTCTGAGCTCTGACCGCAGTTCCGGGATGATCGCCCCAGTACGCCAGCCATGCTTCAGGGTCAGATCCTGATCACAAAGCCACAGGATGCCAAAATCAGTCCCCTCAGAGCCAAGTGTGTGTGTTACCTCTCCCAGACAAGGGAGGTAGGTATGGGCTCAGTCACTCTTTAATTGTAGCGATTACTTATTAACCAAGTTGAATGAGATGAGTTACACGTAATTAAAACCATTTGGCCTCAGGTTTTGACTACTTCACCCAGAGAGTCGCTGTTCTGGAAATAACAGCTAAGAATCACAGCTGCTTCGGAGACTGGGGGGAAAGTTGGGGTGCTGGTGGCATGGAACCCCTAACCATGGTCTGTGAGGTCAGACACAGGGAAAGGCCCAACCCAAATGCTCTAAATGGTCCTCAGTGGAGCTGGGTGAGGTACCCCCGAACTGTAGTACCCACCATCCAGCACTAAGTCAACATTTCCAGGGCAGCTTGAGCTACACCGTGAGATGCGGTCTCAAAACCACAAGGACTGGGAATGGAGATCTGTGGTAGAGCACTTGCCTAGCAAGCACAAGGCCCTGGGTTCAATCCCCAGCACTGGGCACTCATGGGGCGTGTCCTTTAGTCAATACTGCAGAACTTCCCAGACCTCTGGGGGACATCTAGCATGTTCCAGGACCTCTGGGCTACAGAACCTCGTCTGATGTGGGCAGATAATGCAAGCATACTTGAATGCATTCTTATTCCACATATCATAACCCCTTGAGTTCACGACAGGCCAAGGTATCAGTTTTGTTTTAAAAAAAAAATGACCATCCCAAGGGCTATGTGACGCCTTCTCCAGCCCCCCCCCCCTCCCCGCCAGAAGTGACAGCTGGCTAAGCACATCATGTGCCCTCTTGAAGCTTTTTGACATGTTGGTAAAAGGGAAAGAAAGGCTCCTGGCATTTAGTGCTTATAGTGTTTGCAAGGGAGGAGTTCTCTTATTAAATCTTTGAGTTCACTTCTAATTGCCATCATTTCAAAGAGCAAAATAAAAGCTATCTTTTCACAACTCTGATCTTTCCTGTTTTGTAAAATGAGACACGGAAAACTGTGACCACCTGACCACCCCACCCCCCCCACCCCCCCACCCCCCCACCCCCGGCCAGCTTCTAAGGAAAGCATAAAGATTATGTCACAGGAAAGAGAAGCCCTACTAGGTGTAAGAACATGGCAGTCCCCACCGAGGAACACGGATCCTCACCGCCAGGTCACTGTATATGTGGTCACCAAAATACAGCACTCTGGAGCCTCTCCATCCAGTGAGCTTCAAAAATTCATACAAATTACCCTGCAATAAAACAAGAGCATAGGTCATTACAGGTCAGAAACCTAGTACCCCATAGTCTACGACACCCATGCTTTAAAACTTACAAAAACTGTGCTTAACTCTCATGATTTGTTGTAAATATCAATATGTAAAGCTAAAAGCACACCCATGGAAAATCTTTTAGACGTTCTTTGATGCCAAAATGTACTCTGAACAAAATTTCACAGTCAGGTCTGATGGCACAGGACTTTAGTCCCAGACCTCAGGAGACTGAGTTAGGAGGATCTCTGTGAGTTGAAGACCAGCCTGGTCGACATATCCCAGGCTAGCCAGGACTACACAGTGAGACTGTCGCAAAAACAACATTGCAGAGTACATAAGTCCCTTTTCTGAGAACATCATTCCATATAAGTGACTTTTAATGTTGTTGTGATTACCACAATTGATTCCTTCTGCCTGTGCCCTGGCAGGGGGTAGTCATGGCATCACCATTCTGAAAACATTCTTACAGGGAGTTTTATTGGCCACATCTAAATCTTCTAAGTTGTTAGAAGTAAAATGCCTGAATTAAAACTAATTTTTCAAGGCCTAGAGAACACACCCAACGTTAAATCTAGCAGGGTATCACAAACACACCAAGAATGTCCCGTAAAGAAAACAACTCCAGTAACGTAAAAACAGTCAGCATAGCCCAATCTCCTGACAGCCTTATATGATGATGTCAAAGTGTTTAAAACTGCACAGAAACTGTCTCTCAGCAGGAATATGTTGGAGGAATAATAGACCAAGATCAATGCTCCTCAGAGAGAAATCTCTAGGGTTTACAACTGACCCAACATTTTACAGAGGAAAATACTTTCAGAAACAGTCACCATTGAGGTCAGGGGAATACCAGCATACTGAAACTACCCTGATGTGGCCTAAGTTTTACCATCTAATTATAAGCAGCCAGTCAGGGGCGGATGGTCCCGAGCGCCTGGACGGTCTCAGCACTGGCAGCCCTGTGGGTACAACGGGGACACAGATACCTGCTTGTAGATCTGCCCTTTCTGGAGCTTGTGGATTTTATCCCAGAGCAAGACGCCTTTCTCGTTCACCTTCCGGAAAGGTCTAACAACAGAGAAGGACAACACTACTAGAACATGTGGTAATAGTAAAGACTGTCCACTCCACAAAATACTAAACAAGGACGTGAAGCGGCTCTTGAACCCCAAAACTCACTGCATTCTCTGGCTCCAATTCCATATTGTGCAGACCCCACCACAAACCTAGCACCCCCAAGTAGGTAATGAAGAATAAGGGGGAAAAAAAGAATTCTAGGGTTTCCCTTGGCAAGTTTCCCTAGGGCACTTGGCAGTGCAGAGAGCATCTACTTCACAAGGGAAGCCTACAGGGACCCTGCTGCCACCCCGTGTCTGACGCCAGGCGGCGGGCAGGGGCACTGGCTATGACGGGGCTGGAGGTAGCCCCACCCCTCACCCGAGGCATCCCCCACCCGTGGGACTCGGGGGGCCCTTTGTGAGTAATTGCTGCTCCAGTCACAGAAATAGAAGCTCGCTGTAGGTATCAAAACCCAGTTTCCCTTTTCTGAGGAACATGACGGTCTTAGTACACTTTTATTTCTATCTCCCTTCTTTTAATCCTGTCAGCAATCTCTCGTGTGGTGTGACGTCATAGTCTTAGACACACTGGCAGTAAGACATGCCGGCTGCTTTTACTCGCCAAATTCGTCACCTTTAAGGGCTGCTTAACATTTCCTCACATGGCTATTCTGAATTAACGAGTCATCCTCAACCGTTGGGCTTTTATAAATAACAGAAGAAATGGGAATGTCTCAGCTGTTGTTGCAGACATTCAGAATAAGGGGAAAAGGCTTGCTATATTGAGAGTCTCTCCCAGGAAGAGCCAGGGCCCTGACCCCTCCACTATGGACCAACAGTCAGAAAAGCTTGGGTGAAGGGAGGCTCCGCTTTCACAGGAATCTAAGAACTCAAGGCCCTGGCCTCCACCTCATTCTCTACGCTTGGTTTGGGGCTTTGCCATGACGACTCCTAGGACCCTGGAACTTAGCATCCCCAAAGGAATGTACACATGCTACACTAACTTCAGGTGCCACATTAGGGTCCTTGGAACTACCACAGGAAAGGCTGCTGGTCACCAACCACAGACCAGGAAGGTCTGAGAAACCCTTCCCAAACTAGGCCATTAGACAGGGAGAAGCTATACGTAGAATACTATCCCAAGAATCCTCAGCAACGTGGGTCTCTAGGAGTGGGGGCCACCTACTCTGTCTCCAGGTTAAATGACATTTTAACTCTCTCGTGCTGACCACAACTTCTCTTCACCCCCTCCCCCAAGCTCTGGAGGCAGGAGGACATTACATAAGATATGGCTGAGCCTTGTACTGACGGCAGAGAGTTCTGCAAACTCCAGTTGCAATTTTAAATGCACCAATTTAGCTTTATTTCAAGAAATGCCACCAGGCAGCCTGGCACCAGTGGGGTGGGGGAGGGGGGCTCTCTTATACTTCTCAAGGCGTCCAGAGCCAGAGGCTTACTTTACTGCGTGCTATTAATCCTTGTTCTCCATGGTAGTCTATCAGCTCTTAAAGGCCGACTCTGATGTCCACAGCAGGCCACACTGAACGGAGAATGCTGTGTATGTGGACGTGCCACCTTGCCCAAAGCTGAGTGTTAGACAGGTTACACAGCAGAAGCTGTGTCTTAGATGCTTACGATTCTGCGACAGGATTGCACTAAAGCAATGCTGTGTATTCACAGCATTGCACTCCAGTCCCCCGCACCTGGGCCTCACCTCCGCTTGTCATTGAAGAAGTTCGGTTTCTCGGCCTGAACTATGACCACATCGAACAGGTCCCGCCAGTCCTTCCCCACAATATAGTGCATGCCTTTGTCCCTGGAACAGGGCAGACAGGTGAGCTGACGTCAAAGGCACAAACTTTTTAAATTTCTTGCACACTATTTCTTTCCAGCTGCGGAGACGGATGGCGTTTGAGCCATGAGCCAGCTGCTGGTTGCGGGACGGGACTTACACAAAGCTGCTGGGGCTGTTGGTGATGAGGAACATCTTCTTGCCGTGGGCGGCCAATTTAGCCAGCACCGCCCGGGTCTGCTCGGCGTAACAGATGTACTTCTCTAAGAATAAGGGAAAAGTTCACAGGGTCGGGATGATAGCAGTGTCCTAGGCACAGTGGGAAACTCAAGTCCAAGAGAGGTTGTCTCAGGGAAGCAGTGAGCGCCCAGTGTACTGGAAACAAAGACACACACACACACACCACTGACGGGGGTGGTGTGTGCAGCTGCCATCACCTCTCAGAATTAGGCTGACAGGCACCAGATTCTAGAACAGAGAGGAGACATCTTCACTGCCAGGTTCCGGGTCCTTAAACAATACCCAGAAGACACCTGTGGTCCCTGCTCAGCCCCTGGGGTGTGGCGTTTAAACGCCCACACAGCGTGCTGCAAACGCAGCTGAGTACGTACCAATGTCTGCCTCGATGGCTCGGTACATTATTCCTTTGATGTGAACGTCCCTGATGGAGTCCTGTCAAAAGGCAGGTTTGTCATCAGTAAAAAGGGGGCTGGAGTCAGCCCCAATGAAAGAGAAAGCATCAGCACTCACTTCTCTCTGAGGAGCCTGCCAGCCCCCAGCCCTGCACATCTCCACACTAGCCCATTGAGCCCAGGTGACACTTTAGGAAAAGCTTGTGTTTCCACGGTGACAAAGGCGGTTGCCAATGCCATTTCCAAAAGCCTCATTTCAAAACGTCATTGGTGCAATTCTGAAGCCCCACGTGACAAACAGTAGTTTACATGCAGGGCGGTGAACAAGTAAATGGCAGACAACTTGCAAGAAGCGGTCCCTGGCCTGCACCTCTCCCCACCTCTCGATGCACACAGTTCTGTAAGGCAAGTCAGAGGCGGAGGGACAAGAAAGACACCCCCTCTCTGGATGCTACCAATAGGGCAAAAACTGCCCAAGTGTCTGTCCCCAGGCAGCAACAGGTCCAACTGGCAGATGCAAGAAAGAGGAAGACAGAGAGTCCATTGTAGGCTCAGGGCTATGCCAGCATGGCCTCGCTAACTGTCACTGCAGAGTTCCGCTCGTGGGGTTGGGGACTGGAGCAGGCCCTTTGCAGGGCCATGGAGCAGGGGCATACATCTTCCGCTATTGGTGGACTTCTGTTAGAGTGGGTCACTCTGAGCTACTACCTTAATCTCAACGACCTTGAGCATAAGCCTGTTCTAATTCTATACAACACAGAAGCTAAAACTGCCTGGATTAAAAATCTAGGCTCTACCATTTACTAGCTGTGTGACCATGGGAAGACACTCAAACTCCCCATGTCTTGGGGGTCTTCAAATTGGGAGTGATGATAACAGTAATATTTACCTCCAGGCACCAATTCGAAGGTGTAGTGAGTTAATATAAGACCCCCAAAACAGAGACTAGAACATCATAAAGTCTACATAAGTGCTTGCTATAGTGAAAACTCATCCTTCATATAAACATTTCTCCTCTGTTACAAATGAGTCCTAAATATGGCATGTCTGTATGCAGAATAGGAGAATTAAAAATAAACATTCAAAATTAGACCACTTCTTATCCAAGTGATGCTGAGAAACTACAATGCATCCTTCACCTCTAAAACCCAGAAATCAAGACGATCAAAAATTTACACTGGGTTTGGGAACTGGACAGACAGCTCATTGGGTTAAGAGCACTGGTTTCTCTCCCAGGGAGCCGTGGTTTAATTCCTAATACCCACATATACATCATAATACACACATATACGTGCATGCGTGCTAGGTACAATGATGCCTTTGATCCTGGCACTAGGGAGGCAGACACTAAGTAGGTCTCTCTGTGAGTTCAAAGCCAGCCTGATCTACATAACAAGTACCAGGACAGTCAGGGCAACATAGAGAGAGACCAAGTCTTAAAAAAAAAATTGGGGTTATAATAAATAAATGAAATGAAATTATTGTTTCAAAACACACATGTATATATTTTTAATAACCACATTTCCAAGTAATTAACATTGTTTGAAATATTAACACATACATGCAAGTTATTGTACTGTTTTACATGTTATTTAGACCCCTAACGTCATGATAGACAAGTGCTAAATGAAAATAAATACAATAAAAAATAAATAAACATTTTAAAGAAAACTAGATTATATTTTAAAAATGTGAAAGTACTCTACTATTTTCTAGTTATTGAGAAAACTGACCCAACTTAACACATATAACTCTATAAACACAGTCCCTCACAGACACCGGTGGCCCCACAGAAGGGCCCCACCTAGACAGAGCTGGCCTTCTCTGGGAAGGCCCGGAGCCACCGCCCTGAAGTGGCCCTGCCCTCTGCACTCACCTTGACGTCTTTGTACAGATGCACGGGCTCATAGTCAATGTTGTTCTTCAGGAAGTGCTCGTTCACACAGGACAGCAGGGTCATCTCAGGCAGAGAGAAGATATCCATGAACTGCTTCATGGTGTTTCCGTGAGAACTCTGCAGGCCACATCACAAGGTGACAAGCAGCAAGAGGCTGCCAGGGGCTTCCAGAAATCCACACTTGTGCTGTAGCACCCGCCACACACACACACACACACACACACACACACACACGCAAACACACAGACACACGCACACGTGCACACACACATGCACACATGCACACACACATACACACGCAAACACAGACACACACACACACATACACACGCACACATAGGTGCGCACACACATATACACACACATACACACGCAAACGTGCACACACACATGCATGCACACACACACACACAGTCGAGCCCAGCACTTAAGTTCCTTTAGCTATAAGTACCCCCTCCCCAAAAGAGCACTTGGCTCTTATCAGCCTGTGCTTTTGAGAAGTAATTGGACCACAGGCTGGTTAACACCATCGGCAGGTTAATCTCTTGACTAACTCACAGCTGACTATTAAGAAGTAGGGCCCAGCTCCAGGAAGCAGGTGTATCTCAGCCCCTAAGCCCTTCTCTTTCTCCCCCTCAGCTTCCCCCTTTCCTCCATCCCTCCCTTCTAAACGATGTGCTGCCTCACCACAGCCCCAGAAGCATCAGAGCCATGATCTCTGAAACCAGAAGCCGAGCTACGTCCTTCCTTCCCTGAGACGTTTTCCAGCCATAAAACTGCCGGTTAAAGACTCAGGGGCTCTCCTTACCTTTCCATAAAAGTCACTCATCTGCTCCAAGGGCACGTGGGATCCCTCATACATGTCGATGACTTCTTCATCGGGGACAACACTGAGGCCTCTGGAAGAAAAAATACAGATGGTGTCATCATGCTGCTCAACTACAGAGAGCAACTTCTGACTTCTCTGCACTGGCGGGGCTTTCCCACTATGGCAGGAGACATGGCAGCCGCTAGAGCTAGCAGGCAGGATGTTACTGCTAGATCTCTGTCAGAAACAAGAACCAGATTTACAGCAAAAACTAATCCTACATGACATCTCCAATGTGCCAAAGCGGATTTCACCCGAGCACCCGGCTACCTGTGAGCTGTCCTTGGAGTTAGTTACTCTTCTTCCCACAGGAATGGTCACTTGCTTGCCTCTAAGTTAGCAAAAGTAGGAAGCATCACATCAGGGTTAAATAAATCCAGGCTCTCCACAGCTCTCAACCCTGTGATGCCAGGCTTCCCAAGGCCTTGCTCTGGGTGGAGAATTTCACACATTTGAGCAGAGTAAGGCTTGTCTCAGTGTCTAATTCATTCTTCCTGCGTTAGTGTCCCCTGCATGGAGTGCTGAGGCTAAATGGATTAAACTCATGCCCTAGGGCAGGAAACTCAGTGAGAGGAGGCTATGTGATGTAGAGCCACCTTCCATCTGTGCACACCCCTTATCTGCTTGCCCTGGCAAATTAATCCAGTTCCTGCATATCTAGGGGAAAGGTCATTCTGGCCTCTGCCACCAGCAAACTGAGCAAGTGTCTCGTGCTCACCTGGAGCTGCTCATCCCAGAGGGCTGCTCTGCCACCCTTCTCCAGGGTGAGCACTCCAGGGACAGGACCAGTACTTAGGAAACTGCAGGGGACCCCGCAACCTTCCTCAGGGGCAAGTCAGTCAGCACAAGTTCCAACAAGCTGCTTAGGTACAAAGCAACCCGACAGTAAGACGCACACAGGAAGTAGTTTGTGCTCTGACGGTGATGTCCAGTCTCCACTCCCCATAGTAGGGTTAAAAGCACCCAGTACATTCCAGACATTTTCACTGACTGATCTGTCTGTTACAACTCCTAGCCTTTGAGAACAAAGAACAGTGTGCTCCAGCAATCAGATAAGGTCTGGGAACAAACCGGATCCTTCTAGACTGACCTAGGAGAACAGCTCTTGCAAAGCAGCGTCGGCAGAACCACAGGAGAAAAGAGAGCAAGGAAAAAGCAAACTCATGAGGTAAGAGTCGATCTCTGTCTCGGCCTCTCTCTCTCTCTCTCTCTCTCTCTCTCTCTCTCTCTCTCTCTCTCACACACACACACACACACACACACACACACACACACACACACACACACACCAGACCTACTATGGCATTTAAATTATTGGAAAGTACTCATGTATGACACATGACATTTTGAAAAAGCAGAGACACCTGGGCGGAAAAAGAAGCAAATAAAAGTGCAGTTATTACGTTTAAGGAAGGACAACCAGCAAACACGGTACAAGGAAGGGAGTGGAGGTGTGCATGTCTGCCTGTGAGTCCACAGGGTGAGGCCTACAGAGTCTGCACAAGGGTGACGACTGTAACAACCAGCTGAGGTCTCGTGAGGCAGGAGCAGACTGGAGCAGACGGGGGCAGACAGAGCCCAAAAGCTAAATCCTCAACTGCCTCAGCAGCGGCAAAGTCAGCGTCGGTATCTAACAAATCAAGAAACACGACCACACTGCCGGGGAATTATGTGTACATGCCTGTAGACATGTAGACATGTGCACGCTGAAGAAAATGGAGCCCTCAGTGCTGGGGTGCGGAGGCGGGGTCCAGGGCTGCCACCCTGCACCTGCAGACCTGCTTTACTCTGATAGAAAAAGTTACCAGAGTTTATGAGACAACATCTAAACTATAGCACGCGTGCCTTTTAAAGTGTAGGACACAAACTGAGACCACCCCGACCACTCCCTGAGCCCCTCCCCAGTAGACAATGTCAACATCTAAAACCCTTCATTCTAAGCCAGAGATGTCTACGAGCTCTGATAAAGAAGAAAAGGAGTCAATATCTGACCCCCTAATCCTCACAGAGAATGAGATGCTCCCTCACCCCGGCAGCCCCTACCAGAACCCTCCCTCCCTCAGTGTCCCAACCAGCCACCTCCCAATGGCTCCGCCCACAGCTTGAGGGCATGCGTGCCCTCCACACCTGCCACTCTGGGCTGCAGGGGCACAGCTGTGTAGCTTCTCAGCCACGCTCGAGTTCCTGAAGGCATTCCTGCAGCCAAACCCGCAGCGTCAGCATGCACCAGGCCTCGGCGTATATTCCTGAACACGTGAATGGGTGAGCTAAACCCTCAGCATGCACCAGGCCTCTCGTGTTCCTGACCAACTGAGTGTGAGCAGAGCATGGAGGATCCACGCAGAGCCACTCCCCTCATCCCTGGTCAGTTATCGGGGCCTGAAATGCAAACCCTAGGCTACACCTGTGAGGGCGAGGCCACTGACTCTTACCTGTAGACGGTTCCCATCTGGATGTAATGAAAAGCATCGATCTTCATCAACACTGCCTTTAGAAACATAAACACATGCACGCGTGTGAACAACAGTTTGCAGACAAAAGGAACAATCCATCCAAGGGTTGTTATAACCCTGTCAATATTACATCCCCCTAACTCAGTGGTTCTCAACCTTCCTTCTGCTGCCACCAACCATAAATGTACCCTTTGTACTTCAGAACTGTAGCCTTGCTATTGTTGTGAATTCTAACATAAATATCTGTGTTTTCTCATGGTCTTAGGGTAACCCCTGTGAAAGGGTCGTTCGGCCCCCAAAGGAGTCACGGCCCACAGGTTGAGAACCACTGCATGACGGTTTCCAAAAGCCTCGCCTACTAACTGGGGAGCCTTTTAAGGAAATGGCATGTGAGCAAAAGTGAAGGGAAAGAAAGTAGGGCAGCGGGCTCCCCCTCCAGCATGGCCAGGGTTAGCCACTCCCAAACAGCGCCTGGAATGCACACCTTCTTCCTAAGGCTCTTCCAACTGGCTCTACCGAATGAATTTGAGTAATTTGGTTCTGCAACCCCACAGAACTCCATCCCAAAGCACTAGCCAAGGGAAAAGCACCAGCAGTTCTATGAGGTAGCATTTTATGTCCAGCACCATGAAACCACAGAAAAACGGGAGCTCAAACTCACCCGCTGCACGTCATAGTGGAGTCCACGGATGGCGAAGTTTGGGTCATACTCATACTTCCTGATCTCTGCAGGGTACTGAGAGAGAACAGAGGGCATATGGCTAAGTGAACCATGGAAGAAGAGGACGGGCGTGGCGGAGGCTCCTAGGATCAAAGCACCTGGGAAACTGAGGCAGAAGGATCAGGAGTTCAAGGTTATTCTCAACTACACACCCAGTTCAAGGCTAGCCTGGGCTACCTGAGTCCCTTCTCAAAAAGAAAAAAGAAAGAAAAGAAAGCATTAAGTTCAGGACGGGCACAGATCTGCCCTGTACAAAAGCTCCAAAGTCCTTACACATTGGTAAGAAAATGACACCAACAGGGACAGACCACAACTTGGTCCTGTTTCTCCATCCTGCCCTGGGTCCTGTTAGTCCAGGCTGAGGTAAGGCCTCATCCCCTTGAATCCTAATTCCTCAATGGTCAACCCTAACGGGCGACCTAATAGGATCTGGTACCACCATGGAGACAAGCTTCTGGGCGTGTCTGAGGAGCTTCTAGATTGGGTTCACGGAGGAGCTAAGATCACCCTAGACATGGGCAGCACCATTCCACCGTGGTGAATAGAGAAAGTGGACTGGGCACCAGTATGTGGAATATTCCTGTACACTGTGCAAATACATGTTGTTGTGATTCGTTTTAATAAAGAAGCTGACTGGCCAATGGTCGGACAGGATAAGGTTAGGCAGGAGAGCCAAACTGAGGATGCTGGGAAGCAGGGCAGAGTCAGAGTCCGCAGCAGGCAAAGAGAAGTAAGATGGGCACGCCATACTGGGAAAAGGTACCAAGCCACATGGCAAAACATAGACAAGAAAATATGGATTAATTTAAATGTAAGAGGTAGCTAGTAACAAGCCTGAGCTATTGGCTGAGCACTTACAGTTAATACTAAACCTCTGTGTGGTTACTTGGGAGAGGCTTGCAGGACAGAAACTTCCACCCACACCAGCATTTCTTGCTGCTTTCTGATGTAATGTGACAGATGTAATGTGACCAGGTTGCGCCCACCCCCTCACCCCCCCACCCCCGTCTTGCTTCAAAGATGTCTCTGCCGTGATGGACTGTGCCCTCAGACTGGAAGCCAAAATAAACCCTCTCTTCCTTGTTTTTGTCAACAAGGCTTCCTCGGAATCCAGATGAGGTCTTTTCATGGAGCCTCCTTATCACAGTTCTCACCCGACTGTGCATGCTGGGGAGCCCCACAGTCCTGTCCCAGGGAATATTCTCGGCTGTGGCTTCCTTCCCTTTCCGCTGTCCTGAGAACACGCAGAGCTTTTGGGGACGGCCTGGTCCCTGCTAAGCACATATCCAGTCCCTCCTCCATACTGCATGAGGACCCAGGCACTTCCTCCCCTCAAACCCAGAACTGAGGGTGCCCACCTACCAGCGCCTGCTGCCTGTAGTGGCTGCCATGCCCATTTTACAGACATAAAAGCTAGACAGGCATCAAGATGCCCAGCGAGCCTGCCAAGCCACACTGCTTCCTGGAACCACCAGGCACGGCCCGCCTGGAGGCACATGGCAAGTTTTCAGGTTGGGCTGCACAAAGAACTGACTTGAATGTCACATTTGGGCTCATTTATCTTACACCTGTGTGTGTGCCAAGAAATCCCCAACCTGATATTTCTCCTCGTGGGTGTTCTCAAGGCTTCTGAACACCATGTACACTCTGCATATTTACTGAGACACTTGCCACAGCCCACACCAAACCAGCCATATTGATGTGGTTCTGCTCTGGAAGGAAGGCCAGGACGGCAGCGCCCCTGAAGTCCCCTCTAGCCCGGGATGGGGTCGGGAAGATGTGCTCAAGAGTCATGAGCATCTCTCAACCGCACTGCGCTAACCTCACTGCCCAGCATGAGGGAGACAGCACCTCCTGCCTGCTTAGGGTTCAGAGTCTGAAGGCCAGAGTCAAGGACCTGTCCAGGGTCACAAGGCTGCACACTGGCTGAGCCAGCACTGGAACCTGGATCTGAGTCACATCCAGGTTGGCCTCTAACCCACTTAACCCATTCTGAACCAGCCTAGCAGCCCTGCCTTCATTAGGGTCCCTCTTGCTACATAAAACACCACGACCAAAAGCGACACGGAGAGGAAAGGGTTTATTCCAGCTTATAACTCTCAGGGAAGTCGGGGCAGGGTTTCAAGGCAGGAACTAAAGCAAAGGTCATGAGGAAGGCTGCTTACTGGCTTGCTTGTCCATAGCTTGCTCAGCCTGTTTTGTTATAGCATCCAGAGGTGGAACCCAGATCCAAAGGCTGGGCCCTCCAGCATCAATCAGTAATCAAGAAAAGCCCTTCAGGCTTGCCTACAGGCAACCTCATAGAGGCGTTTTCTCAACCGGGTTTCCTCTTCCCAGAGAACTCTTAGCTGTGTCAAGTTGACAAAAAAACTAACCAGGACAGGCCCTCTCCTGGAGGCTTGCTGCTCCCCTGTGAACTCAGAAGACCAGCAGCTGGCCAGAAGTATTTCCAGCTGGTCAAAAACATGGCCAATGGCCTTGACGACAAGCAGAAACAGCTGAGCCTCAGCAGGACGATGGCTTCAGGAGGGACATGAGCATCCTGATAAAGCCCAAGGCTTCCCTGTACAGAGCAGCCCCTGCAGCATTAACACTTCAGTGTGACAGAGGACTTGGGCAGCCCCCATACATGGGTAATTTCTGCAGCCCTGGAGCCTGGCTGAGTTCCACCTTTGTGACTAACTGCAGTTCTCTGAACGGCGAATAATTTCTACAACGCCACTGAGGGTTTCAGAATGCCTGCAAAGGGCTTTTCAAAGCTTTCAGTCATTTCATGTGGTTTGAATTATGAGTCCAACTGAAAACAAAGTTCGTTCAAACCTCACAAAAGGGAAGCAAAGACAGCCCAGCCTCTACAGCATGCTGGCCCCAAACAAAGCCTGACACGCTCACCCATCCACAGAGTTCGTGCATCCACTGAGCACATACCCTGTGTCGAGGGATGTGCCGGGGCTGAGAAATGCTACAGAGAACACAAGGCACAGGGCCTGTCCCCAGGAAGTTCCACTCTGCACTGGCAGGCCGATTAGAAACCCATTTTCAGGAATGGAAAGAGGGACAGCTTAGGGGAGTGTCCATTGCTCTTACATTTATTTATTTTAAAATAAGTAAGAAAAAAAATAGAGGACTGTGGAGACAAGTTCGGTTCAGTCAGTTCCCAGAACAACCACCTGTAGCTCCAGCTCCAAGGAATCCAATGCCCTCTTCTAGCCACCCTGGACACCCACTCGGGTGTGCAGAGACACACAGATACATAAAAATAAAAAATAAAACACATCATTTTTAAAAAAGACTCGCTTGCTATCAAGTGGAGAACAAACTCGGGGGCTCAGAGTGGCGCCTGCCCAGACTGCAGCAGTGGCCTCAGGAGAGGTAAAAGGTGTGTGGGAGCAGGGGGTGGTGGCACACACCTTCGATTTCAGGCAGTGAGCTCTGAGTCTGAGGCCAGCCTGGTCTACAGCGTGAGTTCCGGGACAGCCTGGGCTACACAGGGAAACGCTGTCTTGGGAGTGGGAGAGCTCGCAGGCAGAGTGGCCACCACGATGCAGGACAGCAGGAACGTGGGTATGAAGAGTCACCGTGCGGTGAGAAGCCCAAACATCCATCCCTCAGCGGTGACATGTCTCCTGTGGTGATGACGACCACTCTTGGCCTCTGAACTCTTCCCCTCAGATCCCATAACCCAGCGCCACCATTAGAAAACCAACAAACAAACCAGGAGAGACCCTCTGCAGAGAATTTAAAAATAAGTAAAACAAAATAATAAAAATGAGCAGCCAGACATGGTGGTGCATGCCTATACTCCCTGTGGGCAGTTTTTCTGTCCCACCAGGTCCCACAACCACTCAGCCCCAATTAAACACACACAGACATACATTATTTATAAACTGTTTGACCGATGGCTTAGACTTCTTACTGACTGGTTCTCTCTTAATTATTAACCCACTTTCATTAATCTAAGTATTTCCACATGGTCCCATCTTATCAGAGAATGCCTGTCCTATCTTTCCATGGTGTCCTCTCCCTGAGTCCTCTCCCAGTCCCCTCTCATAGCCCTGGCTAGCCTTCCTGCCTGGATACTGGCCAATCAGTGTTTTATTCGTCAACCAATAAGAGAAACACATATACAGAAGCACATTCCCCATCAACTCCTAACACTGGGGAGGCAGAGACCGGGGGTCACTTGCCCGGCCAACCTAGCCTCATGGGTGAGCTCAGGACCCGTGAGAGACCCAATGTCTAAAATATGGTGGAGAGCCTGGGATGCAGCTCATTGCTAAGAATGCTTGCCTGAGCTCAGTTCCAGCATCCACGAAACTGGGTGTGATGGATGGCACACACCTGTAATCCCAGCATCCTGAAACTGGGTGTGATGGATGGCACACACCTGTAATCCCAGCATCCTGAAACTGGGTGTGATGGCATACTCCTATAATCTCAGCACTTTGGGCACGGAGGCAGGAAGATCAGAAGTTTGAGGCTGGGTGGTGACCATTGGGGGTTCGAATGAGAAGGCCCCCAACAAGCTCATACATTGAATGCTTGGTTCCCAGTTGGTGGACGATGTAGGTAGGATTAGGAGGCTTGTTGGAGAAGGTTTGTCAATGGGGCAGGACTTTGAGGTTTCAAAAGCTCATGCCAGGCCCAGTGTGCCAGAGAGAGAGTGTATGTGCACGTGCATGCATGCACACGTACACCATGTAGACTTGAGTGCACATGTGCATGCCTGCCTGCCTGCCTGCAAATCAGGATGTAAAGCTCTCAGCTACTGCCCCCGCACCATGCCCGCCTGTTTCTATCAGAGTTGCCTTGATCATGATGGTGACTCTTGACAGCAAATAGTGACTACGATAGCCCCCCCCCCAAAACATAAAAGTAAGGTGGACAGCATTCCAGAGAACAACTCAGGCTATCTCAGCGTGCTCACACTCACACACACAAGACAGCCACACAGGCGTGAGATCAGAAGATGACATCCCTACTGCTCGTTAATAGACATGAAATGAAAATACAGGGTTATCGCTCATTTTTTATTTCTATCTTTATGAAAAATTATTGGCTTTTTTTAAAAGTATTTTTAAAGGAGCTGAGTGTTTTATGTTTGCTTTCTGAAAGGGGTCTAAATTTCAAACTGACTGGTTTACCACCAAGTATCCCAAATGCAGACGTCTTCCCAGCCCTGTGAGCTCACAAGGTTTTGGTAGGAAGAACAACCCAGAACTAACTCAACACTTCTTGGAAGAAGTACTTGTCTAATCAGAACAAGAGAAAAATCTGCATCACTGGCTCTATTAATATGCCTGAGATATAACTGGTATTATAATGATTCTTTTATCAAAGCAACAAATGGATATAATGAGATTTCAATAATCTCCAATTTAGTAGCTTTTCAATCATCATTCCACCTTCTACTTTATGCTCCCAGATTTCATAAGATTTATGCTCATAAGTTATGGTTTGTGCGAATATTTCAGTTTCCATGTCAACGACAAAAACCCCAGGGCAAAACTGCATTCAAGCTGTGAAGGGCAACATGGAGAACATGAAGGGCAACAGAGAAGAAGTCTCTGACCAGACAGCCTGAGCGTAGCTATTGTGCGTCCTGCTTCCTGTGGTCTCGAAGACAGAGAACAGAAGCAGGCAGGCTGTGTGGATGAGGAGTAGCGATACTGGCAATAGTTCTTGCTGGGTGTCTTCTAGACACCCACAGTGTCTACAACACAGCAGAGACTTGATGACCACAACACCCAAAGGGAGATCGTGTTATTAAACCGCTTTCTAGAGGAAACCAAATCCAGAGACCCACTGGATGAGTGGGTCTGGACCACAAAGGAAGCTATGCAAGCAATCGGCTGGAGAGCAGGCGCTTTTAGCACTCGGCCAGAAGTGGGGGACAGTACAGACAGGACCCTGGGTTCCAAGTGACCGCAAGCTCAGAGCACACTGCAGCTGGCTGGCACAAAGGCAGAAGCCATTCCGAGCCTTCCCCTAGTGCCCGCTAAGGGACACTGGCAGAGTTGCCTGGTTTCTCATGCCTGTTCCCTTTGGAGTAGAACAAACAACTGATAAAACAGAAGAGTGCTGCTGCTCCGGCTTGGTGACAAGAAAAAAGGACATCTCTGCCATTTCTACACTATGGATCAGGGCAGCGTAACTGCTTAAATCCTCTGAGAAATAAAAGCAGAAAATAAACTGCACCCAATGTTTAGGATCTAAACTACAGGGAACCAGATAGTCTAGCCTAATTGGTGAGCTCCCATCCAATCAGAGACCCTGTCTTAAAAGAGATGAATAACACTCCTGAGGATGACACCCAAGGTTGTTCTGATTCCCACTTACACACACACTTACATACATCCATGCACCTGCACACATGGATGTTCATGCATGCATGTGCATGCACACACACACACACACACACGCACGCACGCACGCATACATACAACCAGGTTCTAGATAAGGAAGAGTCACTTGGAAAATTGGAATGAACCGAAACTCTCTCGGTCCTCCATAGTCACTCACTACAGGACTTCTTACATGTGCAGGGCCTGGCATGGTTGTGCAAGGCTGTTTACTCTGCAGACATCAAAGGGGTCAAAGGGGAACAGGACAGGTGGTCTCCATGGCCTTACCCTATGTTCATTGATGAGAAGGTCCCGAGCAGCGTTGAAGATGAGAGTGTGGAGATGCTTGGAGTAGAACACCAGGGTGTAATCGTAGTCAAAGCCATATATCTCAATGTCCGACAGGCTCATCTCATTGTTTGAGAAGATGGCATCTGGATTCAACAAGTTGTTCATGATGGAAGGAACCAATTCTAGGAGCAAAAAAAGGAATCCGTTATCTCGTGGCATGGATAAGGGTTGACGGGCATCTAAAGGAAAGCAGTAGCTTACACACCCATGCGATGCCCAGGACAGGCAGAGCCAAGGCCAGGGATGCAGCTCATCCCCAGAGCACTTCAGAGAAGGGGAGAAGAAGCAGAGGAAAGCTGGCTCATGGGGACAGAAAGCAGATTGGTGGCTGTGTCCGGTGGGTCAGGAAGTGACTGTTACCGAATACAGAATTTCTTTTCAGGTGGTAAACAACATTCTCATTTTGATTTTGGCAACAGCCATGGGAAATGCCTTTTACGAATATACTAAAACCCATGGGTGGGGTCCTGAGAGTCTTCATGTGTGTTCAGGGGAATCTACACCACATCTCCACAAAGCCGTCACTGAAAAAGAACATGTGCTTCAATGTCCCGAGAGAAAGACTTCTGCTTGTTAATGTATGCTGGTTACAGATTTCATAAGTACGCATCATGGAATTTAAATATAGCTCATTATCCAAAGGAAGGGAACATTCAATGTGTCAGCTACCAGTGTTCCCCCATATACCCTAAGGCTGGCCCTACTGTACACACGGGCCTACATGGCAGTCTCACCACAGGCTCACTAACACAGACGCCGAGGAAATGACCTTATGCTACTAAATAAAACTTCGATATAGTTACATGTATATGCCATAACCAACCCAACACCTGACTCATTTCATTTTTTCCTGATTAATAATAACACCTTTGTGGTGAGCAGATGACTTTTTTCGGCTGGCTTATTAGAGGTGACATCATTGGGGTTCACCTGACAGACACAAAAGCAGTTTGCATTGTTTTCTGGGGAGGGTCTCTCCATTTGAGGGGCTGCTATTACACCACTTTTATTCTTTCTTACTACCTTACAATGTCCATGAGTTCAAACAGACCCTTGCCACAGTCCAAGCTGCAAGGTGAGGGCTGTTACTCAGTGTCGAGCACAAGCTTGGCATGTTCAAGGCCATTTGATCCTCAGCACTGAAAAAATAATCTTAAGATGAAAGACAACATTAGTGATTTTATTTCTGCACTCCAGTGGAGTGCCTTCCTGTTTCTATTCCTCTAGAAACCACAGATCACTGCCACCTATGGTTTTTAACAAGAGTAAAATCGGAAAGCTGGAGAAATGCAGGCAATAAGGCCAAACACCATGTCCACACTGAGCTCCTGCTTTCACGACGTCATTTTCAGAACTGTAAAGATTGTCTGAACACACCACAGAAGTCTCAAGACAGCACCCCGCAGCCAGGGTGGCCGTGGCTTTCCCAGAACATAAAGGAGAATTTGTGATTTTTTTTTTTTTTCATTTTCCACCCCAAAGGGTGGAAAGCATCTCAAAGCTGGCAGATGTGCTGAGATGCTGTGGTGAGCAATCACTCGGCAGTCTGACGATGCTGGAAAAATCAACTACCCACTGAGATCTCAGGCTCCAGGGTTCCCTGAAGGACCATCAGGGGCATTTAGGATCAGACACTGAACAGTGTGTTATAAGAGACAGAAAGGAAATACACCTACCCAGGTAGCCATTAGCACTCACTGGAGAGCAGCCCCCTGCATGCGCTAAGCTGGGATCTACTGCTAAAAGGATAGGCGGTTGCTTTCTTTCGCGTCCTCTCATTTTATGGGTCAGGCTTTAGTTGAACCAGCTCACAGGGCATCAGTGCTGCAGACAAGGGGCTTTCTGGCGCTAAGGGCAAAACACCAAACAGTCTCCCAAAATCCAACCTGTCTGGGTTCTGTGACACATCAGAACAGCGGTCAGCTCTTTGTGAAACAGTCTCACTGTATCACACAGGCTGGTCCCAAACCCCTGGGCTCAAGTGGTCTTCTAGCTAAAGCCTCCCAAACAGCTGTGATCACAAGTACACACAACTGTGCCCCAGCTGGCAGCCAGCAGTTAGCAAGTACTGTGTGCAACCACAAAGCCTGGCCTCATTTAACCCAAAAGCAGTCCCATGGAGTGCATACTACGCTACCTCCATTAACCTGAGAAGTCTAGCCCCAAATCACAGGGATCTGGCCACATCCATGGACAGTGCACATCTTTCTAAAATAACCGGGAGGACCAGCACGATGGCTGAGCAGATAGAAATATTTGCCAAGAGCCCTGAAGACTGGTGTGTGGCCCCTGGGACCCACACGGCAGGAGGACAGAGCCTGCGCCTACAACTTACCTCTGACTCTACAGGTGTTTGTGGTGTGTGCCTGCTCCTGCTGCCCGGCTCCAACCACTATTCTTAAAATCAAAGGCGTAACGAAGTAAAATGGCGTCCACCCATTATTTTTGTCTCTCTACGAACAGCGGCACAGTATCCACCAAGAGACCACCAGGGTAATCAAGAAGCATCACCTTACCTAGTGATGGCTCCGGTCACAAGACCGGTCCCCGACTAGGGCAGAGTCCCAGCCGGCTACAGCCCTGGGAGCTAGAAGTTAGGAAAAGCCTCACAGACCCACAGATGGTGCCAGAAGGCAACCCTGGCAGTTTTCCCATATACACCGACTTCTAAACCACACTTTATACCCTTGGGTTCCAGGCCCGCACTGACATTTCACACGAGACTGAATCTACAATTATCCCCAACAAACGACACATTTCCATTAGTGTCCCTCATCCGGTGGCCTTAGGTTTCAAGGTGACGGGTGACAGGGTGGCGGTGGGCCAAGTCTAAGGAGAGCAAGTAAACTGACATTTGAAGAACACAGGTGACAATTCACAAGAACTCACCGCAGGAGGGCTGAAGCCAAACTCCTCAGCTCAGAGGCCTAATGCCAAAGATCCTGCTTGACCAGGGCTGCTGTGGGGGTGCTATTTTCTGAGTGTTACAGGACCCCCCGGATGACTAGGTGAAGCAGGCTAGCTTATGAAGGAACCAAAGTTCCCCTTTCACAAATGACCTTTGTGTGGGAAGCTCCAGCAGCCTGCTTTAATTAAGGCTTCTATTTACACAAAGCCCTGCCAAGGGAGCCCATCTGCCCTCTCCCTGCCTGAGATGGGCACAGTGCGCAGGAAATCCCACAGGTCAGCTTGGAAGAGCTGCCCAAGCCTGCCCGGGGCTGGACACCACCTCAACACCCGTTAGTGTCACACTGTGCTGTCTCCCACACAGGTACAGGGGCACAAGGGGAAGCGTCAGAAGCCTAAAGGGACCTCAGCTCCTCTAATGTCACCAAAAACGTAATGTCACAAACACAATGCCCTCCTCGTCATGGAGCCAACTCTGTAAAAGCAGAAACAGAAGCCGGGTGGAGTAACCACGCCCTCAGTCCCAGCATTCTGAAGGCAGAGGCAGGCAGATCTCTGTGAGTTCAAGCCTGGCCCGGTCCACAGAGCCAGTTCCAAGGCTGTTTGTTACACAGAGAAACCCTGTCTTGAAGAAAAACAAACAAACAAGTAGAAACAGGAGTGGGTGCAGATTTAGAGAGTGAATTCTTTGTGCACACAGAGAACAGCTAGCTCTACAGCTGGTGCTGGGGGTGGGGAGGGCAGCTCTGCCGGCCATCGGCCTTTACCCTGAGCCACCTCCAACCCTACAGTATACTTCTGACAAACTCCCATGCCGTTTTCCTCAGAGCTGCACCATTCTTCCGTATCGATTTTTTAAGAACCCCCTCGGAATATCGTTCCTTGATTACATTCTATCTTTACTGCTGACGGGAAAAGAAAACGAAATTTAGGTAGAATCTGCACTTGTGAGGGATAACTTTGGTCGACCTTGCTGGTCCCCCTCTACAGTCAGACATGCTAAATGACTCTCCATTAATAAAGAGTCTCCAGTCAGGAAAGGCTATCGGTGTCACAGAGCAAATGTGGCGAGAGAGCCAAGGAGAAATCCATGGCCTGAGTTGTATCAAGGGATTTCCTCACAGATTCAAAAGGCAAGGTGACTGTCATTCAGCAATTGGGCAGGCAGCCTAGAGTTGTAAACGTTGACTAAATGGAGAGATGTCTCAGTCAGTAAAAGCACCCGCCAATGAAGCAGGAAGACGACCCCTTGCCCCCAAGCACTCATGTACAAAGCTGGAGCAACTGTAGGCTGGTAGTCCTTTGCTCTGTGTCTAAAATCCATGTTTGAGTGAGTACATACCATGTTTGTCTTCTTTGTGACTGGGTTACCTCACTAGGGATGGTTTCTTCCAGTTCCATCCATTTGCCTGCGAATTTCAAGATTCCATTGTTTTTTCCCGCAGAGTAGTATTCCATTGTGTAGGTGTGCCACATCTTCTTTATCCATTCTTCAGTTGAGGGGCATCTAGGTTGCTTCCAGGTTCTGGATATTTACAAATAATGCTGCTATGAACATAGTTGAGCAGATGTCTTTGTTGCATGGATGTGCATCTTTTAGGTATATGCCTAAGAGTGGAATTGCTGGATCTTGAGGTAGACTGTTTCCCATTTTCCTGAGGAACCGCCATACTGATCTCCAAAATGGCTGTACAAGTTTGCACTCCCACCAGCAGTGGAGGAGTGTTTCCCTCTAGCCACACAAGAAGGACCCTAAGAGAGACATACACGGTCCTCCACAGAAGGGGGAAAGGGACAAGATCTCCTGAGCAAATTGGGAGGGGGGAGCAATGAGTGGAGAGGGAGAAAGGGAGAAGAGGAGGGGAGAGGTGGACATGAGGGAGCAGGAAGATTGAATCAGGAAAGGAATAGAGGAGAGCAAGAAAAGAGATACCATAATAGAGGGAGCCATTATAGGTTTGAAGAGAAATCCGGCACTAAGGAAATGTCCAGAGACCCACAAGGATGACCCCAACTAACATCTAAGCAATAGTGGAGAGGCTGCCTTAAATGCCCTTCCCTGATAATGAGATTGATGACTACCTTATATGCCATCCTAGAGTCTTCATTTAGTAGCTGATGGAAGCAGAAGCAGACACCCACAGCTAAACACAGTAAGTTAAAAACATCATAGTTGAAATGCATTGGGCCAGTCAGAAGAATGGCTCATTGGTAA